TGAACCCAACATCAGATATCTAGGCTTGGTGAGATCTCGAATACCCATTTCCTGTTTTAAAGCCAAGCTAGAACATTAATTTGTTTAGCGTTTGGTTGTGCAATGTGATTCGCTTGTCGGTTATTCATCTATTATTGGCCTTGCATGATGCATTTCTTGTCAATATTGCAGGAGAATATGACACGAATGCTGATGGTCACTGATGTCCAAGATATTATAAAGAAGCATCAATCTCAGATAATCACCTCCTTGAAAGACCCTGACATCAGGTTGGTTTATATTTGACCACTCAATACTAAGCTTGCATGGCTTCTGAACCCGAACCACTGTCTTTTTAGGAAATTTTCTTGGTTCTTTTGCTAGTGATATCAGATTCACTTAGTGGTTGATCTTCCTGCAGTATTCGTAGACGGGCTCTTGATTTACTTTATGGGATGTGCGATGTCTCAAATGCAAAGGACATAGTTGAAGAGTTGTTGCAGGTAAGTCTTGTCATATTGATATTTTCTTGTTTGTCAATCTCCTTTTAACTTCTGATGTTTACCTGAGAGGATGGATTTAGCTCTGTCCGTGTTTAATCTTACTTTGAATCAAAATATGCACTGCAGTATCTTAGCACAGCAGAGTTTTCCATGCGTGAAGAGTTATCACTTAAAGCTGCCATTCTTGCTGAGAAGTTTGCTCCTGATCTATCATGGTAAGGACAACTTCTACTACAAGAAAAAATACTTTACTTTTTCAGCGCACATAATTATTATTACCATGTAAGGAAGTGCGCTAGCCAATTGGTGTGACATTAAGATCTCTACTTACCCAAGTAATTGGTCAATCTTTGACTACACTAAACGTTAATTTGATGTTTCTCAGGTATGTAGATGTAATTCTGCAGTTGATCGACAAGGCTGGGGATTTTGTGAGCGATGACATTTGGTTTCGTGTGGTTCAGTTCGTAACAAATAACGAAGACCTTCAGGTATTTGAACTTTGTAAGAATAGATCTGTTGTATATCCTATTCAGGACATTCTGAAGTTGCTTACAAGTTTCTTTAATATGACAGCCTTATGCCGCATCAAAAGCAAGAGAATATATAGACAAGATCGCAATACATGAGACCATGGTGAAGGTTGTACATCCTCGTTTCTCATAAGAAATTTTCTATATATATATAATAACCTAAAGTGGGAAAGTGGAGTTAATAACTTACTACCATTCGGACACAATCTTATCGGTATCAAAACAAATTTAACAATGCTTATATACATAAATACTGGTTATCAACAATAAACTGTTGCTTTCAAAATTTCAGGTCAGTGCTTATATATTGGGGGAGTTTGGCCACCTTCTTGCTAGACAACCTGGATGCAGTGCAAGCGAACTCTTTAGCATCTTACACGAGAAGCTTCCCACAGTGTCGTAAGGACAACACAAATCCTGCATTGTTCTCTTCTTGTCTTTGGATATGTCTTAAATGCTTCTTCTTTTTCCCTCAGGACTCCCACCATTCCTATTCTTCTTTCCACTTATGCAAAGCTTCTTATGCACACTCAACCCCCGGATCCAGAACTGCAAAAAAAAATCTTTGCTGTATTCAAGAAGTGAGGCTTGCTAACTTGCTTGTCATTTTATTCTTTGGTAATCAAATCACTGTTTCTAAAAGAGTTTTTTTCCTGGCAGGTACGAGAGTTGTATTGATGTGGAAATACAACAAAGGGCAGTTGAATATTTAGAATTGAGTAAAAAAGGGCCTACCTTTATGGATGTATTGGCTGAGATGCCAAAATTTCCGGAGCGTCAGGTTTGTAAATGATTTGATGATTCCTTGAAAGTTACTTTGCTGGGACGTTTGGATGCTGAAATTTTTATTCTTTGTCTCTTCCATAGTCCTCATTGATAAAGAAGGCAGAAGATGTTGAAGATACCGCAGACCAGAGTGCCATCAAGCTTAGAGCACAACAACAGCCTTCAAATGCTTTGGTACTGGCTGAACCACAGCCTGTTAATGGGGCACCACCAGCTTTGAAGCTTCCAAGTGTAAATGGAAACACAGTGAGTACCTCTCTTTGTAGGCCCCAGTGGCGTGACATTTTCTGTGTGTCTTATCTTGATATAGCATATACTTTTATCTTATTATCTCTGGCATTCTGCTTTCCGTGCATGTTTTTAGCAGGAACCCCAGTCAATGGCCCGAGCTCTCTCTCAGCCCAATGGAAATTTAAATAATATAGATCCACAAATTCCTTCACCCGATCTCCTTAGCGACCTGCTTGGTCCTCTCGCTATAGAGGCCCCACCTGGGGCAGAAGGAGTTCCAGATGAAGTTGATGGTTCCGCCATTGTACCTGTTGGAGATCAAACAAATACAGTTGAGGTAATGTTTTTCGTCTCCCTTTATTTTTTTTTGTTTCCTTGTTGTGTTACTTACTTGGAAAAAGCAAAACCTGATGGACTTGTTGAAATGACAGTTGATATCAATAACTGAATCCTAGCCATATGTTTTTTTAAATCTATTATACTATTTGCATGCTTGAATTCTTTTCTTATTCAGTTTTATTTTCGTTAATAGGTGATTGGAAATAATGCCGAGAGATTTCATGCTTTATGTTTGAAAGACAGTGGTGTCTTGTACGAGGATCCTTATATCCAGGTTTGATTTCTCCTATCTCAGTTATTTTCTCTCTACTTTTATCTATTCTGTTACGCAGATTGCAGAGAGGCAAGCGTCCCGTTTTTTTACCTTCTTTGGCCGGTGTAGCTAATATGCTCACAACCCCGGCATTATGATTGCAAAGAATGAACTTTTCTTATGTTCCTCATTTTGTTGATTGTTGGTGTTCGTCAGATTGGGATCAAAGCTGAATGGAGAGGACACCATGGGAGACTTGTCCTCTTCTTGGGGAACAAGAGTACTTCCCCACTTACATCAGTCCAAGCTCTAATACTACCCCCTGCTCATTTGAAACTGGAACTGTCTCCTGTACCTGATACAATTCCTCCTCGAGCACAGGTTCTTTTGTGTTGACTTTTTCAGTTTTACTACTCAATCTGTCGTTTTCTCCTCTTTTCCTCATTCATATTGTTTACTTAGTGTTCCAATTACCGTCATGGTTATAGGTACAGTCTCCACTTGAAGTGATGAACTTACGCCCTAGTAGAGATGTTGCGGTTTTGGATTTCTCCTACAAGTTTGGTGCAAACGTGGTACTTACTGCAACTGTCCTTACCTTTGTTTTTGGTGAATGGTTCTTTTAGTATGTGTGACTCTTTCGTGATTTGCTGGATTGTTTATAGGTCAGTGCCAAACTACGCATCCCGGCAGTCTTAAATAAGTTTCTTCAACCTCTGCAATTGACATCTGAAGAGTTCTTCCCGCAATGGAGAGCAATTTCAGGGCCACCCTTGAAACTTCAGGAAGTTGTATGTATTTCCACTGCTTCTCTGACCAAATATCAAATAAAAGTATATGAGTTGTGCATGGAAGAATTCAAATGCTCCTGACAACTTTTCTGTTAAAGAAAATAGTGAATTAGCTTTCTCCATAAAATCCTTTTACTGACTGATCATTATTCTAGTTTAATCAAAACACGTATCGAGATAACTTTTGATATATCCACTGATGGTTGTTCTCGTTACCCAAAACGGTCATAGATGATAACATATGCTTGTTAATGCGGTTAAACTTTGATCTGTGCCCAACTGGTCCTCATAATCTGAATCTGCAATATCTTGCAGGTAAGAGGTGTAAGACCTCTAGCTCTTCCGGAAATGGCGAATCTGTTCAACAGTTTCCGGGTGACGATATGCCCTGGGCTTGTAAGTATTTGTTTAGGATCTCAGACCCTCATTTCTCATTCTTGTTGCATACTTTAACTGAACTTCTATGGTTTTTTTGTTATAGGATCCAAACCCTAATAATCTAGTGGCAAGCACAACCTTCTACTCTGAAAGTACAGGAGCTATGCTCTGTTTGGTGAGATTTCAACCAAGTCTCTCTTATTGGTTTTAGCAATATTTCTTATACTTAATTGTACAGACGCGATACTCTCAACTCTTAAAAGTCTGTTGTGTGACACTCTCCGTCTTTTATGACTTTTCAGGCAAGAATTGAAACAGATCCAGCAGACAGAACCCAACTGCGGATGACAGTAGGCTCGGGAGATCCTACCCTTACGTTTGAGTATGATATCTCTGCCTCTTAGCACGAACTCAATCTCAATGTCAAACACAACTTGGTTTTTACTCTGCATTTGTTGACGTTTTTTTATCTACAGGTTGAAAGAATTTATCAAGGAACAACTAGTTAGTATTCCAGTGGGATCTCGAGCTCTAGTTCCAGCAGCACCACCTGTTGCTCAACCGCCTAGCCCAGCGGCTTTAGCTGATGATCCAGGAGCTCTTCTTGCTGGCTTACTTTAAGTCCATTGAGTAAGAGAGTACATGCAAATGTCTTGTAGAGTGGTAATGGCGAAAATATGGAATGATGCGAGAGAGTGTAAATTCAGAGGGCCGTTGGAGGGGAAGTGTCGAATAGGAAATGTAGTTTTGATCCTTATTGTGCCTGTATCCGAAGCAGGCGCGAGTTAGGTACGAAATTTTCCATTCATTATGCACATTTGTGTTGTGACCTCGGTGATTGTAACTTGTAACATCTTATTCTTGTCCATATGTATATATATTTTTGATGTTTGAAGCTATCACCTGTGTCTTCCAATTCATGCATCAAGAAATACAAAAGACGAAACAAAACAAACTCTCTTCACGTATATGATACCAATGATATGCAAAAATTAACTCATCTTTTGGTTGCGTCTCGACAAATTTGTAAGAAAATGGACAAAAACTGAAGTATTCAAACATTGAATGGGCATAGTTGTAAATAAAGAAAATAAAAGTCGTCTTCCGTCGCTCCTCGCTGGCTCGTCTCTCTTCTCATTTTCTCATTCAGATCACTCTCTTCTTTTGAATTTTCTTCAATTGGAATTGCCATTTTTCCGTTTCTAGATTAGGGTTTCGGTCTTCGCTCCTGCGAATTGCTTATACGTGAGCTGTAATCTGCAGTTTCCGTGGTTGTTAGATCCGGTTTCGCGACTTGGATCTGCCTGCCTGAGGCGGTGGTGAACGGTGGATCTGAGGAATTGGCTCCACCATGACCGGAATGAGAGGACTCTCCGTATTCATCAGCGACATTCGTAATTGCCAGAACAAGGAGGCGGAGCGACTCCGAGTTGATAAGGAGCTCGGAAACATACGTACATGCTTCAAAAATGAGAAGGTTAGGCGATTCTCTTTCTGTGGACATACATTCTGTTTAATCTCTTATCCTCATTTGAGTGGTAATTCAGTGTCGTAAGTATCAGCTGAGGTTTTGTATTGATTTAGATAGAGATATTGGAGATTTCTCGTTTGCAGCTACCTATTCATACGAGATAGTTAACGTTAAACTCAGTTGCGATGCAATCCAAAGCTGGAGCTAATAGGTTGATAACGGATTAGAGAAGAACGTAGGTGAAATAATGATGCAGTCACTAGGCGAATCTTTTATCGGCAAAAATATAACTGAGTTGCGGAATGGTTACTTTTGGATTACAAATTATGCACCTTGATAGGCAGTATAATGTTTGCGTTGTGTAGCTACGTTAGCTCATATACTTATAGATAAGGTCATGAGTCTATTTCAAGTCGAAAGATGGTAGACAAGAAATTATTTTTCCCTGTGATCGATCAAGATAATATACGCCAGACCTATTTCGGTTATGTAGTTATAGTCTAGGGAAAGAAATCAAGGTCACAGCTAGATTTGAATAGGTCATTTAGAAGTAGATTAAGCTGTATTGCTGTAAGAAGTTTTGGCTGAAATTCTGATTCTATACTGCAAGTAGTAGTAGCTGTGGCCGACCTGCAGTCTTTGATTAATATTTCCATAATTGTTGTACGTTTGACAGGTTTTGACACCATATAAAAAGAAGAAATATGTCTGGAAAATGCTTTATATACATATGCTAGGATACGATGTGGATTTTGGCCATATGGAGGCGGTTTCTCTTATATCTGCTCCAAAGTATCCAGAAAAACATGTAAGCCGATGTCTTTCTTTGCTCAAGCAATTAACTATTGCTTTCTATAGCTACGATTTGTTTGTTTGATTTAAGTCTAATTTCTGAAACAAAGTAAGTAAACTTCAATGAAGTTGCATATATCAAATTTTTCATCAATGCTTACAGGTTGGCTACATTGTTACATCCTGCTTGCTCAATGAGAACCATGACTTTTTGAGGTTGGCAATTAATACAGTACGCAACGATATAATTGGTCGGAATGAGACTTTCCAGTGCCTGGCATTGACTTTGGTATGTGCTCTTTTGTCCTTAGCTGTCCTGCAATCTTACAGGATAGTGAATTCTATCAGATTATGAGATACATTTTAGTGAATGTTTCAATGGAACTCTTCCGCTGCATTATGTCTTTTTGGTTTACTAATCATGATTCAAAGCATTTTTTTTGTTCTGGCTCTCTTACCTTGCCATGTTTGATGTGTCCTATAGGTTGGAAATATTGGTGGGAGAGATTTTTCTGAATCATTGGCACCTGATGTTCAAAAGCTACTTGTAAGTAACCCCAAAGAAAACAGGTTCTGGGTATTTATCCATATAAGTAAACATATTAACGCTATGGGACTTGTTTGCTGTAGATTTCTAGTAGTTGCAGACCGCTTGTAAGGAAAAAAGCGGCCCTTTGCCTACTGCGCTTATTCAGAAAAAATCCTGATTCCATCAACGCTGATGGCTGGTGTGTACTAACACTCTGGGTAACTGGTTGTTTGATTTCACTCGTGCATCTTTCATAAATTCTGATTGTTGTATGCTTCCAGGGCGGATCGTATGGCTCAACTTTTGGAAGAACGGGATCTCGGTGTCTTGACAGCTTCTACAAGTCTTCTTGTAGCTCTGGTTGCAAATAATCATGAGGCGTATTCAAATTGTCTACCTAAATGTGTCAAAATATTAGAGCGCCTTGCTAGGAACCAGGACGTGCCTCAGGAATACACATACTACGGCATCCCATCTCCTTGGCTTCAGGTTTGTCTTTACTCGTCATATATACTTTTGATCAACATAGCTTAAACTTTTTATTGTTCACATTATCCCGTGGATTCTTAAATTTTATGTGAAATTACCTCATGAAAATGGAAGCTTGTCCATGCTTTGGTGTATTTTTGCGGCTTAGTTGAGTGATTTTGGAAACTGATATTTTCGTGGTTAGCACAGGTTAAGGCAATGAGGGCTCTTCAGTATTTTCCAACCATTGAAGATCCCAGTACCAGAAAATCTCTCTTCGAGGTTCAGTTTTTTCTCAAGTACATCTCAAATAAATGTCTTCGAATTCTCTCTCATGGCATTTCATGTAAATTTCAGGTCCTTCAGCGGATATTAATGGGGACAGATGTTGTGAAAAATGTGAATAAGAACAATGCATCTCATGCCGTGCTGTTTGAAGCTCTATCCCTGGTAAGTTCGTCAGACAGCTGAGGAACAAGGTGATACCATGAAACTTCCTAACTTGTTGATGTGTTTCGATATAGGTCATGCATCTTGATGCTGAGAAGGAAATGATGTCACAGTGTGTTGCTCTTCTGGGAAAGTTTATTTCCGTCCGTGAGCCCAACATCAGATATCTAGGCTTGGTGAGATCTTGAATACCCATTTCCTGTTTGTATAGTGTTTGGTGGTGCATCATGTGATTCGCTTGTCGGTTATACATCTATTGGTGGGCTCTCATGATGCATTTCTTGATATCATTGCAGGAGAATATGACACGAATACTGATGGTCACCGATGTCCAAGATATCATAAAGAAGCACCAGTCTCAGATAATCACCTCCTTGAAAGACCCTGACATCAGGTTGGTTTATATTTTCCCATTCACTAACAGCTTGCTTGGCGTGTGTTTTAGTTGATCACTGTCTTTTATGTTTTAATTCAGATTCAGTATAGCTACTTTCGATCTAGAAATCGGTTATAGTTTTCATGCGTTAATATTCTGTACTTTTTTTCTCTGAAAGTAGTTGTGAATTTATTAGCATTTCTGTCAGCATTGAAGTTACTTGATTCGGATTACATATATTAAAACTATAAGTTTATTGGATCTGTTTCTCTGCAATGTGTTTTTAATGAAAGTATTTTCTTGATTTGTTCTCTCGTGATTGATATATATATATATATTATCTTGGTTCTTTTGCGAACGGTATCTGATTCACTTACTGGTTGATCTTCCTGCAGTATTCGTAGACGGGCTCTTGATTTGCTGTATGGAATGTGCGATGTGTCAAATGCAAAGGATATTGTCGAAGAGTTGTTGCAGGTAAGTCTTGTTGGCTTTGTTTCATATTGATATTTTCTTGAACAGAAGTCTCCTTTTAATTTCTGGTGTTTGTTAGAAAGGAAGGATTTATCTGTGTTGTGTTTAAGCTTACATTGAATCGAGAAAAAATACATTGCAGTATCTTAGCACAGCAGAGTTTTCCATGCGTGAAGAATTATCACTTAAAGCTGCCATTCTTGCTGAGAAGTTTGCTCCTGATCTATCATGGTAAGGACTTTTACGACAAGAAAAGACCATGAAATGAAATGCTCTAGCCAATAGGTGTTACATTTTTAATCCCTAGTATTGTCAATTTTCACAATACTAAATGTTAATTTGATGTTTCTCAGGTATGTAGATGTAATCCTTCAGTTGATCGATAAGGCTGGGGATTTTGTCAGCGATGACATTTGGTTTCGTGTGGTTCAGTTCGTAACAAATAACGAAGACCTTCAGGTATTTAAACTTAGTAAGAAAGATCTGGTGTATATCCTATTCAGGACATTCTGAAGATGCTTACAAGTTTCTTAAATATGACAGCCTTATGCAGCATCAAAAGCAAGAGAATATATGGACAAAATCGCAATACATGAGACTATGGTGAAGGTTGTACATCCTCGCTTCTCATATTATTTTTTTTTTTTTTTTTTATATATATATATATTGGATAACGTGGATAAGTTATGATATAACCTAAACTGGGAAAATGGAGTTTCCTCTTTATTACCATTCTGACACAATATTTATCGGTATCAAAACTGTTTTCGTAGTACAAAGTTAACATTATTATATATAAAATATTGGTTATCAACAATAAACTATTGCTTTCAAAATTTCAGGTCAGTGCTTATATATTGGGGGAATATGGCCACCTTCTAGCTAGACAACCTGGATGCAGTGCAATCGAACTCTTTAACATCTTACATGAGAAACTTCCCACAGTGTCGTAAGAACAAAACAAATCCTGCATTGTGCTCTTTTTGTTCTTTGGGTATGACTTAAATGCTTCGTCTTTTATTTTCCCTCAGGACTCCCACCATTCCTATTCTTCTTTCCGCTTATGCAAAGCTTCTTATGCACGCTCAACCACCAGATCCAGAACTGCAAAAAAGAATATTTGCTGTATTCAAGAAGTGAGGCTTGCTAACTTGCTTGTCATTTTCATCATTCTCAATGTTTCGCTTGTCAATTTATTCTTTGGTAATCAAATCAATTTTTCTAAAAGAGTTTTTGTCTTGGCAGGTACGAGAGTTGTATTGATGTGGAGATACAGCAGAGGGCAGTTGAATATTTTGAATTGAGTAAAAAAGGGGCTACCTTTATGGATGTATTGGCTGAGATGCCGAAATTTCCGGAGCGGCAGGTTTGTAAAACTATTTTATTATTCCATGAGATTTACTTTGATGGGACGTTTGGATGCTCTAAGCTTTGATGCTGGATTTATGTTTCTTTGTCTCTTCCATAGTCCTCATTGATAAAGAAGGCAGAAGATGTTGAAGATACCGCAGACCAGAGTGCCATCAAGCTTAGAGCACAACAACAGCCTTCAAATGCTATGGTTTTGGCTGAACCACAGCCTGTTAATGGGGCACCACCGGCTTTGAAGCTTCCAAGTGTAAGTGGAAACACAGTGAGTACCTCTCTTTGTCGGCCCCATCGGCGTGACATTTTTGTGTACTATCTTGATATAGCATATACTTTTATCTTATTATATCTGGCATGTTCTTAGCAGGAACCCCAGTCAACGGCCCGAGCTCTCTCTCAGCCCAATGGAAATTTAAATAACATAGATCCACAAAGTCCATCACCTGATCTGCTTAGTGACCTTCTTGGTCCTCTTGCTATAGAGGCTCCACCTGGGGCAGAAGGAGTTCCAGATGAAGCTGATGGTTCCGCAATTGTACCTGTAGGAGATAAAACAAATACAGTCGAGGTATTGTTTTCGTCTTCCTTTACTTTCTTTCTATTTGCTGATTGGTATTTATTACTTTCTTTCGTCTTCATAACCATATGTTTGTTTCTTCCTGAATAGAATCCTACCTGAGATGTTATATTCATTATAGTGTTACAGTTGCCAAACCTGATGGACTTGTTTTTTCAATTCGCCATACTCTTGGCATGCTTGAATTGTTATCTTATTCAATTTTATTTTCTTTAACAGGTCATTGGTAATATTGCCGAAAGATTTCATGCTTTATGTTTGAAAGACAGTGGTGTCTTATACGAGGATCCTTATATCCAGGTTTGTTTTCTCACATTTCAGTTATTTTCTCTCTACTTTTATCTATTCTGGTACATGGAAGCAAGCGTCCCATTTTTTTACCTTCTTTGGCCGGTGTAGCTAATATGCCCACAAACCCAGAGCATTATGATTGCAAGGAGTGAACTTTTCTTATGTTCCTTATTTTGTTGATTGTTGATATTCTTCAGATTGGCATCAAAGCTGAATGGAGAGGACAGCATGGGAGACTTGTCCTCTTCTTGGGAAACAAGAGTACTTCCCCACTTACATCAGTCCAAGCTCTAATACTACCCCCTGCTCATTTAAAACTGGAACTGTCTCCAGTACCTGATACAATTCCTCCTCGAGCACAGGTACTTTTGTCTGTTGACTTTTTCAATTTTACTACTCAATCTGTCTAAATCTCGTATTTTTCGCATCCTTATTGTTTACTTAGTGTTCCGATTTCTATCATGGTTATAGGTACAATCTCCACTTGAAGTGATGAACATCCGCCCTAGTAGAGATGTTGCGGTCTTGGACTTCTCCTACAAGTTTGGTGCAAACGTGGTACTTACTGCTACTGTCCTTGACTTTGTTTTGGTGAACAGTTTCTTTAGTATCTGTGACTCTTTCGTGACATGCTGGATTAATTATAGGTCAGTGCGAAACTACGCATCCCGGCGGTCTTAAATAAGTTTCTTCAACCTCTGCAATTGACATCTGAAGAATTCTTCCCGCAATGGAGGGCAATTTCAGGGCCACCCTTGAAACTTCAGGAAGTTGTATGTATTTCCACAGCTTCTCTGACTAAATATCAAATAAAAGTAGTGCAGGGAATATTTCAAAATGCTGCTCGCAACTTTCTTTTCGAAGAAAATAGTGAATTAGCTTTTTCCGTAAAATCCTTCTAGTTTAAACAAAACATGTATAGATAACTTTCGATATATCCACTTATGATTGTTCAAGTTACTCAAACGGTCATAGATAACTTTCAAGATTACATATTCTTGTTAATGCGGTTAAACTTTTATGTGTGCCCCACTTATCATGATAATCTGAGTCTGCAATTTTTTGCAGGTAAGAGGTGTAAGACCTCTAGCTCTTCCGGAAATGGCGAATCTGTTCAACAGTTTCCGGGTGACGATATGCCCTGGGCTTGTAAGTATTTGTTTACGTTATCGGTTCCTCATTCCTCTTGCTTGTTGCACACATGTATGCTTTAACTTAACTTCAATGGTTTTTTTATTCTAGGATCCAAACCCTAATAATCTAGTGGCAAGCACAACCTTCTACTCTGAAACTACAGGGGCTATGCTCTGTTTGGTGAGATTTTAACCAAGTCTCTCTTATTGGTTTTGGCACTCGCCTCTTCCAGTTTCCAAGACTTCATATACTTATTGTATACATGTGATACTGCACTCTCAAAAGGTCTGTTGTGTGACATTGTCCGTGTTTTATGGTATTTCAGGCAAGAATTGAAACAGACCCAGCAGACAGAACCCAACTGCGAATGACAGTAGGCTCGGGAGATCCTACCCTTACATTTGAGTATGATATCTCTGCCTCTTATCTCGAACTCAACCTCAGACACAGATTTGTTATTACTCTGCATTTGGTGACTTCTTCTGTCTACAGGTTGAAAGAATTCATCAAGGAACATCTGATTACTATGCCAATGGGATCTCGAGCTCTAGTTACAGCAGCAGGAGCAGCACCAGCACCAACACCACCTGTGGCTCAACCGCCTAGCCCAGCGGCTTTAGCGGATGATCCAGGGGCTCTGCTAGCTGGCTTACTTTAAGTCCATCGGGTAATGAGAATACTTGCAAAAGTCTTTGTAGAGTGTAATGGCGAAAATATGGAATGATTCGAGAGAGAGTATATCTAGAGGACCGAAGGAGGGGAAGGGTTTAGTAGAGAAGGTAGTTTTGATCCTAATTTGTTTCCTGTATCCGAAGCAGGCGTGAGCGTGTTAGCTACGAAATTTTGCATTCATTATGCACATTTGTGTTGTGAGCTCATTGGGTTGTATCAGTTTATTCTTGTTCCAATATATTTTCATTCTGTTTCTCCATGATTTATTTGAGAGGCGTGTGTGTATTTTTGTTTCTCTCGTTTTCCTTGTCTCTGTTCTTCGTAGAAAGATACGATTATGCTTAGTAAAGATATAGGGAGAGAGCGTGTGAGGAAGGGATAATGCTGAGGACTCAATTTGTACTTATTTTGCGTCTTATATTGAGTTATTATAAATTTATAACACACACCAAACGCATACCAGTTTCTCCTGTAAAAACCTGATCTCGTTTCAAATGTTATATTAATACCAGAAAAAGACGGCACTGGTGGTGAATACTTTGTTCAGGATACACAATCCCAGCTTGATGGAGTTGGAGTTCGAACTCTTGCTTACAATCCCAGCATGAATATAAGTAACACTTGCTTATAGGCAGAGATGAATGACCAACAGAGAATTTAATTTCACGTGAATTAGAATTTACTTCTTTTGACAACACATATTCTTCGTATTCATCAAAAGCCCCTAAAGGCAGCAGCACATGATAGCCTAGCCTATAGCCAGAATTAATTTGGAAAAGAAAAAAGACAAACAAAAAGAATTATGTGGTAACTTAACTTAGACAAAGCTACATCCACTCGCGGCAACGACCGCATCTCCAGCTACCTCCGGTGCAAGTAGATTCCTCCTCCCATGGAGAACAGTGAGAATGTATTGTCATGGAACAAGTCTGGCATGTGAGATCAGGTCCTGGCTCCACATGCATACATATCTGACATGGAATTGTGTTCTCATACAGAAATGCTCCGCATTGTTCCATCGTCTCCACCTGGGGGTTTGGGTTTGGGTTATCCATGTTTCCTGAAGCATCCTTGTCATTGCCATATCCATTGCACTGGCCACTATCATCTGTTGTAAGCAACTCGTTCAGCGAGAAATAGGTTTGGGGTTCGAATTCCATATCTTCGTAGTCAAACATCAGCTCGCCTTCAACCATGTTGTTGTTGTTGTTGTTGCCAGATGCATCCCATTCCATGACAGGCAATGTTGGTTCCGTTTCTGGCTTCACAAAAAGCTGTGATTCGGAATGCGTCGAGAAATCGGTGTAAGAAATATTATTTTCATTCCCTTCTGTGTCTTCACGTTTCACTCGTCTCCTAACTTGTAGCTTCTGGGGTCCCGGCACAGAACTATCGCCGTTCCATTCCACATCTAATTTGGTAGGCGGAATTTGTTCGACTTTTGAGACTGACACCAAGAGAGGATCATCCTCTGGAACAAACGCATCTTCCAAAGCAAACGAGGGAGTAGAGGGCAGTGAGTCTTTTGATTCAGACATTCTTTCAGAATCAGAATCCATTCCGATATATCCTGGCCCATGATGTTTCTGCTGCCTCTTGAAGACTACCTTTTTCATCTGCTTCTGTTCCATGAGTTTAGGATCCATGTAAGGGCAATCTGGTGATCGTATACGACGGCATTTGCAACACTTGAACCCGACAACTTCAGGAATTTTCGACTCCTCGAGCTTAACCGCTTCAATGTGGTACCACTCTGCATACAGAAGCTAGGGTTAGATTTATAAGAACAAAATGGCGGCATTGAGGAAATATACGCTTCAGTATAAGAAAATTTAGAGTAAATTATTCTTACTATCACAGCTTGTACAATGAATGTATGTTAGAGCAGGGTTATACGGCAGTTTGCAGATCCAGCACGCTGGTTCAAGATTCGGCCGATCAGATTGTGCAGCCAACAGAACATGTTGATGTCTGAAGGCAACACCTGTATCCTCAACGTTCTTTTTCCTCCATATGATCCCCCAAGACAATGTCTTTTGTTTACTCTTGGAAGCGACATTAGAATCAGGAGTGATTTGTTTAACTCCTGAGGCACTGTCGCGTATGTTCAAAGATGGTAACTGTTGATTAGGAGGCTTTATCTGCGTCTTAATGACTGGAGTGATTGCGTTTTGATGCTTTATCTGCGTCTTAATGACTGGAGTGACTGCGTTTTGATGCTGCTGTCCATTGATAAGCACAGTGGGTGTTGTTGGATGTCTTTGACTGATATTGATTAGCGAACGAGTCCTTGCAAGGTAGCACCGTTTGCAGGTCACCAGAACTTTAACGTTCCCAGCTGTGTGTTGTGTACTCGTAGTACATTCCTTGTGACAGAAGCCTGACGGGCAAAAGGAAGATTCATCAGCGAAATCTCTCAATAGTAAACAAAAGACGATAGTATGTGAGAGAATTTTGCAATCAGTTCTTGCAAAATTTCATATCCTATTTATTCCCGGTCTAATGAAACAGGTAAAAATCCTCCAACCTAAAATGAAAAATAATAAAAGAGCGGGCAGACGTATTGTACCTTGGCAAGCACTACATGTTGTTGCATCCCTATAGACATGGAGATAACGGAACAAAAGTTAATGAGGTACACAAGTTTAATTAAATAGGGTCGTGAAAGATGAAGAGAGCTAAAGAAATACCTCAATAAAATATCAAGATGACATGACGCACAAGAACACTTCTCCGTGTTGTCCCTCCTAGAGGCTAGATAAGAAAATATGTTTGCTCGAGAAGCTTTCAGTTGCTTTTTCTGGAGCTTTGATAAAATTTTTGATGGCTTCTTAATGGAAGGGACATAGACCTTATGCAAACTTTCTTCATACTCTTTAGTCAAATATAAGGGAACACGTGCTTCATGAAACCAATACTTTTCGTTTCCATCTTCAGATTTCTCGACTTCGATGACATTCTTCATGACACGAGATGGAAGATGCTTTTGATTTCCAAAGGCAACTCCATATCTAACCTTGTTATCTATAATCCTCTTGTCACAAATTCTACCGTTCCTAAAAACAGCAGCCTCTGTCTCTGAACCTTTAACATCTGGCACGTTTTGCTCTGGGCGTACAAGTTCACTCCATCTTATATTCGTATCCAGGTATCTAACCTGGCCAAGATTCAGTTGCATTTCAGAGGAACAGCAAACAAACGTAGAAACGTCATTTGAAAAACCATTGGTGATAGAAGACAAACCTGAAGAGCAAGCTGAGAAATATTTTTGCTACTTCCAACTGCGGCTTTCCAAATAGACTGCCTACTTCTTTTAGGAATGTAAGAACCTTCACAATAACTAACTTCAGGAAACTTTTTCAGACCACCTAATGAAAAACAAACAAATTAGCAATCTCGAGCGTAAAAACAAATAGGATACCTCTGTTAGAAGTATTTATTTAAAAAAAAACGCAAAACTATATATAAAAAACGCCATATATTTACATGAGAACTGTTAAAACCAAACAAGGTTACCTTGCCAAGCTGCTTTCTTTATCTTTGGCTTCGACAAGACTGCCTTCAGGAGTATCACTTTTGATAACTTCCCCCCTCGCCACCAAGTAAAGCTATCATCATCAGCACCTTCGGTTGAAACTTCAGCCTGGTTCCTCCTCCTCCTACCAGGTCCACGTTTCTGTGTGGTCCCAACAGTAAATCGACCGCTTTGAAAGATAGAGTATTCTATCAACCAATCATCCATTAGTTTAAGCCAATCGCTTGACAGAGCAATACTGCAAATATTTTCCTCAAGCTGCGAACAAGCAAAATGGAACATATCACGCCAACGAAAGCAAGATAAATATAAGTGAATAAGAAAATATATGTTTTAGAAAGAAGAATTAATTACTTACCTCAAGCAGGAGAGCTTTCATCGCTTTGCATGTTGAGGCTTCCTCTAGCCTCTTACGCCACTGTTTCCTGAGACTCTCACTGAGAAATGGCCCCACAATGAGACCACGTAAGCTTTCCTCAAGATATAGGATATATGCTGCAATACTAGAGAGTACTCCATCCCCGTTCTTCAGAGGAAAAAGGCCACTGAAGATTTTCACAGCACTTTTGGTGGCCCCAGTTACAGCTGCATTTAACATGCATCCTCTCCTACTTGCTGTTGTGAGTTTACAAGAATGACACCAACCACACCTTTCCCTGGTAATTTCCTTCTTATCAGGACTTGGCCAGAAAAAACTTGAGGCTACTAACGAAAATGCTTTCATCTGTAGCAAGATGTTACTCGAGGCAGCTTTCTTGGCATTACTAAACTTGTGTGCATCAGGTTCATGGGTTTCCTCTGACAATAGGACAGCCAAAGTAGCAGCAGCTGATGCGGCCAATTCTCCGTTTGTGTAATGATTAATGTATGTGTGAGGTTTAAATGATAAACCCTTGTGTGTAATGCCAGCAGCCCAACTCTTCTCCTGCGTTCCACTTGATCTTCCTAAAACAGGGCCGCCAACATAGCCTGAAGCAGATGCGCAAAGGCCAAATGTGTCTTGACTATTACTTCTACTGGAACTACTTGCACTATCAGGCTTAATTAGGTCTGACACCTCGTCGCCCTCTTCTTTTTCCGTGTGACATAAATCAGTCTCCACTGCTCTCAGAGAGGAGATCACAATTCCAGGCAGATCCCAGTATTGTGAGATGGCTTTGCATATAGACAGATATTCCAGTCTATGGTTCGTTGCAGACAAAAGCACCAGTACAACTTTTGGAATGTCAGTGACATTGTAGTAGTTGATATCTGTATCCGCATGGACAGAGTTTTGAAGCCTGTGAGATAAGGGGAAAAATCATTAGCGTCTACAACAACACAATTCAAGCAATGTGGGTTTTCCAACGAGAATCAAAAAGAATATGGAGATATAGATTTATTTGAAAGAAAAAGTATCTGAAATAAAGTGTTGAAAACATACACCAGTAAGTGGTTGCATGTACCCAAGAAGAGTCGCCCATGAGGATCCACTCCAAAATACACTGCTCCCCTGAGTGAGGTTTTATGAGCAATAGTTGGCCCCATTTTGTTGATAGTGCATTCTGGACAATACCACGGCCCATCTGGTATATACATTTTGACCACGCCAATACATCTTGAGTGATATGCTAAAGGGCATCCATCACAGCATAGCAACGTTCCATCCATGCCGCAGAGCCTACATTCATCACTATTTCCATCCAGATCTGAGCTAAGTCCATTAGGACCACCATCAGTACATCTTGAACTCAAAGTTTTTGACTCGTTCATTGAGCTTACCCCATGGTTCACTCCAACAACTTCACTAAGCTCTTTCTCCTTGCAAGCTGAGGTTTTAGCAAATCTTGGGTGGACCCTTCTAGGTCCATTTTCAGGAAGATCAGCAATAACTCCATCAGGATCATATCCAATTTCAGATTCTTCTCGGGTATCGATTTCAGCTCTTAAATCTGCTACATCGAAGGCGTCATCACACAGAATTTGCAGGATCTTCAACTTCATCACTACGGGTAAAGAATAGTACTCTTTCTCCACAACAAAATCATAAATATCTCTCCACTGAGCCCCACTTGCATGTCCCATGGCAGCAACGTACTGAACCAAATAAACAGGCCAAGTTAGCGCATCGAGCAAGCTCCAATCAATGCACCTGCAGATGGCAATGCAACAAAATCTCTGAATTGTTATCCACTAAGATATGGGAAATCCTCAAACAAGCTCCACCTAAACTATGAATAAGAGGCTTATTTTCACAATCCCAGCTGCTATAAAAGGTTTGAATAATAAGATTATGCTTCCTCGAAGTTCAGACACCTACCAAACTAAGTGCTGTTTTATAGAATGACTATTGCACTAAAATAACTAAAGATCTGTGGACAGTTAACTTAAAACACCTCTGGAAAGCAACACAGAAAGTTACTAAAAAAAAACCTAAGTTAACAAAGACATTTGTTGAAAATTGTAAACAGCAAAAAAAAGGTTCTATGCGCTTACCTCAAGCAATTTGAAGCCACTTCAGACCCTTCTGAGGAGAGCCTCTCAAGCCGACCCTTCAGTCCCCGCATGAGGGCAACATGAATGGCATCCAGCAAAGAATTAGGTCCTAAGAAATTCAACGCTCCCACAAAATCATCCAATCCAAATGGGCAGATATATAACTGAACACTGAATGATCTTAAGAACCCGTACACAGATAATAAATGCATTACAGCCTCCTCAGGGATACCAATTGTTCCTGATGAAGAAGGCAAATCCACTGGTGGAACTGGAACAAGAGTAGACGTAGTTTCGATATCTGGATCTACGTTATCTTCACACTCAGGCAAACCACAAGATGAATAACCACCTTCAACTTCTGCCACAGAACATGGGCTAGTAGCTGTGGGCACCTCAACTCCATTAACCTGAGTTTGCAGCTCAACCCCTTTCTTCTCCAGGTTATCAGATTTCTTCTTTTTTCCCTTCTTCACTATAGATTTTTCTAGTTTACTTCTCCTAGCACGTAATTCACCATCAAAGTAACTATCCTCAATAATCAACTGGCGAAGATAACGAGTTTCCAAATCCTCTCCATCACCATCCTCATATTCAACTCTGTAAAACCCAGAACTGTACGAAACTATCTTCCCAAGAGAAACTCTACTGTCGTCGAAATCTTTCAACACATAACGACCAATAAGGGATATTGGCACAGTCGATTTCATCTCAAAAACTGGCCTCTTCCCTCGGCTAGAGGCCCCATTCTTATCCTCCGGCCTTGGGCGTTTCCTCGGCCTACCTCTAGGTCTAGCCACCTTTCCTTCCATCGATCCCCAGATCTAAATTAACCTCAATCCGTTTTCCAAAAGCTCACTCCTCTAAAATCCAACCATGTAAAGCATAATCACATCAAATTCTAAGATCCACGAAACTCCTGCAAATCGAAGCTGAAGCAAAAGAAATCAGAACCATGATCCAACAATAAAACTGCTCCCCACCGATAAATCTGAAACCTTTGATTTCACTTTTCTTAACTTCGAAATGGATAAACAAACATATGCACAGAAGGAGGGAATTGATGGTAAAAACCTTGCTAGAGTCTGATAACCGCCATTATCGATGCACTTAGATAACTCAGGTGAAGCAGGAAATCAGATGATAGATATAAGTCCCGATCTAGACCTCACGGAGAGTCGGAAAAAAGGGTATTCACAGTCTAGAAGGTGATTATAGAGTAGAAGAAACCACCTCGTAGATACTGAGATTGGATGATGAATTGATGATGATGAAGAAGTATCGAGAGAGAAATAGATAAAAAAGAGGAATTAGGTTTCTGAATTAGATTTTTGATCCAGTGGCAAAGGTGCCTTCATAAAAGCGTTCACAAATGACAAACCAACTAAACCGGGATTCAAAATAGCTAAACCAGAACAAATCGAGTAAACCAAGAGGAATGCTATAAAACCGGATTATATTTCCTGTAATAACCAAAAGAGAGAGAAGAAGAAGGCTTCAATCGTGTCGAAACTCGAAAGTGACGACGAATGGCTCTCCACTGCACTTCTCACTTCTGAGTTAATGGCAGATTTTGCGGTCTAAGCGAGTGCAACTCGGGAATCGGGTTACCCGGATCGAGACCCGTTAGATAATTTAAAAAACGTCATCGTTTCAGTATTTTCCTTTTTATTTTACCAGTTAAAATAAAAATAATATAATGGCGGGAATTTGGATACAGAGAGACTCCGTCGGTAATTACGCGCGTTTCTCGGGTCCGGCAGATTTCGTCCGCCGTCGTCAAATCTGCCTTCTTTTACACATTGGTTTCTTATTTCGGCTACTTTAGCCACAATCTATCTCAAAATTTCGCGAGATTTCAAGGTTTCCCAACAAATTTTTAGGATTAGGGTTTTGAAATGGGGACGAAAGTCTCAGACGATCTGGTTTCCACCGTCCGATCAGTCGTGGGCTCCGATTACTCAGACATGGACATAATCAGGGCCTTGCACATGTCTAATCTAGATCCGACGGCAGCGATCAATATAATCTTCGACACTCCAAGTTTCAGCAGACCTGATGTAGCGACTCCTAGCCCAAGCGGCGGCGCTAATGGAAAGAAGAGAGTCGAGAACGGCATAAAAGCTTGTCGTTTTAGTGAATCCGCAAGTGTTGGAGCGAATCAAATGGTGGAGGAAGATGAGAGTACTAATGGTGGAGAGGAGGAGAGTGTTTCAGGGGATGAGTGGTGGTTTGTGGGCTGTTCCGAATTGGCGGGCTTGTCGACATGTAAAGGAAGGAAATTGAAGTCCGGTGACGAATTGGTGTTCACGTTTCCGCATGGTAAAAGATCAAACTCTGAGACTACGGTTAGGAAACGCGGTGGTGGACGGGGAAGGCCGGTTTTGCGTGCTGCTTCTGATATCGTCAGGTTCTCTACAAAGGATTCAGGAGAGGTGCGTTCTCTTTACAGTATTATCATTGGTCGCGGTTGCGGTTGCGGTTTCACTCTTTTTTATGTTAATGATTTTATGAGATGGAAATTGGTAAACGAATTATGATGAGTTCTTGTGGCAGATTGGTAGAATACCAAACGAGTGGGCTCGATGTCTTCTACCACTTGTGAGAGACAAGAAAATTAGGATAGAAGGGAGATGCAAGTCGGCACCTGAGGCGTTGGGCATCATGGACACGATTCTTCTTTCAGTAAGGTATGCAATGCATACCAAAATTTATGTTTCCAATTGGCAATTCCAGAATGTTTTTTGAAGTGGTGTGTTTGTTTTTGAAACAGCGTGTACATTAATAGTTCGATGTTTCAAAAGCACAGTGCGACTTCATTTAAGGCAGCTAGTAATACCGCAGAGGAATCAATCTTCCATCCTCTTCCAAATCTCTTCCGGTTACTCGGTTTGATCCCCTCTAAGAAGGTAATGGTTCGTCCTTGCCTATAACATTTTGAATTGCTTAACATACTGTAGATTACAGCTTCATGTACTAACTTGCCAAATTCTTGAGATGGCAAAGAAATATTTCCTTTTTTGTTTTTATTTTAGTGGGCTAGTTAGTTATTCACTTATTTGTGAAAATGTTTCTTCATCATATTTAGGCAGAGTTTACTCCGGAGGATTTGTCCACTAGGAAGCGACCTTTGTGTTCCAAGGTAAAAATTGCTTATCATATCAGCATCTTAAGTTTTGACTTCCTGCTTGTCAAGTTTGTCATTTTCTGTCTGTTTCTTTGGAGGTAGGATGGTTCTGCTGTTCCTACTTCATTGCTTCAATCAAACAAGGTCAAGAATCAGAATAAAGATGCAAACGGAGATGAAAATGAGGAGTGTATCAGCGATGGTGATCTTGATAACATTGTTGGTGTTGGGGACAGTTCTGGATTAAAGGTTTTCTCATTTCCAAGACTTCTTGCTTGCTTAGTCGACATAATCTATTCATTTGCCAAATTACGTGAGAACTTTTGCAACAGGAAATGGAAACTCCAGATAAACTTCAGTGTGAGCTTCGTCCATATCAAAAGCAGGCACTTCATTGGATGACGCAACTGGAGAAAGGAAATTGCACTGATGAGGCAGCAACAATGCTTCACCCATGTTGGGAAGCATACTGTTTAGCAGACAAGTGAGCCATGTTTCTATTGCTTGCTAACTTTAACGCGAGTCAGATGAGATATTTACTATCTGTTTTATGTCAATAGGCGGGAACTTGTTGTCTACATGAATTCTTTTACTGGTGATGCTACTATACACTTTCCTAGCACACTTCAAATGGCAAGAGGAGGAGTATGGACTCAATAACCCATCTACAAACAATACTTTGATTTATCATTGTCACTTAGTTATATACCTTTTTATAATAAAATAATAATGCTTTTGCAGATTCTAGCAGACGCAATGGGTCTCGGAAAGACCGTAATGACCATTTCCCTTATGCTTGCCCATTCCTGGAAAGCTGCATCAACTGGGAATCTATGCCCCACTTATGAAGGAGACAAATTGATCAGTAGTTCGTTAGATGAGTTCACTAGTCCTTCGGTGAAGGCAACCAAATTTCCAGGTTTTGAGAAGAAGCTTATTGAACAGAAAAGTGCTCTTGAAAATGGTGGTAACCTGATTGTATGTCCGATGACACTTTTAGGCCAGTGGAAGGTATCATATACATTAGATGTTAACAATTTTGTCCATACTTATGCACGTGCACACTATAGTTTGGTTATCCATCAAAATTGTTGTTTTCATTTTGTCTTTCTTTATTCAGCTGATTTTTTTATTTTTTGCTCCTGCTTTATGATCAGTCAGAAATTGAAATGCATGCGAAGCCTGGGTCTCTATCTGTCTATGTTCATTATGGGCAAAGCAGGCCAAAGGATGCAAAACTACTATCTCAGAGTGATGTGGTAATCACAACATATGGGGTTCTAACATCCGAATTTTCGGCGGAGGTAGCTTTCATTTAAAAGTCTTATGACTGGCCATGTATATAGTTTACAATTTACAAATGCACTGCAAGAACATTTTTTTATCGGCTCTGTTCTTTCTTCTTCCCAGAACTCAGCAGACAGTGAAGGGCTTTATGCAGTTCGATGGTTTAGGATTGTTCTTGACGAGGCACATATCATCAAAAACTCAAAAAGTCAAATATCTTTGGCTGCTGCAGCTCTGGTTGCTGATCGGCGTTGGTGTCTTACGGGTACTCCTATTCAGGTGATTGATCTATTTGTAGAAGGTTTAGAAAATATTTTCTGTTCTTTGACAGTCCAATAGGCCTATTTTTTCTGGACACTGCCATTCTCTCTGTGAGATAGTTTTAGTAGTTCCACATTTTATATTCACTTATGTATATTCATGACTCGCAGCATTGGTATCCATATGTCCGCTGGCATGATATCTTGGCTCATTCAAATGGATGTTGGATAATGGTTTGTTTATCATATTTGGGATTTGGTGATCATTTTCACATGTTATCTTGTTAACAGAACAATCTGGAGGATCTGTACAGCCTTCTGCGGTTTTTGAGAATTGAACCATGGGGAACTTGGGCATGGTAAGGTTCCTTATCTATCTTTGCTTGGAAACACATTACACGGTGTGGAATCACTGAAGCTTGTTAGTTTGGAACATATTTATTCTTAGGTGGAATAAACTTGTTCAAAAGCCATTTGAAGAGGGCGATGAGAGAGGGCTTAAGCTGGTGCAGTCCATCTTAAAACCTATCATGCTTAGGAGAACCAAGTCTAGCACGGATCGAGAAGGAAGGTGGGTCTACTACAAATAAGAAATTTACTCATCTTTATAACTTTCTGATGCGTATAAAAAACTATCTTTTCCTTTGAGTTTCCTCGATTAATCTGAAGCATGTTTGCTTACTTTAGGCCCATTCTTGTTCTACCTCCTGCTGATGTGCGGGTCATTTACTGTGAACTGTCGGAGACTGAGAAGGATTTCTACGATGCTCTTTTTAAAAGATCTAAGGTAGTTTGAGTTCTCAGAATTCTATAGTATTTTACTCATACTTTTCTCTTCCCTAATACTGAAGATGCGGACGGATCTTTTCAGGTCAAGTTTGATCAATTTGTTGAACAAGGAAAAGTTCTTCATAATTATGCTTCGATCCTGGAACTGCTATTGCGTCTTCGACAGTGTTGTGATCACCCATTTCTAGTAATGAGGTACAACTTGTTATCATAGACCATATGGGCAATTTGTTATAAAAAAAACATGCAACCGTAGCACTTGTTTCCATTTGCATGTTGTTGACACAACAGTCATAATTTTTATAATAGTGTATTGTTTTCATGCATCTAGTCGAGGTGATACAGCGGAATACTCTGATCTGAATAAGCTCGCTAAACGTTTCCTTGGTGGAAGGTCTTCGGGTCTAGAAAAGGAAGGAAAAGATATACCATCGGTGGCTTTTGTTCAGGAAGTCGTAGAGGAACTGCGCAAAGGAGAGCAAGGAGAGTGTCCAATCTGCCTTGAAGCGTTTGAGGATGCTGTATTAACGCCATGTGCTCATAGATTATGTCGCGAGTGTCTCTTGGCAAGTTGGCGAAATTCAGCTTCGGGGATATGCCCTGTGTGTAGGTATCTTGAAGTTCTTCCTGCTAGTACTAGTTTTCATGTGATGTCATCGCTGTTGATTCCACTAAGGGTCTAAATTCGGTCAAATTTGGCCAATAACCATGATCTTTCTTTTCCAGGAAAACTGTAAGCAAACAAGAACTCATCACAGCACCAACAGAAAGTAGATTCCAGGTGGACGTGGAAAAGAATTGGGTAGAGTCATCCAAAATCACTGCTCTTCTACAAGAGCTTGAAGGTCTTCGTTCTTCAGGCTCCAAGAGCATTCTCTTTAGCCAATGGACTGCTTTCCTCGATCTCCTCCAAATTCCCCTCTCTCGGTATACCTATTTACATGTCTTGCTGATGTTGGTTTGCTATAGTAGTATTGAGAAACCAAAATTATTGCAAGAATTTGAAATCATTTTTTTCATCTCCAGGAATAACATTTCGTTTCTTCGTCTTGATGGCACGCTAAATCAGCAGCAACGGGAGAAAGTCCTTAAAGAGTTTTCCGAAGATGGCAATATCCTGGTTGGTGTAGTCGCATTACCGTGAAATGTTCAAAAGCTATGCTTTCAAGTTTCTAAATTGAAGTTAACACTTCTCTTCTATAATTGTTGGATAGGTATTGTTAATGTCTCTAAAAGCTGGTGGTGTCGGGATAAATCTAACAGCTGCGTCCAATGCGTTTGTCATGGTATGGCATATCTTTAACTGTCCCTTAACGATCATATCAGTTTCCTATAGTATATACACCATGTAGCTCATCCAAAATATGAAAATTAAGGAGTAGTTCATGCTACCTTAGGTTTGAAAAGCTTGTGAAAAGGAGTACTGTACAATACAACATAGATTTTGAATCAGGTTCGATTGAAAATGAAACCAAATTGTGACCTATAGGATCCATGGTGGAATCCAGCGGTAGAAGAACAAGCTGTTATGCGTATTCATCGTATTGGACAGACTAAGAAAGTCAACATCAGAAGATTCATCGTTAAGGTACATTCTTCTTTCTCGGCGGTTGATTCCCATTTTAGTTTTACTATGTCCAAAATCAGAAAAAGTTGATTGCTGCTGAGTATTGATGATTAGAAACTTGTGGGAAATGTTTTGTCTTCCCTCTGTGAATCCTAGGGAACGGTTGAGGAGAGAATGGAGGCGGTTCAGGCGAGGAAGCAGAGAATGATTGCTGGGGCTTTGACCGATCAAGAAGTAAGAAGTGCACGTTTAGAGGAACTCAAGATGTTATTTACCTGAAACTAGATAAAAAACTGTTCTCAACTCTGAAACCTGAAGTCTATCATAGAGCTCGACATATGGTAAACTCTGAACATGAAACTCGTCACATTCTGTGCAAATGGAAATCAGAGATGATAAATCTGAAAATGGGTTTTGTTCTTTTCGAGAGATATGATAGACAATTGTCACAGCTCTATGGAATGTGCAGAGAGGATCCCAAGTGTATGTTAAACCTATATGGGTTTTGTTGTTTTGTTATGATAGAGAGCTCTTTGTAATTGGAGTTCAGAATGATTTGTTGTAACTCATTATGGCAAAGTGAGACTTGAACTATATTAGCTTTTCCTTTGGTAAAGAGAATAAAATTAAGAATCTTTATTGTTGTAGAGCATGTTTGTACTTTTTACTGTTAGAACCTGTCCTGAGTTATAAAAGTTTCTACGTACTTTCATTGCGTAAATTACGACAGCGTACTTTGTAAATTTCGTAGCAAAATGACAAAATTGATCGATTTGAAGTGGTAGCAACATGTCAATTAATGTACTTTTCCCAATATCCCACACTGACAAATAGATCGATAAAAAAATGTCTTCTAGGGTTTAACTGTGAAATTTGCACGATTTGTTCTCATGTTAGGTGACAACGTGTGTGTGAAACTTTATTATGGCTCTAATATATTTTATATATGACTAAAATTGAAAATTACACATATAGCAATTTTGTGAGTTACAATTATCATACGTCATATTATTAATCTTATATAACTCTTAAAACTGATAAAGAAATATATAATGTTTATTCCATAACACATGTCACAATCTTACTACTTTCATAATTAAAAGAAATATTGAGTTATAAAAAAATTAATATATGTATGTGCATTTAGTTTTATATAATAAGATTCAATTATGCCACTTTTCTCTTTTTATATATAAGAAAACAAGAAAAGCAGATTTTTCTAGAATTTTTCTTTTTTTATATATAAGAAAACAAGAAAAAAAAACAGATTTTTCTAGTTTCCTTAATGGAAAAAAAAAAAAAAAAGGTGCTTATGTTATATATATGGCTTTTATGTTTCTAGCCTTCTAGGTTGCATCAATACTAAGCAGCCATGAAAGATTCACAGCCGTCTCCCTCACGTAACCTAGATCATGCCGGAAACTCCACAACAACAACCTTTCCTCTCAAACTCATCTTCGAGATACTCTCGAGATTTCCGGCGAAATCCGTCATGAGATTCCAGTTCGTGTCGAAGCAGTGGGGCGCTATCATCCGTAGCAAAGATTTCGCCGACGCGTTTCTGACTCGGTCAAGGACTCGGCCTCGTCTCCTTTTCACCTTTTCACACTTGGATTCCGGGAAGCGTTTCATCTTCTCAGCCCCTGAACACGACAAACAGAAAGACGACAAATCCTCCACAGTTGTCGCCAGACACGACATGACAGTCTCGGAATACTGGAACCCCGACACATCTTCTCCACCCTTCGACATCACATCTCCCCCCGTGAACGGCCTGGTGTGTTGCACACGTGGCTCATCAGTCGCTGTATGTAATCCCACCACGATCTAGTGAATGAGCTAGGGTGTCAAATGACCCCCACTAATTCATAAATTTTTGATTTAATATAAGCATATAACTGAAACATTGATTAGTTTTTATTAGTTTGACCCTGTTAATTGTAGATCTTCCAAATTTTGACCCCCATGAATAATATTTCTACCTCCGCCACTGCTGGAAGGTGTGAGATCCAAAGGAAAAGTCATGCACGCACGTCTCGGGTACGACCCGGTGGGAGATGAATACAAAGTGTTGTGTGTGGTGATATTCGATGGGCACGAACGCGATACAACAGCAGAGATAAAACAAGAGCATCATGTTTACTCACTAGGATCTCACTCGGGATGGAGAGAGGCCCAGATCACCACCGAAAAGTCTTACACAGATGTAGAAGGCGGAATTTGCATCAATGGTGCTATATACTACGGAGTTGGACCTACAAAGATAGCTAGATTCGATCTTAGATACGAGAAGGTGACGTTTATTGAAGCACCCAAAGACTATTACACTAGTTGGAGTTTGATAAATCATCAAGGAAAACTTGGAGGAATGCAGTACGATAATTACTTGTATGAGCTACGTGTGTGGATTCAAGAGAAACAAAAGTTGTGGAATAAGATGTCTTGCGTTGCGCCCTGTGAGTGGAGAGATTTGTATAAGGATAAGAGACCATCTTCTCCGGGAGAGATTCATACTGGAGAAGTTATGTTCGTCTCCGACCGGTTACAATCGTCTAGGCCTTTCTCTGTGTTCTATTGCGATGTGATCCAGGAGAGCTTCAGAAGTGCGCAAGTCAAAGGAATCGCCGATTATGAGTTTAGACGTACGCATGGAATTGGTATGCATGATCTTGATATGTTGTGTTTTCCAGGTTACACTGAGAATATCATGTCCTTATGGCCGTAGGGTTTACTTTCTTTCGTTTGTCTTGGTTTATTTCTTCATGCTTTTTAATTAGCTTCCTACAATAGTTTCTTATCTTTTCGAAAATTTGGCTTTGGCTTTTTTATTATTATTCGTTTTAGATTTTTTTAATAAAACAATGGGTGGAGGAAGAGAGAAAATATTATTACACTATGTTTATGTCAACAATAATTCTCTTATATATCATATTTTTTAGAGAGAAAAAAAAACGGAATGTGTAGCGTGTGCTGTTGCTTCGAGAACAAATTAACTTCATAGCCAGAGTTGTGAGCCATTTGCCCATTTGTAATTTTTTGTAAAGAAAATTGATATGAAGAATACTTACGACAAGGCAAGGATTCTCATATATATAGTCTTTTAACCAAAATATATGTATGCTATATATACATGTTAATAGTTGAGAGAATGAGAGGTTATCCGCGTTGTAAATTAAATTTTACATGTGGCTAATCAAAATAACTCTTATTCCCCATTGTTTTTTATTTTTTAAATCCAAGTATTAATGGGTTGATAGATCACCTTTTTTTTTTGACATCCGATCACCTAGAAAAAGTATATCACTACTAATCAAGGCCTTGAATGGAGGAGGAAAAGGAAAGACGTACAGTGATAAACTGCCTCAGTTTTCAAAGATAATCTATTATATTCCTAATGAAAACAAAATTAAGCAAATCAACACAAAAGCAAATTAAAGCGAAGTCAATTTGATTGTTGCACTAGAGATGCTATATTTTACGGATTTTTTTGTCGTTGTCGAAAACACGGATATATAAGTAACAGTTTGTATAACATAAATATAAGAATGCTCAAGTAAATGTAAGAAAATAAATCGTTCTACGTAGCTGGTTACATGGTAAAACCGCTCTCAAACTATTTTCGTTCAAACAAAATAGTTTATGTATTCTACAGAAAGTACGAAAATTAATATGAGACAACCCAAATAAAAATCTGAAGATAATCTTAAAAGCAGATATGACGACAATACGACATGTGGATAATATTATATTGTAACATGTCTTTATACGTTGCCATTACGCTCATTTGTCAAAGAAACCTTAATTTGATGAAGTAACTAAGCAAGAAATTCCACATTCGACATAGACATCTGTCCTTAGATTGAGGAGCTTTCGGACCAAATTTTTTGATTTTATTATGCATATGTTTGGACTTTGACCTTACATGAATCTATGGAAGAGGTTTGCAATTTCCAACGTTGAGAAAAATACAAAATAAGAAAAAAGTATAAAAATCTGTTTCGTTTTTTTTTCATCTTTGAATACTTTCTATTTGGGGGTATCACTACTTATTAATTTAGCTTGTAAACCCAAATGAATTAGTTAACAATAGTGATGATCCACATGATTAAAGCAGGGGGTTATGTTTTACTTTTTGTCAACAGCATGGGATTATGTTTTCTGTTAGTTATTCTAACTCACTCTCGGGAAACAAATAATATGTTTTCGATATCGATTTCATTTCTAAAGTTCAGTCCAAAGTTTCGGCTTGGTACGAACGCTTTTGTGGAACTTTGAGGGAATGTCCGGATAACGAGTTTGATCACGTGGACGACGTAATATGAAATATGAATACCTAAAATAGTTTCTAAAAAGAAAAACTCGATTTGAAGCGAAAATCTATATTTACAAAATAAATTATTAGTGACAAAAGATTTAAGCATATGATATGTCATAACTCAACCGTATATCTAAGGTTATAATCGAGGAAAGAAAAAAAAAACACGATAAAAGTGTATTTTTGAAAATATACTAGTTTTGAAATTTTTCCATGAAAAAAAAAACTAAAAAAACTAAAAATGGGCTTCCAAAGCTAAACTCACCGTGGCGTGAGCGGTTGTTTCAATCGGACTAACTCCACGTATACGGTGGATTAACTTTACAAACTGTAGATAACAGAGTACACAAATTATGTTAAATTTGTCCAAAAATACATTTATGTTAATACAATGTGCTCTCTTATTGTAGTGGTTGGCTGGTTCCTGTAAATTTACAATCCTAATATTCTTTAAAGCCGGTCCTTGATTATTTACTTTGAGCTAAAACATTCTTGAAATACTTCCCAAGTTTTGAAGGTGTTGTTCTGTTGTCAAATATGTTCAAGAAAATACTTCCCAAGTTTTGAAGGTGTTGTTCTGTGGATTCAGATTTATCTTATCTTTTTGTTAAAGAGAATCGGATTTAACAAATTGATAACTTCTACTTCTTGATTGGTTATGAAGTAAAAAATCAAGATCTATAAATTGATGCAACCATAGTGTTTAGATTTTGTTTAGTTTTTTTTTAATCATAGTTAAAGGCTGAAAAATGTTAAATTTTAAAATATTAATATCCACGTAATTTGAAATATTGTTAGTCAAAAGTCAGGTACGCATGCTATTTTTCCAAACTAAAAAAAAAAAAAAAAAAAAGAGAGAAAAAACTAATTATCGTATCCATCAATTAAACTTATTTGTCTACGTAAGTAGAGTGCGTAGTTAATTATCTCAGAAGCTGACAATATCCTAGTCATCCCTCAAACACGAGATTTTTGCGTTATTGAGCAACTTTTTTGTTTTTAATGATCTTACTGAAATTATTTTATGTCTTTTTGAAAAAGATTAAAGAAACATACAATTTTATTACACAACTTTATCGTGAAAACAGTTGAAGGGTAGGTAGTTTATGCAATGCCTCTTGTAAATGACGAGACCAACCCTTAATAATTTACATTCTAGCTAGTTGTGGCAGCGCAAGGCCTTACAAATCAACGTAATGTCCTATTATTATTTAAAGGAAGTTTTTTTATATAAAAAGGTATCTAGTACAGAAACATTTATTAATTTAGAGCCTACATTTGCGATTTCTGATATAAGTTTTGTCTAATAAACATCGGTATAATATAAATTCTCTGAGAGCGTCTCTAAAACGAGATTAATAGAGATAACCAAGAAAAAAAATCATAACTTTCTTTTCATTTGTTTGGAGAACCTAGAAGTTATGAATTTCAAATCTGTAATCTTATATTCCTCGGTCAAAAGAGTAGAGCATGTTAGTAAGTTATCTATTTAAAAAAAATATATATTATAGTTCGCAATCTTAATTACTTTTTAATGATATATCAAAGCTAGTATACCAAATTGAATTAGCAATATAGTTTTTGAACACAATATTATGGATGACCCAATCACAGAACGACACATGACAACCTAACTGTCATAAAGCGTCACAGAATGTGATTTTACACATTCTTCTTTAAATTAACAGGATAATGTGTGAAATTACCTTTCACAGTATTTATTATCATGCATTTGTTTTGCAAATAAATGACCAACATATAGTGAATATAACACAAACTGACTCTGTTGGATTCTCCTATTTTTATCGCATTGCATTTTGTTAGTATCTCCAAATTTATTGCACTGGCCGTTTAAATGCCAGAAAAGTTTACAATATTATTTAACCGGTTCATTTTCTTCTTAGATGTGAATTAACCAAGCACAAAGTTGTAATGTTAACGTTACTTTGGTGGGCACGTAACTTCTTACCATTAATGATTTGTTTCTCAATTATATCTATTGAAAACACTGCGTAATTGAGATAATGAAATTTCAAAGATTAAATTGAATAGGTTCAACAATTTTTAAAAAAACAAGAGTTAAAGTAAATTATTTGGAGTTGACCAAAAGAAAAGTAAGATCTTAAGAAGTTGACTAAAAATAAGTACATTGTTGCAGTCAAATAAAAAAATAAGTAAATTGTTAAAAACTTTTGGGAAGAGAATGATTTAACATTAAAACCACATATAAAACCTTTGAAAAATGTAAAAAGCTGCCAAAACCCAAAATCCCATAAATGGTAAGAAGTTAAAATTCATCAAATCATTAATCATTCATTGTTAAATAAATTCATTAGAAAAAATAAAGGATTCATTAGAAATCTAACGCTCTCTCCCTTTCTCCTCCCATTGGCAGGCACAAATTCTCAAACAAGAAAACCCAGAAACTGAAAAACCAAATCCTCTGTTGTTTTTACCAGAACTTCTTTAACTGAAACAGAATCTCACAAAGACACAAGCCAAATTTCACTGGTTTTATTTTATTTTATTTACATTTCTGTAGAAAAAATCCTTCAAAATCAATCGAAAAGGAAAAATATCTTACAAACGAGAGAGAAAATAAATAAAATAAAATAAAGCTTCACCATTTATATTCCTTCTCTTTCTCTTCTCCTTAACTCACATTTCCTTCTGCACTCTCTCTTCCCAAGTTTTCTCTCTCTCTCGAACTGTAGAGAGAGAAGAAAAAAACCTTCATTTCTCTAGGCAAATCACCCCTTCTCTTTCGCTTCATAAACCCCATTACACAAAACAGAGAAAAAACCTCACTTTAACAATCTATAGAGAGAGAAATCCACCATTGTTTCACCGTAGGAGAGAGAAGGAAAATGGAAGGTGTTTCACCGAAATTTGTGTTGCCGGAGACGTTCGACGGCGTGAGGATGGAGATCACCGGTCAGCTAGGCATGATCTGGGAGCTTGTGAAAGCACCGGTGATTGTCCCTGTTCTTCAATTAGCGGTTTACATCTGCCTGCTCATGTCTGTCATGCTGCTATGTGAGAGGGTGTACATGGGAATCGTCATCGTCCTCGTCAAGCTCTTCTGGAAAAAACCCAACAAACGCTACAAGTTCGAGCCCATTCACGACGACGAAGAGATCGGAACCTCCAATTTCCCGGTGGTCCTCGTCCAAATCCCCATGTTCAACGAACGAGAGGTCTCTTTCTTCTCTCTCTCTCTGTTCACTGCTCTGTTTTTCCTCTGTTTCTCCTCAATCGTGATTTTTTTTAAATTACTTTCCAAACCCCAAACTTTTAAGATTTCGAGAAAACCACCCTCAGATTTCACGAAAAACACATTTCCCCACGTATTCATATATTCCTCCGCCGTTCCAAATCCCGAAACCGCGAGAGTCCGAGACTCGTACAAACTTTAATGCTCATGGCTTTTGGGTTTTTTCCTGTATAAAGCATAGTTTAAGGCTTGATCATTGTAAATCGCTAAATTACAGGGGCTAAAAAGTGAGAAAAACAAAAGTTGATAAGATTTTTCTCTCCCCGTGATTTTTGCCATCAGGTTTACAAGCTATCAATAGGAGCGGCGTGTGGACTCTCGTGGCCGTCCGATCGTCTCGTGATTCAAGTGTTGGATGACTCAACTGATCCTACTGTTAAGGTATTATTAGTAATTCTAGATTTTTACTTAGTCCATTTACTTTTCAGAAAATATAGCTTTGCTGCTTTCTTTTTTTACTTTCCACAACTTTCTCCAAATAAACAATTTTTAACTGTATTTTCATTACCTTTATTCAAAAGATTTCCTTTCTTGTAAAAGAGGTAATTACGACTAACATATTCGGCTAGGTAAGAAAAGGTTAAAAAGTGGGAAGACCGTAATAAATTTGGAACATTAATAGATTGTTTTCCTAAATTTTAAAATGTGTGATTTAAATGATATACTAAAAATGTGCAGCAAATGGTGGAAATGGAGTGTCAAAGATGGGCAAGTAAAGGAATCAATATTAGGTATCAAATCAGAGAGAATAGAGTTGGTTACAAAGCCGGTGCTTTAAAGGAAGGACTCAAACGCAGTTATGTCAAACATTGCGAGTATGTTGTCATCTTCGACGCCGATTTTCAGCCCGAACCGGACTTTCTTCGCCGTAGCATTCCGTTTCTCATCCACAACCCCAACATTGCCCTCGTCCAGGCTCGATGGCGTTTCGGTAATTCTTTCATTTCACATTTTCGTTAGCGTATCTTAAATTTGATAGTCATTGCTAGAAAATAGTTGGTTCATTAATCTCTACACAAGACTGGTAGTTACTATATGATATAAAAACTAAAATTGACATTTGATAATGTTGTCAAGTGTCAGGGTCAAAACACTAATGAATCGGTTGTCTTTTGTTTATGTTTTATGATAAATTTAATGTTGCCCGGATCATTAAATGAAAGCTCGTGGTTTTGGTTTAGTAGCTCCATTAGTGGTGTCGGTGGTATATGTCCTTCACTGTTTTTTATTTTATTTTTGTTGCCTTTTTCTTTCTTTTGCATACCTTTTTTTCCTCGATTTTCACTTTTTATTCTCGCTTTTTGAAATGGTCTTTTCATGAATTTTGTATCTTTCTTTGGATTATCTTTACTTGTTATATTGTCTGATTGACGAAGTAGGGTTAGTTCTGTTTGTGTCGGCGGAGTAGGCATAGTGAATGTGTCTTTTTTTACTGGCTCCATTTTAGCCATTAGTAATTAGACACGTACAAAAACGGTTGTCCTTTGTTCCATGTTAAGAGTTTAGGTACACCTTGCTGCATTGGATTAGAACTAACTCTCAAAACCTAAACCGGGTCGGATTAGTTGCGCAATTCCGGGTCAACGGATAAAGTAATAAAGTTTGTTGACGTTCGTGTTGTGCTTCTAGTTATCTTCTCCGGAATTCCGGATCCGTCGGTCAATGAATCGAATCGAATCGAATCAGATCGACCCGGTTGGTTTAGTGAGGTTGGGTCGGGTTTAGTAAGAAGGCGAGTGTTAACTGTTGGTCTTTAGAAATTGTCGGGTCTCTGATACTTTCCACGTGCTCTTTGCCTTTCTTTAAATGCTCAAGTATGGGACCCATTATTGTCAGTATTAGTAAAGTCTATAGTATACAGTTGGAGTATCGAGTCTTGCTGTGGACCTGCCATTCTCTTGCCGACAATTGTTTTAAGTATTATAGTATTTTTTTTGTTTTTGTCTTAAATTTTCTTTTAAAGCATGAGTCCAACTTAGTGAATTTAATAATGAGAAAGCTATATGAATATGATTGAATATTAAAGCTAGAAACAAAAGAGAAGGACGTTACTTCCTGATAGTGCCACTGCCACATTTGGGCAGTTCTCGTATCAAATAAATTGAAAAATAATAGAGATTTGTTTATGTTATAACCGTATGATTTTCTTAGGACTAATAATGAATTGATCTTTACTTTTGCAGTAAATTCTGATGAATGCTTGTTGACGAGGATGCAAGAAATGTCGTTGGACTATCATTTTACTGTGGAGCAAGAAGTTGGTTCATCAACACATGCTTTCTTCGGTTTCAACGGTAAATAAATAGTTAATTTTAGTAATTACTAAAACATCATTAGTTTTCATAACAGACAAAATTAAGGAGTTTTGCGAGTTAATGCTGTTGACTATTGATATAGTAGAGCTAAGTGTGACGTTGGTATGTTGTCCGACCAATTGCGGCACAGTATGTGGACCCAAACTAGTATATTTTATCTTTCTTATGATAGTGTAGATTGTACAACTGTTACTAGAAAACCAAAGGAAAATAAAAATATATTATTAAGGGAATCATCAATAATGAGTTGAGAGGAGTGGGAATCTGAATTGTGAAGCAAGTAGGTGTATGGGTTGTACTTAATAGTTATTGTCATCCCTTGTCTTAGAAGTTAGATTTGAAAACTTAGAAAAAAAATAGTTTATTTGTTTGGTTTTTAGATTGTGTTCATTAATTAATTAGTGTAAGTGGGACACTTAATTACATAATGACTTGTACTGGAAGCAAATGAAATCGGATCTTAAATTAGCTGGACACTAATTAGTTGTGTTTTCTTGTCTAGATGTTTTTTTGTCATGACAAAAACTACTTCAACTAATGTAGCCGGAAACTAAAATATTGTAATCATTTGTTTTTAATAGGAACCGCCGGAATATGGAGAATAGCGGCGATAAATGAAGCTGGCGGGTGGAAAGATAGGACCACCGTGGAAGACATGGATCTCGCCGTCCGAGCAAGTCTTCGCGGCTGGAAGTTTCTCTACCTCGGTGACCTTCAGGTTTTACATTTATTTATTTTCTGAACTTTTCTGATCATAAAGTTAAAGAGTTAGAATAAACTGAATCACAGAACAAAAAGTAGTTGGTGCACAAGAAACATCTCTCATTAAACACATGACACATGACATCTGACTCACAAGTTGTGTTATGATCATGTACCATTTTAAGAACTAAAGATATTTTGTTATCATTTGTATGAAAAAATTGGTATACATCTAATTATGATTGCTTTTATATTTGTACGTATTAGGTGAAAAGTGAGCTTCCAAGTACTTTTAGAGCCTTCCGTTTTCAGCAACATAGATGGTCTTGTGGACCTGCAAATCTCTTTAGGAAAATGGTCATGGAGATCATCAGAAACAAGGTAATAAAAAAGACAAAAATAAGTTACCCTTTTTCCTCTGGTAACTTAATTCTTTAATCTGACAATTACTGGTCTTGGTGCAGAAAGTGAGATTCTGGAAGAAAGTGTATGTGATTTACAGCTTCTTCTTTGTGAGGAAGATCATTGCACATTGGGTCACATTCTGTTTCTACTGCGTTGTTCTTCCTCTCACCATCCTAGTCCCCGAGGTTAAAGTTCCGATTTGGGGCTCTGTTTATATCCCTTCCATCATCACTATCCTCAACTCCGTCGGTACTCCAAGGTAAACTTGGTTGCTTGTACCCAAAGTCACTACATTTTCTTCTACTTGTATGTCAAGTAACTCCTTTTCCTTATGCAGTTTCTTTTATACTCAATCTTTTTGTTTTGGCTTTGTTAAAAGGTCGATTCATCTGCTGTTCTATTGGATCCTATTCGAGAATGTGATGTCGCTGCACCGGACAAAGGCCACTCTCATTGGCCTGTTTGAGGCAGGTAGGGCTAACGAATGGGTCGTGACTGCTAAGCTTGGAAGCGGCCAGAGCGCTAAAGGGAACACAAAAGGGCTTAAAAGGTTCCCCAGAATCTTCAAACTGCCTGATCGGTATGTATACTTTCTTGATCGAAAATGTCTTATTGGAAACTATATGTTGACACTTGATGATGATTATGAGTTATCATTTGTCTCAGATTGAATACATTGGAGCTTGGATTTGCGGCATTCTTGTTCGTGTGTGGATGCTATGACTTTGTGCACGGGAAGAACAACTACTTCATCTACTTGTTTCTTCAGACATTGTCCTTCTTCATCAGTGGGCTTGGCTGGATTGGGACTTATGTCCCGAGCTAGTAGTTTGTGTTCAGAGGAGAAGAGAGGGTTATTAATTTTCTGCAAAAATAAACAAAAAAACAATTTTTCATGTAAAAATCACATGGAAAATTGATAGGGAAAATGGTAACAAGTAGGAAGAAAAAGGAAGCGACTGTTATCAAGGAGAAGAGAGAGAGAGGCTCATCAAAGTGTTATTTTGATTAAATTTCATTTTTCTGCTCCTTTTTTTTTGTTTTTCATATTTAGCTATGGGATTTGTGATTCAGGAATTGTGAGATTTTTATTTATTTTTCTTTGGTTTCCCTTTCTCTGTTTTTGTATTTTTTATCTTTAAAGTGTTAGTGATTTGAATTTTAAGATTCCGAGTGATCTAAAACCTGTTTGATTGGTGCAATGCAATGGTAAGTTCCAAGTTTAGATCAATTCACCTTATAACCAGCTTGTGAATCCTGATTTTGATCATAGCATATGCTTTTGTTAACTAACATATGGTGTAATCTTATTTTGGTAGAAATAAATGAGTTTAATTTTGATGAAGATGTAAATGGTGGGCGTTGGGCTTTGCAATCATCTTTGTAACGTGTCCTTTTAAATGAAAACAAGGCTTAAATGAAAAAAAAAAGTTCTACTAAAAAATCAATATGTAAGCAGAAATATAAAAGATAACACAACATATTGAGCAGGCCCTTCGAAATATCCCTCCATAAAACCCTAAGAACGGCGACTTAAGTTTTAATTTCGTCTCTCGCCTTTGTAACTTGTCGCTGTGAATTTATTTTCGGGTCGATACAGTTTCGAAGGAGAAACGATGGCGCGAACAGGGGGAAGGGGCTGCTACGTAAGATATATAGAGAGAAAGAGAGCTACGAGGGCTAGGGCTGAAGCTAGAGCAAGAGAGGATAGGATAAGCAACTTACCCGATTCATTGATATCTCAGATACTCTCTCATCTTCCGACAAAGGATACTGTTAGGACTAGTGCTCTGTCCAAGAGGTGGAAAGGTGCGTGGCTTTTGATTCCCGGGTTGGATTTGGCTTCTTCTGAGTTCCCAGATTACAGTGCCTTTGTGAGTGTCGTGGACAGGCTCCTAGGTTTCTGTAGGGAAGAGAAGTTATGCATGCACAAGCTCAAGCTTAAAATTTGGAAACGTAAGAGAGATCCGCCCTGTGTCACGCGGTGGATAGAATTTGTGGTTAGGGGTAAACTTGAGCATCTTGATGTCGAATGTCTTAAGAGAAGCAAGTATTTAGAGGTGATGCCCTTAAGCCTTTATATGTGTGACACACTTGTATACCTAAGACTCTCTCGGGTATCGTTGAGGGAGTTGGAGTCCGTGTCTTTGCCTCGTCTCAAGACTATGGGCTTAGAACACAATGTATATGCCAATGATGCGAGTCTGGAGTCACTTATCTCTTCCTGCCCAGTTCTTGAAGATTTGAACCTTGTTAGAATGGTAACAGATAACGTCAAGGTTGTACGAGTTTACTCTCAGACGTTAACCAGTCTTGATATAGACTATGATAATGACTATGTTTACGGTTGTGTAAGAAAAGGCTCTGGGGTTTTGATTGATGCCCCGAGACTCAAGTATTTGAAATGGCAAGATGATCGATCGGAGACTAAAATCTTAACCAATTCGGATTCCTTAGCCAAGGTTGATCTTGCGTATGTCTTTAATTTTGTGGATGGTGCTGCTGACTTACCAAAGCGAAACATGGTCCGTAACTTTTTTACCAGTATTTCGAGAGTCACGGATATGACCATCTCTAGCAATACTGCCGAGGTACATAAGCTTTGCGATTGACACACACACACACACACACACACACACACACACACACACACACGTATCTAGAGTTCCTTTCATTAAGTGTTTGCTCACTCATATTCTTCGCTTTCTTTTGGTGAGCAGTTTCTCTATGATAACATGGAATACGAACCATTGCCACAGTTTTGCAACCTTTCCCGTTTAAAAGTGACGTTTGATTTATGTAATGTGGATATGCTGCCAGCCCTTCTCGAGAGCTGTCCGAATCTAAAATCACTCGTCATGGTGACCTTGCACAACCCTTGAGTTTTTATTTAAGGAATGTGACATCTTATTATATTCATTCATCTTGTTTCTTTGGTGTTGTTGTATGTTTGTGTTTCTATAGGGATCTGATCTTGATCCTTCGGAGGAGGAAGATCCTTTGGAGGAGGAGGAGGATCCGTCGGAGGAGCAAGTGCAAATAAGACTCTCATCTGTACCTCAGTGTTTGCTGTCATCACTCGAGCTTGTAGAGATGAAACACTTCAACGGAGAGCCTGATGAAATGGAAGTAGCAAGGTACTTTATAGAAAACTCAGCAGTCCTCAAGAAACTTGTTCTGGATTTACGCTGTTCCACGCCACAACAAGGGTTAAACATCTTGAAGAATCTCATTGCATTGCCCAGACGATCTACAACATGTCGCATCGTAGTTTCTTGACGGCTACAAAGGGGCTTCTAGGTTGGTCTATCTATATGACACAGACTTTGATTAGCATTTCCCTTATGGATTTTTCTATTATCATGTCTTTGTGAGCTTTTTTTGGTCATTAGTTGTGGATGATGTTTGACAATTGTATAACTCTTTGAAATACAAAACTAATGCTTATGCTAATGAAGAAATTTTAACTTTGGTCATTAGGAAGAGTCTTCTTCTTCTACGCATATTTATACATTTTTTTTTTAAAAAATACTGTATTGTCCAATTTCCCTTCCTTTCACACAAAAACTTTACGTAATTGATAATTGTAAGTTGTAAGTTGTAACTAGAGAATATACCCGTAAAATGATAAAAAATCAAAACATTTGAGCAGGCCCCTCGAAAATCCCTGCATAAACCCTGAGAACGGCGACTGAAAATTTCCGTCTCTCAGCCTTCGTGTCTTCCGAAATACAATCACGTGATTTCAACATCTTCCCTCATTTTGGGTAGTTAGAGACCGTGACACCATTTCCGGATTCTATTGCGTTGATTTTTTCGGTTATGGATTGGTTAGGTACTTAGGTATGTGAGAAATCGAGATTCTGACAATCTGTTTCTGAAAATTCGTGGCTGCTGCGTCAGTACACACAGATTTCGAGGCTGCCTCTGCGAATTGTTTGTTTGGTTAAGATTCAATTTTGTGAGCAAATCTGATGGACGACGAAAGCTGTTCGAAAGAGAAACTAAGGTGGGACGAATTGTATGCAAGATACATAACTGGAAGATGAATAAGAGCTCGACCTAGAGAGGAGGCTAGGATAAGCAAATTACCCGACGCTTTGATATCTCAGATACTCTCGTATCTTCCGTCAAAGGAAGCTGTTAGGACCAGTTCTCTGTCCAAGAGGTGGAAAAGTCTCTGGCTTTTGATTCCCGTGTTGGATTTGGCCTCTTCTCAGTTCCCAGATTACAACGCCTTTGTGAGTTTTGTCGACAGGCTCCTAGCTTTCTGCAGGGAAGAGAAGTCATGCTTGCACAAGCTCAAGCTCGTTATTCAGAAAGATGTGAATGATCCTCCCTGTGTCACTCGCTGGATAGACTTTGTGGTTAGGGGTAAACTCGAGCATCTTGATGTTGGGTGTCTTGTGAATCGTGGAGGTGTTGCCTGTAAGCCTTTACGTATGCGACACACTGGTACATCTGAGAATCCATCGTGTATCGTTGAGTGAGTTTGAGTCTGTGTCTCTACCTCGCGTCAAGACTATTGATGCAGCGTGGACTCCTTTTCCATGTCGGTTTTCATTCTCAAGTTTTAGTTAAACTTCCTTTTCTTTTGGTGTTTCCTTTTTCTAGATAAACATGTGTTTTTCCTTTTCTTAGTCGGTTTACGAATCTAAACCTCCTCTATATATAGTTGATGCCTTGATTTGTAAGGACACAACTTTTATTCATTACTAATCAAAGAAGCTTTTGCTCTCTTAATCTCTTGTCTCGGCTAGAACCCTAGGTTCTCAACGACACAACGAGCGTGTGTTTCTCTTGGGAATTCTCAGACTAAACAACTGAAACCACAAACCCTATCGGTGACTCTATCAGTTGGTATCAGAATCCAGTATTTTTAATTTCTTAATTAAGACTCGGTCCAACTAATCATGGCTCCTCGCAAACAAAATCAAGATGACCAATACGACGATCTTCGTCAGATGTTAGAGACGTTTACAGCAGGACTTCAGGAGGCGTTGAAACCTGCTGTCACAGACGCATTACATACCGTGTTGGATAACCAACAACAAGATAGAAGAGAGAACGTGCAAAACAGAGACCATCATCTCGAGTCTGATGACGAAGAGATGGTTGGCAATCTGTTTGCGGACCCTGCACGTAATCAGCCTCGCGGCCATCAACGTGACGATGACCTCGAACAACGTCAGGAATTGGCTCGTAATACCAATTCTTCTCGTTGGGAATCAGGCTTTAAGGTGGATATTCCAGAATTCTCGGGCTCCCTCAACCCAGAGGATTTCGTCGATTGGTTAAACATGGTGGAAGAGATACTCGACTTCAAGAAGGTTCCAGACGATATGCGTATTCCTTTGGTAGCAACTCGTTTCAAAAATCGTGCTTCAGCTTGGTGGACTCAGCTCAAGGAGTCACGACGTCGTTCCGGAAAACAGAAGATTGAGTCATGGGAACGTTTGAAGAAACATATGCGGCGGAGTTTTCTTCCGTATAACTACGAACAAACGCTTTACAATAAACTTCAAAACCTCCGACAAGGCTCGCGTTCTGTTGACGAATACGCCACCGAATTCTTTCAGATGATTTCTCGTGCGACTCTGCTCGAAACAGAGGAACAATTGGTGTCGCGTTTTATTGGAGGTCTACGCAGTCAAATCCAATTGGCGTTACAACAGTTTAACCCTTCTTCGGTCTCTGAGGCTCACCAACGAGCTATAGCTCTCGAGCAACAATATCGCGCCAACTGGTCTACTGGAAGTACGCGTACCCGTTTCCCTCCATCTGCATCACAACAACAGCCCTCAGCTAGTGCTCCTCCGGATGAACAACAAGTGCGCTCCGACAAATCGGCTCCGCTACCCGACTCTATAGCCAACTTCAGCCAGCCTCGTACTAGTGCCCTTTGTTGCTATAGTTGTGGCGAGAATGGTCACCGTCAAACAGCGTGTCCAAAGTTGAATCGCCGAACCCTTGTGACTCAGGATACAGAGATTATCGGCGGACCTTGCTTTGATGATTACGGTTCTGATGAAGAACACGATGGTGATGTTATTGAAGGTGACACCGGACCTGCTTCACGACTTCTTGTCGTCCGACGTAGTTGCTTAGCTCCCCGTGCTGAATCCGAATCCTGGCTACGGACAAATCTTTTTCGTACAACCTGCACAATCAAAGGCAAAATTTGCAAATTAATTGTGGATTCCGGCAGTTGTACCAACGTTCTTTCAGAAGAGGCTGCAACTAAATTGGGAATTCAGATGACTCCACATCCTCGTCCGTATCCTTTGGCGTGGCTTAACGCTGATGTAGACTTACGCATTACTAAGCAGGCAGTGGTACCTTTCTCTATTGGCTCTTACACCGATAAAGTGGAATGTGACGTTGCTCCCATGGATGCTTGTCATCTTCTTCTTGGCAGACCGTGATGTTCTCCACATAGGAAAGTCTAACACCTATAGCTTTGTTTTTGGTGATCGTACGGTCACTCTGGTGCCATCTCCGGAGAAGTTTGACATCTCTCCTTCTACGGATCGGAAAAAGACAGCATTGCCTCCCTCTCGAACTCCGACGTCTTTACTGATTCTCCCTAAGGCTGATTTTGAAGCAGAACTTCACGACAACCCTCCACTTTGGGCATTGATCACCTCTCCGATTTGCACTCCTTCTGTGACCCCTGTTCCACCGGAGTTCATTGCCATGCTTGATAGTTTTGCTGATGTTTTCCCGACTGATTTACCTCAAGGACTGCCTCCGTTACGAGATATCCAGCATCATATCGACTTAATGCCAAATGCCACTTTACCTAATCGTCCTCATTACCGCATGAGTCCTCAAGAACATGATGAGCTCCGTCGTCAAGTCGAAGACCTTATTCTTAAGGGACACGTCCGTGAAAGCCTCAGTCCCGCGGCCGTCCCTGCCCTACTTATCCCAAAGAAAGATGGTTCTTGGAGGATGTGCGTCGATAGTCGAACGATTAATAAGATTATTGTGCGTTATCGCTTCCCCATTCCACGTTTGGACGATCTTTTGGATCAAATTGGTAGTGCATCCATCTTCTCTAAACTGGACCTCAAGAGTGGTTACCATCAAATCCGAATCCGTCTTGGAGATGAATGGAAAACGGCTTTCAAGACGCGCGAAGGACTTTTTGAATGGATGGTTATGCCGTTTGGTTTATCCAACGCACCGAGTACGTTCATGCGGGTGATGAATCAAGCTTTACGGCCCTTCATTGGTAAGTTTGTCGTGGTTTATTTTGATGATATTCTTATCTTTAGTAAGGATATGACGAGCCATCTCGAACATCTCGAAGCTGTGTTACTAGTATTGCGTCGAGATAAACTCTTTGCGGCGCGACAAAAGTGTGTTTTTGGGTCGTCAGAAGTCCTCTCTTTGGGCTACATCGTTTCCAATCAGGGTTTATTGGTGGATCCAAGCAAAGTTGAAGCAATTAGGTCGTGGCCAACACCTAAAACTATTAGTGATGTTCGCAGTTTTCATGGCCTTGCATCTTTTTATCGCCGTTTCGTGCATCACTTCAGCAACATCACTGCTCCTTTAACAGATTGCTTGAAAGGATCGTCTTTTGTTTGGACACCTGAAGCAAACCAAGCCTTTGAAACGATTAAGGAGAAACTCACTTCTGCTCAAATCTTGGCGCTACCTGATTTCTCACAAGTCTTTGAGCTTCACTGTGACGCTTGCAAATTGGGTATTGGTGCAGTTCTCAGCCAACGTGGACGTCCCATAGCTTTCTATAGTGAGAAGATTGCCGGTTCACGTGCTCGATATAGTACTTATGATGTGGAGTCGTTCAAGCAATTAAACATTGGCGCCATTATCTATTTCACCAAGAGTTCATTCTCTTTACAGATCATGATGCATTGAAACACCTTGGCAGCCAAGATAAGATCTCAGCACGCCATGCTTCTTGGATAGCTTATTTACAACAGTTCACCTTCGTTATTAAGCATCAGTCCGGGAAGACAAACAAAGTTGCAGATGCTTTGAGCCGTCGACATTCACTCCTCACCACTCTTCATGTCAATGTTGTGGGTTTTGCAGCTTTACCTGAGCTTTATCCTCTTGATCCTTTCTTTGGACGTGTCTGGTCTGATTTAGCTGCAGGAATTCAGTCTGACTATGTGTTGGTGGATGGTTTTCTGTTTCGTGACAATCGCTTATGTGTCCCAGACTGTAGCTTGCGCCTGAAGATTCTCACTGAGCTACATGAAGAAGGTCATGTTGGCCGTGATCGGACACTGCAGCTTGTCCAAGATTCTTACTATTGGCCATCGCTTCGTCGTGACGTTGCTCGACATGTTGAGCGCTGCGTCGTTTGTCAACGTTCTAAGGGTCATGGCTCGAATAGCGGCTTGTACATGCCACTTCCTATTCCTACTCAACCATGGACGGATATTAGCATGGATTTCGTGTTAGGCCTTCCACGTACACAGCGAGGTAATGATTCAATTTTTGTGGTAGTGGATCGTTTCTCGAAGATGGTTCACTTTATTCCATGTAAGAAGACGACCGATGCCGTTCAAGTAGCTGTCCTATTCTTTCGCGAGATATATCGGCTTCATGGACTTCCTTTGTCTATTGTTTCCGATCGTGATTCTCGGTTCTTGAGTCACTTTTGGCGCTCACTATGGCGTTTGCTTCGCACTAGTCTTGATATGAGCTCTGCGTATCATCCTCAGTCCGACGGTCAAACGGAAGTTACAAATCGCTCTTTGGGAGATATGTTGCGTTGTTTGGTTGTGACAATATCAAGAGGTGGGATTCAGTCTTGTGCAAGGCAGAATTTGCTCATAATCATGCCGTCAATCGGAGTACGAAGTTTTGTCCCTTTCGAGTGGTCTATGGTGTTATTCCCCGCGGTCCCGTAAACCTAAGTGTGGCTCCGGACATCACTCGCGACCATGGCCAGACGATCGACTTTGTTGCTGATGTTTCTTTTATCCATTCACAAGTTCACGATAATCTTCAAGTTGCCTCTGTTAAGTACAAAATGGATGCCGACCGTCATCGCCGTGATCTCCAATTTTCAGTAGGAGATTATGTATGGGCTGTTCTTACTCGTGATCGATTTCCTCCTGGCACCTATAACAAGCTCAAGGCACGTAAAATCGGTCCTCTTGAAATACTTGAAAAGATTAATGCCAATGCCTATCGTGTTCGTCTTCCTCCGGAGGTCCGTTCTTCAGATGTCTTCAACATCAAGCATCTCACTCCGTATGTTTCTCATGATGACACTGAAGATTCGAGGACGAATCTTTCTCTACCCCGGGTGACCTGATGCAGCGTGGACTCCTTTTCCATGTCGGTTTTCATTCTCAAGTTTTAGTTAAACTTCCTTTTCTTTTGGTGTTTCCTTTTCTAGATAAACATGTGTTTTTCCTTTTCTTAGTCGGTTTACGAACCTAAACCTCCTCTATATATAGTTGATGCCTTGATTTGTAAGGACACAACTTTTATTCATTATTAATCAAAGAAGCTTTTGCTCTCTTAATCTCTTGTCTCGGCTAGAACCCTAGGTTCTCAACGACACAACGAGCGTGTGTTTCTCTTGGGAATTCTCAGACTAAACAACTGAAACCACAAACCCTATCAGCTACTATCGGTGACTCTATCAACTATGAAGTTAGAGCACAATGTGTATGGCAGTGATGCGTGTCTGGAGTCACTTATCTCGTCTTGTCCAGTTCTTGAAGATTTGAGCCTTGTTAGAATGGTAACAGATCATCTCAAGGTTGTAAGAGTGTGCTCTCAGACATTGACACGTTTTAATGTGGACTATATGTTTGGTGAAGATGATGACTATGTTGATGATTATGAGAAACAAGGCTCAGGGGTTTTTGTTGATGCCCCTAGACTCGAGTATGTGAAGTGGCAAGATGATATGTCGGAAAGTAAAGTCTTGACCAATCCGGCTTCTTTAGCCAAGGTTAATCTTGTTTACGTCTTCAATGAGAGTGATGTCGCTGATGTAGTTGACTTGCCAAGGCGAAATATGGTTCGTAATTTTTTCACAAGTATTTCGAGAGTCAGTGATATGAAGATCTCTGGCTCTACTGTTGAGGTATATAATAAGCTTTGCGGTTGATATATTTATATGTTCCTTTCGTGAAGTTTTATTTTTGCTCACTCTTTCTTTCTTTTGGTGGAGCAGTTTTTCTGTTACAACGTGGAACACGACCCATGGCCTAAGTTTCGCAACCTCTCCTGTTTGAAAGTGACGTTTACTTTATTAACTCTGGATATGATGACAAAACTTCTTAAGAGCTTCCCGAATCTAAAACATCTCATCTTGGTCCTGGTGATGACTTGCACAACCCTTTGAGCTTTTACGCAACTACTTTTAAGGAATGCGTTGTCATTTTTCTTTTGTTTGTGTTTTTTCTTTTATAGGATTTTGATCATCCTTCGGAGGATAATGAGCTAATAAGACTCTCATCCGTACCTCGGTGTTTGGTGTCATCACTCGAGTGTGTAGAGATAAAATATTTCAGCGGAGGGCCTGCTAAAATGGAAGTAGCAAGGTACTTTGTGGAAAACTCAGCGTTCCTCAAGAAACTTGTTCTGCATTTCAGATGTTCCATGCTACAAGAAGGGTTCAACATATTGATGGATCTCCTTGCATTGCCCAGACGATCTAGCCAATGCAGAATCATAGTTTGTTGACTGCTAAAAAGAGTTTTTAGGAGACTAAGATTAGCATTTCCCTGTTGGTTTCTTGGATTTGAAGAAATAAGAGTCGTTGTGGAGCCGTTTTAAGTTTGAATAAACTTTGTCTTGCGTTGAATAAATCTCCGATCTTAAAGGAGTTAGATTAAGTCGTTTCTGTTTCAGTATTTGTAGGAGTTAGTTTCTCAGTTTCGTTGTAAGGTCTCTTTAAAGGACCAAATCTTTTCTGATCAATCTAATAAGAACAATTCAGATCCCTTGCTGTCTTGTTCACAGAGAAACACAGTTTATTAAACTAACAAGTGGTATCAGAGCTCGTAACGAGCTTGGTACGAGTGAGCAGAAATGAGTGAGAGAGACAGGTTGTTGAGCATTCCTAAATTTGATGGCGATTATGAATACTGGGCTATGCTCATGGAAAATCTCCTAAGGTCGAAGGAGTGGTGGAGCTTGATCGAAACCGGGTACACACGACCAGAGAGAGGTGTGATCCTAACAGGACCACAGAGAGAGGAGCTGGCTCAATCGACACTCAAAGATCTCAAGGTAAAGAATTACCTCTTTGCGTCGATTGACAAAAACATTCTCAAGACCATCTTGAAGAAAGATACGGCGAAGGATCTGTGGGATTCCATGAAGAGGAAATATCAGGGAAACGAAAGAGTGCAAAGTGCACAACTGCAGAGAATGAGGAGAAACTTTGAAATTCTCGAGATGAAGGAGGGAGAGACTATCACAGAGTATTTTTCTCGTGTGATGATGGTGGTTAATGACATGAGGAATCTCGGAGAAGATATGCCGGACTCCAAAGTTGTTGAGAAGATCTTGAGAACGCTTGTGGAGAAATTCACATACGTGGTGTGTGCGATAGAGGAGTCGAAGGACATCAAAGACATGTCTGTTGATGGATTGCAGAGTTCATTGATGGTGCACGAGCAGAAACTCACCAGACATGTCAGTGAAGATCAAGCTCTGAAGGTGGAAGGAAGATGGAGATCAGAAGGAGGAAATGGCCGCGGAGGTTATCAATCTCGGGGAAGAGGACGAGGTGGATACCAAGGTCGTGGCAGAGGAAGTACAAGCACCTCAAAGGAGATGATTGAGTGCTACAAGTGTCACAAAATGGGTCATTACAAGAACGAGTGTCCTGAGTGGGAGAAAAAAGCAAACTATGCTGAACTCGAAGAAGACGTACTGCTCATGGCGTATGTCGAGACTTTGAAGGAAGAAGGAGAACACATGTGGTTCCTTGATTCTGGTTGCAGCAACCACATGTGTGGTGTTAGAGAGTGGTTTGTGGATTTTGACGAAACATTCCGTCAAAACGTCAAACTCGGAGACGATCGGAGAATGATGGTGGAAGGAAGAGGAAACCTCCGATTGGAAATCAATGGAACTATCCAACTGATTTCTTCTGTCTACTATGTCCCAGGGCTCAAAAGCAATCTGATGAGCATTGGACAACTGCAGCAGAAGGGTTTGAGGATCGTTATTGATGAAGATGTGTGTGAAATATGGCACAAAGAACAGAGAAGGTTATTGATGAGATCGGTGATGTCGAAAAACAGATTGTTTGTGGTTCTCGCTGCAGTGAAAGAAGCTAGAGATACAGAAGAAGGTTGCTTTCAAGTAACAGAAGAGAAGATGGAGGACTTATGGCACAAGCGGCTGGGACACTTGAGCCACAGCGGAATGCAGAGCCTGGTGGAGAAGAAAATGGTGAACGGCTTGCCTCAATTGTCACATAACGGAGATGGAGGACTATGTGACATATGTATGAGAGGAAAGCAAAACCGGGAGAACATTCCAAAGAAGAGTTCTTGGAGAGCGAGTCGTGCTCTGCAACTAGTTCACACTGACATATGTGGACCAATTGCACCAACCTCTGCAAGTGGGAAGAGGTATATCATTAATTTCATTGATGATTATAGCCGTAAGTGTTGGAGTTTTCTCTTGGCTGAGAAATCTGAGGCTTTGAGAGCCTTTAAGGAATTCAAAGTAGCTGCAGAACGTGAGATGGGGCTAAGCTTGGTGAGCCTTAGGTCTGACAGAGGAGGAGAATACAATTCTGCAGCATTTCAAGACTACTGCAGAGAGAACGGAATCAAACGACAACTCACAGCTGCATATACACCTCAGCAGAATGGGATTGCAGAGAGAAAGAATCGGAGCATTATGAATATGGCGAGGTGTATGATGTTGGGTATGTCAGTGCCAAGGAGGTTTTGGCCTGAAGCTGTGCAATATGCAGTTCACGTCTTGAACCGGAGTCCGTCTGCTGCACTTGGAGATGTTACACCAGACGAAAGGTGGAGCAACCACAAACCATCAGTGGAACACGTGAGAGTGTTCGGATGTGTGGCGTATGCTCTTGTTCCTTATGAAAGAAGAGTTAAGCTTGATGAGAAGAGTATACAATGCGTGTTTGTTGGAGTGAGTAAAGAGTCTAAGGCGTACAGACTGTACAACCCGGAGACAAAGAAGATCATCATTAGCCGAGATGTTCGGTTTGATGAAAGCAGAAAGTGGGATTGGGAAGAAAGCGCTCTCGACGATGGAGTGAGATGGGAAGAAGCGTTGACAAACTCTGAAGCTGGAGATAGTGGTGAGAACAATGGAGAAGAAGAAACGTTAAACCAACCAGAAGAGGTCGACCCTGAGAATGTCAACGCACCAACAGAGGTAACTCAAGCTGAAACCACTACTGATCAGACTGTTGCTGCAAGGGAAACGTCAGGAAGACAGAGGCAAACACCTGTATGGATGAAAGATTATGTCTCTGGAACTGCAGGAGAAGCTAGTTTCTTTGTCATTGACGATGATGAGGCTCTGATGATGTACACAACAGCTGAAGATCCTGATACATTTGAGGAAGCTGTTAAGTCTGAAAAGTGGAGAAAGGCAATGGAGGCAGAGATAGGCTCCATAGAAGAGAATCAGACATGGGAACTCGTGGAGCCTCCTGCAGAAGCGAAAGTGATTGGTGTGAAATGGATTTTCAAGACCAAATTCAATGAGAAAGGAGAAGTGGATAAGTTTAAAGCGAGGTTGGTGGCAAAAGGATACCATCAAAGACAGGGAGTTGACTTTCATGAGGTGTTTGCACCAGTGGCGAGATGGGATACGATCCGAGCTATCCTAGCTAAAGCGGCTCAAAATAGTTGGAAGGTGTACCAGCTAGATGTAAAGAGTGCTTTCCTACATGGAAACCTGGAAGAAGATGTCTACATTGAGCAACCTCTAGGCTTTGAAGTGGCTGGTGAAGCAGAGAAGGTTTACAAGCTCAGAAAAGCACTCTATGGCTTGAGACAAGCACCAAGAGCATGGTACAGCAGGATCGAAGGATACTTTGAGAAAGAGGGTTTTGCGAAATGCTATTGTGAGCATACACTGTTTGTAAAAACAGAGAAGGAGAAGATCTTGATAGTGAGTCTCTATGTCGATGACCTCATCTACACTGGAAACTCTGTTGAGCTGCTTGAAGAGTTTAAAGCTTCGATGATGAGAGAATTCTCAATGACAGACCTTGGGTTGATGAAATTCTTCTTGGGAGTGGAAGTAGTTCAAGATGGATATGGCATCTTCATCAACCAACAGAAATATGCAGTGGAGATATTGGAGAAGTTTGGGATGGAGAACTCAAACTCTGTGAGGAATCCAATAGTTCCGGGTCAGAAACTGTCAAAGGAAGGATCAGGGGAGACAGCAGATCCAACCACGTTTAAACAGCTCATAGGGAGCTTGAGGTACTTGACTGCAACCAGGCCTGATTTAATTTATTCTGTGAATCTAGTCAGCAGATTTATGGAGAAACCATATGAGGAACACATGTTGGCTGCGAAAAGAATCCTGAGATACGTTAAGGGAACAACGGATTTCGGAATTCGTTACAAACACAATGGAGAAGAGAAGCTAGTGGGTTTTGTAGACAGTGATTATGCTGGAGACAGTGATGATAGGAAAAGCACATCTGGATACGTGTTCATGATGAGTGGAGGAGCTATATCATGGGCATCAAAGAAGCAAGCCATCGTAACATTGTCAACAACTGAAGCAGAGTTTGTGGCTGCAGCATATGGAGCCTGTCAAGGTGTTTGGCTCAGAAACGTGTTGGAAGAGATAAGAGCAACTCAGACAGAAGGTACAATTCTCTACTGTGACAATAGCTCAACTATCAAACTCTCAAAGAATCCGGTGATGCATGGAAGGAGCAAGCATATCCATGTGAGATATCATTTTCTACGTGACTTGGTGAATGAAGGTACGATACAACTTGACTATTGTCCGACTCAAGATCAACTCGCTGATTTCATGACGAAAGCTGTCAAACTTGAGACATTTGAGAAGCTGAGGAGCAGAGTGGGAGTTTGCACGAAGGAAGTTTAAACTGGAAAGAATCCATTCCAGTTTAGGGGAGGCATTGAAGAAATAAGAGTCGTTGTGGAGCCGTTTTAAGTTTGAATAAACTTTGTCTTGCGTTGAATAAATCTCCGATCTTAAAGGAGTTAGATTAAGTCGTTTCTGTTTCAATATTTGTAGGAGTTAGTTTCTCAGTTTCGTTGTAAGGTCTCTTTAAAGGACCAAATCTTTTCTGATCAATCTAATAAGAACAATTCAGATCCCTTGCTGTCTTGTTCACAGAGAAACACAGTTTATTAAACTAACAGGATTGGCATTTTGATTTTGTTTGAATTCTATTATGATGTCTTTGTGAGCTTTTTATGGTCATTAGTTGTGGATGATGTTTGAGAATTGTATAACTACTATAAGGCCATTTTCCCCCTCTGTTTGCAAGTTTTAGAGTTTAACATTAACAACATCCGATTCCGATGATAAGTTTCCTCAGTAACTTAAAGTTTCTGAAAAAATAAGCTTCTTATGGTTCAGAGGAAAAACCTTGGTTTATTTGGTCCAACCCACTTTAGATAATTTAACATTCAAATATTCATTTGCTTTTTATATTTTAATATATGATTAAGGGTTCAATGAATTTAAAGACAATACTACAATAATTACAAGGCTCCAATAATTGTAGCACAAATTTACAGTTGGCATCAATTCTCCATTTTACAGTTGAGAAATAGCAGGAACACAAATCATCGAATCAGGTGGAAAACCGTCGGTTCGAACTCTTGAGCCAAAACATAGAACTGAGTTGTCGTTTTTGAACATTAAAAAAGCACGTGGCTAAGAGCATGCATTCTAACTTTCTAAGCCTCCAGTTGATGAAGAAGGTTCGTCGTCATCACTTTCCTCAGTCCTCCACTCACACTCACACAAGCTTGCTGCTTTCTTCTTCCTCCCAAATCCGTACTAAGGAATCTCAAAGGACAAGTAAGAACTTCGGTCAGCTGTCTACAGTATTCAAAATGTTGTTGACCAAGACCACAGAAAAGTAAAGCCTTTCTGCCCCTTTCTCAAAACTCTCTCAAACGCGTGTGTAGAGCCCAGAGTTGGAAATGGCATAAACCCTGAAAGACTCTCTCATTGCTCATAACCCTAAACCCAACAGGTGATTTCAACTTCTTCTCTCCGATTTTAGAAACATTAACACTCTTTCCTGGTTCTGTAGTGTTGATTTTGATGTTTTTTTTCCTGATTTCCGTGCTTAAAGTGTCTTTCAGCTTAGATCTCGAGATTGTCTCTACGGAATTTTCTGTTCAATTTTGCGAGCGGATTTGATGGAAGATAGGAAAGCGAAAGGAAAAGCCGTTAAAGGGTCTGCAGGTTTTTCAAGTGCAGGAGAGGATCTGATAAGCAAATTACCAGACTCCTTGATATCTCAGGTGCTCTTGTATATTCCGACAAAGGAAGCTGTTAGGACTAGTGTTTTGTCCAATCGGTGGAAAAGGGTCTGGCTTTTGATTCCTGAGTTTGATTTGGACTCTTCTGAGTTCTCAGATTACAATGCCTTTGTGAGATTTATGGACAGGCTCCTAGGTTTCTGTAGGAAAGAGAATTCATGCTTGCACAAGCTCAAGCTAAGTATTAGGAAAGATGGGAATGATCAGTCTTGTGTCACTCGTTGGATAGACTTTGTGGCTACGCCTAAACTTAAGCATCTTGATGTTGAGTGTCCTCTTGTGAAGCGTGAGTGTTTGGAAGTGATGCCGTTAAGCCTGTATGTCTGTGAGACACTTGTTTACTTAAGACTCCATCGTGTATCGCTGGTTAGTTTCGAGTCTGTTTCGTTACCTCGTGTCAAGACTATGCGTTTGGAAGAAAATGTATTTGCCAATGAGGCGGGTCTAGAGTTGCTTATCTCGTCTTGCCCTCTTCTTGATGATTTGAGCATTGTTAGAAGGTCAGACGATATCGTAAAGGTTGTACGAGTGCGTTCTCAGACACTAACCAGTCTCAGTTTAGAAGCTGCTGGTTGGGATGATGATGATGATGAAGGTTTTGATCATGAAAACTCGGGTGTTTTGATTGATGCACCTAGACTCAAGTATCTGAATTTCGAAGATGAAGTCTCGCATAGTAAAATCATAGGCAATCTAGGTTCCTTAACCAAGGTCAATCTTCTTGGCAGTTTCTATCTGTGGGATGACTTACAAAGACGTAACTTTTTCACCAGTATCTCGGGAGTTAAGGATATGAAGATCTTTTGGCAGACTTCTATGGTAATATGTTATGCAATTTATGTATAAATATTAATGCTCTTTTTTTGGCTAACCAATATTTCGCATGTCCTTTTGTTTCTCTGAGTAGATCATGGGCACTATCTTGCCATTACCCCAATTTCGCAACCTGTCCTGTCTGGAAGCAGGGTTATATGTAAACTGCCTGCAAATTCTGCCAGCTTTTCTTGAAAGCTTTCCGAATCTAAAATCCCTAACCTTGGTAATGACTTGCGCAAAATCCTAGAGTTTACCTCATACACTTGAGATATGATATCCGAAATTCACTCATCGTGTGTTGTTGTATGTTGTGTATTTTACAGGTTGTGCTTTATTCCAGCCGGACGGAAGAAATAAGGCTCTCGTTGGTGCCTCAGTGTTTGCTGTCTTCGCTCAAGTTTGTAGAGATAAAAGGCATGTTCTGGGGAGAGCCTATAATGGAAGCAGCAAGGTACTTTGCAGAAAACTCTGTAATTCTCAAGAAACTTGTTCTGTGTTTCGGTGGTTCTATGCTGGAAGAAGATACGAGGGATCTCCTTGCATTGGCGAGGCGATCGGGCACGTGTCAAATCATAGTTTGTTGACCGTTAAAATGACTCTTAAGGTTTGTCTATGATCAGACATACATTAGGTTGGGGGCTGGGATCTTTGATTTGTCCGAATTCTATTATCATGTCTTTTGTAGGCTTTGGCCACAACTCTTGTCTGCTGTTTGAGGATTCCAAAACTCTTTTTAAGTTCAACTTTTGTATCTCCCTACATTATTCTATCAGACTGAAACTCTAGTAGCTTTTTGGTCATTAGTTGTAGATGATGTTTGAGAATTGTATAACTACTATTAAGGCTTTTTGTCTTTCTCTCTTTCTCTTAATCCATCACTGCACCATCGGCAAGTTTCAGTGTTTAACATCGGATGATAAGTCTTCTCAGTAACTTAAAATGTCTGAAACAATAAGCTTCTTATGCTTTGGAGGAAAATCCCTGGCTGAGTTGGTCTAAACCCACTTAGATAATTAAACATTCAAATGTTCATTTGCCTTTTATAATTTATTTAGGATCAAGGGGTTCAAGGCCTGTTTAAATAGTAGCACAAATTTACAGTTTGTTGTCATCAAAAAGTCTAGGTGAGAAAACCGTCGGTTCTGAGTTCTGACTCTTGAACCAAAAACAGAATTGACTTGTCGTTGCATGCGTTCTAAGCCTCCAGATGATGAAGAAGGTTTCGTCATCATCATTTTTCTCAGTCTACAATATTCAAAACATTTGTTGACCAAGAGCAAAGAAAAGTAAAGCCTTTATGTCGCTTTTGTCAAACGCGTGAGTAGAGCCGTGTTCTGAAAGACTCTCTCATTGCTTATGAGTTATGACAAGTTCGACTTCATCTCAATCTCTAGCCATCGGATCTTCCATAACCATAAACCCATCAGGTAATTTCAACTTCTTCCCTCCTTTTTGGTTTTAGAAACGTTAACACTCTTCCTGGTTCTGTACTGTTGATTCTGTATAATCTGTTCTTGATATCCGTGCGAGATGTGTCTTTCTGCTTAGATTTCGAGGTTTGCAACCGGATTTAATTGGAGGAAATCTTTCAAAACACTAAACCCTTCAGGTGAGTTTCAACTTCTTACTCACTTTTTTTGTTCTGCTTCTTTAGCGTTGATTTTGATGACCTGTTTCTGAATCCCGTGCTAAATGTGTCCTACTACTTAGCATTCGAGGTTGTCTTGTGAAATCTCCAGCTCAATTTGCGATGGAGGAAAGCTTTTCGAAAGAGAAAGGAAAATGCGGCGAAGGGTCTGCGGGTTTCTCGAGTGGAGGAGAGGATCTGATAAGCAAGTTACCAGACTCTTTGATATCTCAGATACTCTCGGATCTTCCGACAAAGGAAGCTGTTAGGACTAGTGTTCTGTCCAACAGGTGGAAGAGCCTCTGGCGTTTGATTCCCGTGTTGGATTTGGCCTCATCTGAGCTCCCAGACTACGATGCCTTTGTGAGTTTCGTGGACAGGTTCCTAGGTTTCTATAGGGAAGACAAGCCCTGCTTTCACAAGCTCAAGCTAGTTATTCAGAAAGATGAGGATGATCAGCATTGTGTCACACGTTGGATAGACTTTGCGGCTACGCCTAAACTTAAGCATCTTCATGTTGATTTTGGTCTATTGCCTCGTGAGTGTATGGAAGTGATGCCGTTAAGCCTCTATGTATGTGAGACACTCCTTCACTTAACACTCAATTGGGTTTCGTTGGGTAGTTTTAAGTCTGTTTCATTACCTCGTCTCAAGACAATGCGTTTAGAAGCAAACATATATGCCAATGAGGCATCTCTGCAGCTTCTTATCTCATCTTGCCCCGTTCTTGAAGATTTGAACATTGTTAGAAGGCCAGATGATAATGTAATGGTTTTACGAGTGCACTCTCAGACACTAACCAGTGTCAGTATGCGAGTTGGTGGTGGGCATGATGATGATGAGGTTTATATTGAAGATTTTGATTTTGAAGGCTTTGCGGTTCTGATTGATGCCCCTAGACTCAAATATCTGACTTTCGATTATGAACTATCGCCTATCAAAGTCATAAGCAATTCAGGTTGCTTAACCAAGGTCAGTCTTCTTGGCTGTTTATGTCTGTGGGATGACTTAGCAACGCGTAATTTTGTCGCCAGTATCTCGGGTGTTAAGGATATGAACATCTGTTATGATACCTTTGAGGTATATATGTTATGAAATTCATTGTATATATTATGGTCTTTCATGGAATTATTTTGCTAACCAATATTCTCATCTCCTTTTGTTTTTGTGAGTAGATCATTAAGAGTATCATGCCATTACCCCAATTTTGCAACCTGTCCTGTCTGGAAGCAGCGATTTTACCAGACTCCCTGGGAAGTCTGCCAAAGTTTCTTGAAAGCTTTCCTAATCTAGAAACCCTAATCTTGGTATTGACTTGCAAAAACCCTAGAGTTTTTAACTCGTACACTTAAAGAAATGTTTCATACGCTTAGATTTGTATGTTGTGGTATTTTGCAGCATATATGTGATTGCTCTTTAACTTTGAAGGAAGAAATAAGACTGTCGTTGGTGCCTCAGTGTTTGCTGTCATCGCTCGGGTCTGTAGAGTTAAAAACCTCATGCTGTGGAACGCCTACGAAAATGCAAGTAGCAAGGTACTTTGCAAAGAACGCTGTAATGCTCAAGAAACTGGTTTTGCATGTGTCTACGTTAGAAGAAAAGTCCGTCGTCTTAAGGGATCTCCTTGCATTGCCGAGGCGATCTAGCACGTGTCAGTTCATAGTTTGTTGACCGTTAAAAAGGGCTTATAAGGTTTGTCTATCTTCAGACATTAGGAGTTGGGGCCTTGGGGGCTGGGATTTTTATATTGCCGAATTCTATTATTGTATCATGTCTTTTGTATGCTTTGGCCACACAACTCTTGTATCATGTTTGAGGATTCCAAAAACCCTACCTTGGCTTTTAAGGTTTGTCTACGATCAGATATGTTAATGATGTTTTCTTTAGCCTCTCTCTCACCATATTGAAATTACATATCTTGATGTATTTTTCGTATCTAATTTCCTTGCAAATGCAACTTGGCGTTGTAAATGTCAGATCGTCTCTACTATAAATCTCCATACGAAAGCTCTGTCTACGAAAACCCTACCTTGGAAGTGACGAAAGACTCGATTAAACCGAGCTCTTGCAACGAAGGTCTCCAGATCCCAACCATATTCACTTCCATGGACTCCAGACGCAACAATAAACTCATCTTTGTGATGTGATCTTCAATACTAACAAACTCTTCAAAGTCATTTGATGGGATTAAATTCAGTTTATCCAAAACATCATTGGCGATATCTTCGATCATTTTAGCTTCGTTATCCCTAACAAGAAGGAAGATCATTTCACACACAATGAAGCGTCAAAGAGACTTATCGAATGATTCATGAAGTTGTACGGTATGAGGATGAAATCCGAGAGTATCAGCTACATTGGCTAATGTTTCCCGCCATTGACGTATCATATCCTCTGTTTTTATCTGGAAATATTAACGTACGAAAAAAAAAATCAAACCAGGTACAAAAACCGTCGGTTCGTTCGTCAATTGAACCAAAACACAGCGCTGAGTTGTCGTTTTTTACAATAGAAAGCACGTGACTAAAACCCTAAACCCTAAAAGACTCTCTCATTGCCTCGGGGGATTTCGTTGCGACTTCATCTCCTTCTCTAACCGTCGGATCTTCCACAACCTTAAAACCAGCAGGTGATTTCAACTTCTTACCTCTTTTTTTTAACACTTTGATGACCTGTTTCTGAATTCCGTGCTAAATGTGTCCTTCTACTTAGCAATTCGAGGTTGTCCGGGTCTTATAGAGGAAAGTTTTTCGAAAAAGAAAAGAAAAACCGTCAAAGGGTCCGCAGGTTTCTTAAGTGCGAGAGAGGATCTGATAAGCAACTTACCCGACTCTTTGATATCTGAGATACTCTCGTATCTTCCGACAAAGGAAGCTGTCAGAACTAGTGTTCTGTCCCGTAGTTGGAAGAATCTATGGCTTTCGATGCCCGTGTTGGATTTGGCCACTTATAGGCATTCGGATAAAAATGCCTTGGTAAGTTTTATGGACAGGTTTGTAGATTTTTATAGGGAAGAAAATTCATGCTTGCACAAGCTCAAGCTAAAAATTTGGAAGACTGGTAATGATCAGCATTGTGTCACGCGTTGGATAGACTTTGTGGCTACGCGTAAACTTAAGCATCTTGATGTTGAGTTTGGTCCTGTGATGCTGCGTATGGAAATGGAAGTGACGCCGTTAAGCCTCTATGTATGTGAGACACTTGTTTACTTAAGACTCCATCGTGTGTTGTTGTGTAGTTTTAAGTCTGTTTCATTACCTCGTCTCAAGACTATGCGTTTGGAAGCAAATGTATATGCTAATGAGTTGATTTTAGAGTTGCTTATCTCGTCTTGCCCGGTTCTTGAAGATTTGAGCATTGTTAGAATCCCAGATGATAATGCAATGGTTTTACGAGTGCACTCTCAGACATTAACCAGTCTCAGTGTTGGATATCCTACGAATTGTTATCTTTATTTTGGTTCTGAAAATCCGGGGGTTTTGATTGATGCCCCTAGACTTAAGAACCTGTGTTTCCAAGATGAACAATCGCCAAGTAAAATCATTAGCAATTCGAGTTCCTTGACCAATGTCAACATTCTTGGCGATTTCGATCTGTGGGATAGTGCTGCTCAAGAAGGTGGCTTACAAAAGCTAGACATGATCCGTACTTTCTTCACCAGCATCTCTGGAGTCAGGGATATGAAGATATCACGTGATGCTTTCCAGGTATATATGTCTATGCAATATTCTCCATCTCCTCTTTTTCTATTTGTGTGTTGGTCCAAGATATATGGCCCGTAATTAATTTTTTTGCTCACCAATATTCTCATCTCTTTTTTTTTTTTTTTTTTTTTTTTGTGAGTAGTTTATGGAGAATATCACGACGTTACCCCAATTTTGCAACCTGTCGTGCCTGGAAGCAGATTTTTATTCAACCTCCCTGAGAAGTCTGCCAAAGTTTCTTGAAAAGCTTCCAAATCTAAAATCCATAATATTGGTAATTAATGACTTGCACAAACCCTATAGTTTAACTCGTACGCTCAAGAAACGTGTCAAGTGGTATGTAAAAAGTCATTCGTCGTGTGTTTTTTATGTTGTTGATTTTACAGAATGTAAAGTGTGACGGGCGTGAAGAAATAAGACTCTCGCTCGTGCCTCAGTGTTTGCTGTCTTCGCTCGAGTTTGTAGAGATAAAATCCGCAACTTTTAAAGTGCCTTTTGGGTTGAAACTAGCAAGGTACTTTGCAGAGAACGCTGTAATGCTCAAGAGACTTGTTATGCATTCGAGATTTAATTCTGTTCGAGAAGAAGATATCCTTGCATTGCCGAGGCGATCTAGCTCGTGTCAAATCGTGTATGTTTCTGAATATTAAAAAGACTTTTTCAGACTTGGATTTTGATTTCGTTGATTTCTATTATCATGTCATGTTTTTGGTGAGCTCCAAACTCTTTTAAGTTTTATGTTAATGATTTTGTTATTTTAGCTTTTGTATTTTCATACCAAGATAAGTACGTGAAAAATAAATATTTCATTGCTTTTACTTCAAAACAAATATTCCGTGGGAAAAAAAATACAAAAAACATATTATATATCCATACTGATTCTTCGGAACCAAGTAATTATCCGAGATCCCAACCCTAGAACTAGAAGCCACTAGTGCTAAATTCTTCGGCGCTCTTCCTTTGTCTCATTCGGTTTCAATTCTAATGGAGGAAAGGAAAGCTACAGTAACTCATGTCGAAAGACGTGCGAGAGAGGATTTGATAAGCGAATTGCCCAACTCTTTGATATCTCAGATACTATCGTATCTTCCGACAAAGGAAGCTGTTAGGACTAGTGTTTTGTCTAATAGGTGGAAAAGTCTCTGGCTTTTGATTTCTGGGTTGGATGTGGGTTCTTACATGTTTCCAGATTACAAGGCCTTTGTGAGTTTCGTGGACAGGCTCCTAGGTTTCTGTAGGGAAGAGAAGTCATGCTTGCACAAACTCAAGCTAAGTATTCATAACGATGTGACTGATCATTCTTGTGTCACAAGGTGGATAGATTTTGTGGCTACGCGTAAACTTAGGAATCTTGATGTTGAGTGTCTTCTTGTGAGGCCTGAGTTTTTGAAACTGATGATGCCTTTGAGCCTTTATGTTTGCGAGACACTCCTTCACTTAAGACTCCGTCGTGTTTCTCTACGCAGTTTAGAGTCTGTTTCATTGCCTCGTCTCAAGACCATGTGTTTGGAACACAATGTATATGCCAATGACGCATGTCTGCAGTTACTTATCTCGTCTTGCCCTCTTCTTGAAGATTTGAGCATTGTTAGAGGTGTAGATGATTATGTAAAGGTTTTACGAGTGCACTCTCAGTCATTAGCCAGTCTCAGTATAAAATATACTCTTTTTAGTTCTGATATTGAAAACTCGGCTGTTTTGATTGAGGCACCTAGACTCAAGTATCTGAATTTCGAAGATGATATGAATTCGAATAAAACCATAAGCAATTCGGGTTCCTTAACAAAGGTCAATCTTCTTGGCAGTTTCTTTATGTCGGGTTCCTTAACAAAGATGCGCGATTTTTTCACCAGTATTTCCGGAGTTAAGGATATGAACATCTCTTGGGGAACATTCAGGGTATGTGTTATGCAATATATTATATATGTATACATACATATTTGCACACCAATATTAATTATCATCTCCTTTTGTGTTTGTGACTAGTTCATTGAGATTCTCATGGCAGTAGTCCCATTACCCCAATTTTGCAACCTGTCATGTTTGGAAGCAGAGCTTCAAGTATTTGGAAGTCTAGCAAAGTTTCTTGAACTCTTTCCGAGTCTAAGATCTCTAGTCTTGGTATTGACTTTGCACTCATACACTTAAAGGCTTAACTTATTAGTTTATTACTTATATCACCATGATAAAGATCATAAACCACCTTATTCACCTACTTGTTGAATGGTTATAAACGTAGGAGCTGAAGCAATTCGGGGAGAACCACCAGCTTGTCCTCTTATCATCAGTTCCAGAATGTTTAAGATCGTCCCTCGAGTTTGTTGAGTTAAAAACTCCGGTAAGAGGAGCTGATGCGGAAACGAAACTAATAAAGTACTTGCTCGAGAATTCGGCAGTGCTCAAGAAGTTTAAGCTGCGTTTGGGCTGTAAGAGTGTGGACGAAGAGTCTACCATCTTGATGGAACTCATGACATTAAGGAGATGCTCTGCTTCTTGTGAAGTTTTTTGTTCAACGTGAAGAGACTTCTTCTCCAAGTATGACATACAGGTTTCTGTAACACAGTGAGTTATTATGCAGTTTACCTTTTAAGGAATGTTATGGGATTTTCGAGTTGTATTTTCCCAAAACAGAAAATCAAAAGAATTGAATGCTGTTAGTGGAAAACTCTTGGTTTAGTTGGTTTAACCTACTTTGATCATTACATTGAAAAAGTCATTTGCCTTTCACTTTTTTGATGTCATCAATTTTCCATCTTATGTATAGTAGTAGTTGAGAGAATAGTAGCAGGAAAAGAAATAACTAAACCAGGTACTAAACCGTCGGTTCGTCAATTGAACCAAACAAAGCATTGAATTGCCTTTTCTAAGACTCTAAACGGAAAAGAGAGTTTGTTGTCATCTCTTCCCTCAGTCTAAACAGAGTAGAGGAGAGACTGTTTTCCTTTTTTCCTCGATTGTTTGACACACATTTCCTTTCAGTGGTTGTTTCCGCATTTTCCTTTCAGAGGTTGTTTTCTATTTTTCCTCGATTGTACCTGCAGAAGAGAGCGAAAGGAATCTCAAATGACAAGTGAAGTAAAAGTAACGCTCTCTCAATTTTTCACCTTATCCAAAATTTGGGCAAAACTGACTAAGACCAGAAGAAAAAAACAAAATTTCGCTGCGACTTCATCTCCGCCTCTAACCGTCGGATCTTCCAGAACCCTAAACCCATCAGGTGAGTTTCAACTTCACTTTTTATCTCTTCTTCAGCAGTGATTTTGACGACCTGTTTCTGAATTCCGTGCTAAATGTGTCCTTCTACTTAGCAATTCGAGGCTGTCATGGTGAATTCCTCAGCTCAATTTCGCGACCGGATCTTATGGAGGAAGGAAAATGCGGCGAAGGGTCTGCAGGTTTCTCAGCTGCGAGAGAGGATCTGATAAGCAAGTTACCGGACTCTTTGATATCTCAGATCCTCTTGTATCTTCGGACAAAGGAAGCTGTTAGGACTAGTGTTCTGTCCAAGAGGTGGAAAAGTGTGTGGCGTTTGATTCCCGGGTTGGATTTGGACTCCTCTCTGTTCCCAAACTACTGTGCCTTTGTGAGTTTCGTTGAGAGGCTCCTAGGTTTCTATAGGGAAGAGAAGTCATGTTTGCACAAACTCGAGCTATTCATAGTGCAAGATTGGAAGATTGGGAACGATCAGCATCGCATCGCGCGTTGGATAGATTTTGTGGCTACTCGTAAACTTGAGCATCTTCATGTTGGGTTTCGTCTTGCGAAACTTATGTGGAGGGAAGTGATGCCGTTAAGCCTCTATGTATGTGAGACACTCCTTCACTTAACACTCTATCATGTATCCTTGGGTAGTTTTAAGTCTGTTTCATTACCTCGTCTCAAGACTATGCAGTTAGGAGAAAATGTATATGTTAATGAGGCGTCTCTAGAGTTGCTTATCTCGTCTTGCCCAGTTCTTGAAGATTTGAGCATTGTTAGAAGGCCTGATGATAATGTAAAGGTTTTACGAGTTCACTCTCAGTCATTAACCAGGCTCCATATAGAATTAGAATTTTGTGTGGCTGATGATGAGGTTGAAGGTTCGGTTGAGGATTTCGATGATGAAAACTCGGGGATTTTGATTGATGCCCCTAGACTCAAGTATCTGACTTTCGAAAATGAACACTCGCCTAGTAAAATCATAAGCAATCCAGGTTCCTTAACAAAGGTCAGGATTCTTGGCGAATTCCGTCTATGTACTGAATCTACTAATGAAGTCGACTTACAGAAGCGATACATGGTCCGTAATTTCTTCACCAGCATCTCTGGAGTTAGGGTAATGAATATATCATGTGATGCTTTCCAGGTAAATATATGTCTTTGCAAATGCAATTTCATCTCCTTTTATTTCTTTAAGCAGTTGACACTTGTTGACACATATGCTCCTTCTTGAAATTCATGCTCACCAATATTCTCATTACCATTTTTTGTTGTTGTTGTTGTTGTTGTGAGCAGTTGATTGATAATATCATGCCATCACCCCAATTTTGCAAGCTGTCCCGTTTGGAAGCAGAGCTTAAATTATGGTCCCTTGGAAGTGTACCAAAGATTCTTGCAAGCTGTCCGAATCTAAGATCCCTTGTCTTGGTATTGACTTGCACAAGCCCTAGAGTTTGACTCATACACTGTGTCAAGTAGTGGTATCCCAAATTTATTCTGTGTTTTGTCTGTTGTGTATTTTACAGTATGTGCATCATTCAAGTGTGACGGAACAAATAGGACTCTCGTTCGTGCCTCAGTGTTTGCTATCGTCGCTCAAGTTTGTAGTGCTAAATATCATATCTGCTGGAGGAAGTACTGAGATTTTGAAAATAGCAAGGTACTTTGCAAAGAACGGTGTAATGCTCAAGAAACTTGTTCTGCGTTCGTGTTTTTCCATTCCTGAAGAAGACCTCATTGCCTTACAAAGGCGATCTAGTTCGTGTCAAATCGTATATGCTCGTGGACACATCCAGTGTCCATTCTCTTATCGTTTCTTTTGATTTTGTTGATTCCAAGTTCTAAAGTGATTGTGATTTGGTATTTTGACTTCTTTTTTTTTTAAGATTATTTTTTTAACATTTTAGTATTGAAGTGAAGAAATGTTTTTCCTTGATGTTTATCTATAACGATAATCTCGCGCGAAACAAACATAAGCTGATGATTCTTCGGAACCAATTGATTTTCCGATAACCAAACACTATAAGAACACTCTGCCGAAGCCACAAGTGAATCTGAGAGGCAACGAGAGCTCCGGTGCTAATTTATTCGATCTTTCTTGTTTAACAATCTTCCTCTAAATAAATTCAGTAAACCAAGATACCCTAATCCACGAAGCCATAATGTTCTTTCTCCGGATCACTGATATAGGAATAGTGATATTGGTAGTGAGTCCACGTGTAGGGCCAAGATCATAGAGAAAGATCAAGGGCTGAAAATAAAAGAAGAGAAGTTGCAGCGTTTTGAGTTTATCTCCTTCGTTCTCTCTTTCTTCTCTGTAAATCAGACTTTGTTCATCAATGTTTGAAGTTCTATTCTTCCTTTTGGATCTTCTTCAGTGACCTAGAAGTTGTTGTTTTAGGAACATCAATTTCTGTATCAATCACTTTCTTCTCTCTGGTCCAATCTCTAATGTCACGTTTTGTCGCATATGCATTAGATTAGCCTCTTCGTGTTCACATAATTACGGAAGGCCTCTATACTAGTTAAGCTGTCAAATATTTCGTATTGTGATGCAGATCTTGTGTCTGTAAGTGAAGCAAACGATGAACAAGCTGATAGTATATATGCCTAGGATCAGACTTCAGGTAATTAGGCTTAGACTTTGATTTTGTCGACTTCTGTTATCATGCATGTCTTTTGTGAGCTTTGGCCACAGCTCTTGGACAATGTTTGAGGATTCCAAACTCTTTTTAAGCTCCTAAAGTGATTGTGACTTCGCTCTACGAAACTTGGAATTAATTTAACTTATTTGAGATTATTTTATACATTTTAGTATTAAAGTAAAAAGTATACATGTACAATTACAATTTTTTTAGGTCGCAGTAAAAAGTTTTAGGATACTATCATATCTCTGACTGCATATGTTTAGGCTTAAATCATGTACAGAATATATTGTCATTAAGTTCTTATTAACTCTCTCTCTGATACCATAGCTGTCGTAGTGTTGTATATATCTTCTCACTTCTGCATATGAATAAGATATCTCTTTTACAATCTTCTATAAAAAGTATATGTAAAAATATTTTTCCTTGATGTTATCTACAACAAAAATCTCGCGCGAATCAAAAATTCAAAACATATAAAATCAAAAAGATGATGATTCTTCGGAACCTTTTCCGATAACCTAACCCTACAAGAACACTCGTGCTAATTACTTCGACGGTGAGACATTTCTTGGTCTATAAACTTACGAAACCCTAATCCACGAAGTGATAACGTTCTTCCACTCGGCTTCTCCGGCTTACTTTCTTCTCTGGTCCAATTAATCTCGAATGTCTTCAAGTATGTTTTACACTGGTACGTAGATTTGTCTCTTCGTGTTAACATAACGAAATTCATATATACGAGTTAAGCTTCCAAATATTTCATATATGGTGATGCAGATCTTGTGTCTGAAAGGAAAGCAAACGATGAACAAGAGAGGAGTAGTCGCGTTTTGTCCTACAAACCTGGAAAAGATAGGATAAGCTCATTACCGGATCATCTTCTTTGTCAGATACTCTCTCTTCTCCCTACAAAGAAAGCTGTAGGGACAAGCGTTTTGTCCAAGAGATGGCAAAGTCTATGGCTTTCTGTTCCTCTCGTAGATTTAAACATTTCTGATCTTTTTATTCATCATGAAAAGGACATGGTGAGTTTTGTCCATGGGTTTCTAGATCATGTCTCTAAGGAGTCGTCATGGTTACTCAAGCTCAAACTTTCTGTCAGCGTAAACAATGAGATTGATCAGTCTTGCGTGACTTCTTGGATCGACTGTGCAGTTTTGCATAAAGTTCAACATTTGGATATCAATCGCCATCGTTTTTATCCTTTTGTTCCGGACCTATTGATTCCCCTAAGCCTTTACACCTGTGAGACTCTGGTGTGCTTGAAACTCACCGCTGTATCATTTCCAGGTTTCGAGCATGTTTCTCTACCTCGTCTCAAGATCATGCATTTAGAATACAATAGATACTCTAGTGACGCTCTTCTAGAGAGGCTTGTCTCGTCTTGTCCACTTCTTGAAGATTTAAAAGTTGCTAGATATGTGGAGACAGATTCCTACACCGTTACGGTTTTACGAGTGCGTTCTCAGTCATTAAAGAGTCTCGCGCTTGTTCTCAGTGGTCACGATCCCTGGTGCGAGGATGACTGGGAGGTTGTGATGGATGCTCCTAGACTCGACTATTTGCGTCTTAAAGATGAACAGTCGGGAAGTTTCTTAATAAGCAATTTGAGGTCCTCTGTCAAGGTAGATATTGACGTCAGTGGTATTGTTTCTTCAAATTCAGATGTGATGAGGAAATTCTTCACAGTGCTCTCCAACGTAAGGGACATGACTTTAAGTAGAGCAACTTCGGTGGTATGTCATTGGAACTGAAGTAATCAAGCATTTAAATGGAAAAAAAGTTTTTTAGCTTTAATTTCTTTTGTGTTTTGCAGAGATTTTGTTCCTACTTGAAACACGCGCGAACCGCTTCCTCACTTTCCCAACATGGTCCGGTTCCATGCGGTCTTCTATAATATGATTTGGAAAAGTTGCAAAACTTTCTTGAGAGCTCTCCAAATCTCAAATCCCTTGTCTTGGTGATCATTTTTGGCTTTTAAAGATTTTTCTTACTTTATAAAAGATTATTCATGTTTATTAATGCATATACTTTCTTGAATGGTTTTTGCATACAGGAGCTTGGGGAATTCAAGAAGAAGGAGCAACTTCTTCTCTCATTATCATCGGTTCCAACATGTTTGAGATCGTCTCTGGAGTATGTTGAGATAAAAACAGCTATAAGAGGAGCTGATGCGGAAATGAAACTAGTCAAGTACTTGCTAGAGAACTCGGCAGTGCTCAAGAAGTTTTGGCTGCGTTTGAGTTGTAGGAGTTTGCAAGAAGAGTCTGTCACCTTTATACAACTCATGAGATTCAGGAGATGCTCTGCTTCTTGTGAAGTTGTTGTTGAACTTGAAGGTGCTTATCCAACTATGATACAAACCTTTTGGTAGTTTCCTTTTAAAGAAAGTTACTATTTTGGGATTTGATGTTTTTATACACTTTCCATAACCGGTTATTTTTCCATTATATTAAATTCTTTTAACTTTTTGTAATCGTCAAGTCAACTCTGATCTGCATTTCCTAGATCTTGATCTCCATTGTAAATTAAATGAAGCATTTCTTTTGGTTTGTTAATGCAAGATAAAGAGAAATCAAATGAGCAAGAGAGGAGCAAGAAGTGATAGATCTGGACAAGATTGGATAAGTTTCTTACCGGATCCTCTGCTATGTCAGATACTCTCTGATCTTCCGACAAAGAATGCTGTTAAAACCAGCATTTTGTCAACTAGATGGAGAAATCTTTGGCTTTCGGTTCCTCTCTTGGATTTAAGCATCGATGATTTCCCTGATCACACTACCTTCTCGAGCTTCGTCTCCAGGTTTCTAGATGCGTCTAAAGACTCGTGTCCTTACACAAGCTCAAGCTTGCTTACAAGAGGCAAGATGGTGATTGCTCTTCAATCACTTCGTGGATCGAAAATGCGACATTGCGTAAGATCCAAGTTCTTGACGTCGACTGTCGTATGAGTTCTATGTATGAGTCAATGCCTCTACGCCTTTACTCTTGCGAGACTTTGGTTTCGTTGAGACTCCAATTCGTGGGGTTTCATGATTTCGAGTTTGTTTCTTTACCTAATCTCAAGATTATGCATTTAGATGATAATCTTTACGCTGATGATTTGGTTCTTGAGAAGCTTATCTCATCCTGCCTTGTGCTTGAAGATTTGACAATTGTTAGAAATGTTGATGAAACTGTAAAGGTTTTACGAGTCCGGTCTAATACACTAAACAGTCTCAAACTCGTTCTTGATAGTTCCAAGTCTTGGTATATTGATGATAGTGATGATTGGGAGGTTTTGATTGATGCTCCTCGGCTTACGTATCTGAGTCTTGAGGATGATCAGTCGGTGAGTTTTGGGATAAGAAGTTTGGGATCAGCTGCAAAGGTAGAGATTGCTGTGAGTTTCAATGTGAATGATATTTGGGATTTGGATGAGTCAACGGAGAGAAACAGCTCTGTTGGTAAACTGCTCAATGGGCTCTCGAGCGTGAGGGACATGACTATAAGTGGAACAACTCTGAAGGTAATGTCAATAGAGTATACATATACATTTGAATCTCTCTCTTTGGATGAAGATGGAAAAAACGTCTTCTCTTTGTTTTTTTTTTTTTTTTGCAGATCATTTGTCAATATATGAATTTAGAACGGGTTCCTCATTTTCACAACATGACTCGGTTGGAAACAAAATTCTATATGACTGATTTGGAACTGTTGCCAGAGTTTCTTGAGAGCTGTCCAAATCTCCAATCACTTGTTTTGGTAATGTTTTTTTGGTTTGCTTCACTTTCATCCCTTTTTATAAAATATCTTATTTTTATATCTTGGTGATAAACATTTTGCAGAAGCTGAAAGGTGTAACATGCAAGAAGGAAACTAGCTTCTCATCGATGCCAAAATGTTTGCAATCAAGCCTAGAGTATGTTGAGATGACCAGACCAAACTGTGTAAGTGGCCTAGAGATGACACTAGCAAAATACTTCCTCGAGAACTCTCTAGTTTTGAAGAAGTTTACTCTGCGTCTTCATTGTTCTATGGAACAGGAACCTATCATCGTTGCGGAAGTCATGAGCTTCGGGAAATGTAATAGTAGTTGCAAAGTCAATGTTGTGCGACTTGAAAATGAAAGTTAAGAGTTGCGGTGTTGTTTTCTGGAGATTAATGGCATAACATAATTCAAGTTTCAATTCTCATATCAGCAATTTTCATACTGAATTACATAGGATAGTGTTAAAATAGCAATTACTCAAAATAGTTCCTTCCAAAGAGGAGATAAAACCCTTAAAAATAAAACAAAAACCGGTCTCTTTGGTCTTCATCTACTCAAAAACCTCACAACACCTCTCTCCTTGCCTTCACTTGATTAGGCTCTGGCCTTGCCCTTTCCCTTGCCACCCTTGTTGTTGGATCCAAACTGCTTGCCCGAGTTGTTGTTGAATGGCCTGCACACATTTCATTAACCATCATCAATCACACATTCACAACTAGCAAAGACTTATTTTTCTCTTTCAATTCATCATCAAGGCTATATAAGAAGAGAGACAGAAGATAAACTCACTTCTTGTTGTTGGAACCACCAGCGGATGACTGACCACCAGACTTGGGGCTCTGGTTAGCATTCTGAGGACTCTTTCCACCCTTTTTAGCTGGGTGTGGTGTAGCAGCGTGTCCTCCCTTCTTCTTCTCTTCTGTCTTCTGAGGAGTAGTAGCTGGCTTGGCCTTCTTCGCTGAGACGGGTGCCTTGGATCCAGATTCATTAGCCCTCTTCTTGCTGATTGGCTCAGGCTGTTTTAACAAATACAAATCATAAAAAAGAAGGTGAGAACAAAAGGAAATTTGTAGAAAGCTAACGTATATGTAGATAGACAGAATTTAATCATACCTGCTTAGGTGCCTCCTCTTCTTCAGACTCATCCTCTGAATCATCCTCATCCACGTCAGTATCCAACTCATCTTCGTCAATGTCCATCTACAAAACAAATCATCAACAGAGAATTTAAACACCATATTCATGACTTTAACTCCTGAATGTGTGTAAAGAAACAAACAAATACAAAAAAACTCACTTTCAAGGCGGCGTCATCTTCAGAAGAGTCGTCTTCCTCGTCAGATGTTTCATCATCAGACTCGTCTGCTTCAGGCTTCACTGCCACAGGCTCGGCGGCCTTTGCCTTTGTTTCGGCCTTGACAACATTGGCGGAAGGAGCTACTGATGCAGGAACAGCTGAAAATGCAAAGGAAAATAGCATTAGAGGAAACAACATCTTGTTTCAAGAAAAAGAAACAGAGACAAAAAAAAGCAGCATCCAAACTACATACCATTGACAGGGACAGCTTCAGGAACCTCCTCTTCCTCTTCCTCTTCAGCAGAAGAGTAATCATCCTCGCCTTCTTCTTCCATATCGATGTCGGGGGACTTGTATCCAACGAAGTGGACACTCGCTTTCTCCGAGCTGGTGGAGAGCTCAAACTCGTTCTCAAAGACGAGATCAAAGCTAATCTGAGGAATGTTTTCCTGAGAAAGTGTCCCAATCACAAGCTTCTTCCCATCAACAGTCACATACAAGAGCACAGACTCTCCCTTCTTGCTTTTGCCGTCGAGCGCCGCCTACACATACAGTAAACAAAAACAAATAATCAGGACATTGTTGCAAAGTCCTGGAATTTCTCAATCGAGATTTTCGAAATTTACCTGAGAGACGTGTAGAAGACAGCCCTCTTCAGGCGTCACTTTCAGAGGCTTCCCGGCCTTAACTTCAACACCTAAAAACGAAAAAAAAAATCAAAGTGAGTGAGTCAACACAAACCACTAACCACGCTTGTAAGGCGTGTTCATACCTAAAACACAGATTGTATTAGAGAGTGTTTACAGCTCAAAGACTACATACCAACAACAAGGAGCTACGCTCAAGCTAAAGAGGTAAACAGAATCGGTGTCAAAGACTATTTCGCTAAGTTTGATATGGATTAACTAAAGCGATACGAGAACGAAACCGAATAGTAGAGAGAGCAAGACAAGATTTATTGATCATCAGTAGAAAATTGAGCTCAGGAACACTAACTACGTGAAACGATGATAGGGAAAAAACGAGTCTACATGATTAATCGACGAAATTCTCAGAAATTGAAGCTAAAAACGGTCAAAGGAGCTGAGAGATAGACGCTTACCCCAGAATTCCATTGTTGATGATGAACGAGGAAGGGAAGAGGAATTAGGGCTTTTTTGAGCTGCGGGGAAGAGAAGATTGCAGTGAGCGAGGAAGAAAGTAGAGAGAGGTTTGGGGGAATTTATAATCGAGAGAGGTTTTAGAAGAGGCCGATTTAGGGTTTTTCGTGAGCCGCCTCTACGACGTCGGTTTCATTTTTGCGCGTAACGCTCCAATAAATTGGAATATTTGCGTAATTACAAGTTTCGCATTTTGGAAGATTTCACATTTTTAAAATTTTTGAATAAGTTAATTACATGATTTTGTTAATGATGCAGAATTGAAGATATTCTCTCATAGATTTAAAGATTATCTTTGTCATTAGAAGAGAATAAAAGCGGAAATGGATAATCTTCAGTTTCCTTAAATAGTTTTCTGATAAATATTTATTTAGACCATACAACAAAAATTCGAAAGATATGTCCACCGCCAATGAAATGAAGTAGAAGAAAGCTTGAAGGAGGGTACTGAAGAAAAACTCAAAGCTAAAGCTACAGAAGAAAGAGACTCAAGACATGACAGAAGTCTCTGCAAACACATTTGAACACTTTGTCTGCACCTGAAGCGACAAAACCGCACCCATTTCCCCTACCGGTGTATTCCAGAGCCAAGGTTGATCTTGTTTACCGGAATTTCTGAGATCTTCACCGGAGCTATCAGGAGAAAATGATGCATTTCCAGATAGTAGACGCGAAAGAGACAATAGCTGAGTCTGAGACCTTGAGTTTCCATAGCTTCTCAGGACACAACCCGGGCTTGACACCTTTCCCATCTTCAATCTAGCTTGGTTACTCGACAATGGAGGGAAATGGACTGAAGCAGATGCATTATTATCATCTCCACCTTTGATGATTCCTGGGATAAGTCTTGATGGCTTTGGGCGGTGTTGTTTCCATGCTAGAAACGAGTTCTCTACTCTTGATTGTACCTGCCAAAGTTCACATTGTATGAACTTTAACTTCTAATCCAGACAAACCCAAAAGTATAAGTATGATGACCAAAAAGAGAGCGAATATTACCGCGGGAAAGAGAGTACACGAAGCAAAAGACAGTGAGGATGATGAGAAAGGAGATTTCCTACTCCTTTTGTCCACAGATCCAAAACTCGATGGTCCAAGATCATCATCTTCTTCATCATCATCACCATCATCGTCATCATCATCATCTTTGTATTCCTCTTCCTTTTTCTGCTCTTGTACCTTCTCTTTCAGCTTCTGCTCTTGTGTCTTCTCTTTGGCAGTGTCAACTTTCTCTTCTTTATAAACCGGGACTACTAAAACTTCTTCATCCTCCTCTTCAGCCAAACCCATTTCAGTTTTCTTTTCCTCTTCTTGCTCTTTCTTCTTCAGCTCTTCATCCATATCCTCTATAGCTTCCTCCAAGCAAATCTCAGCCTCTACTAGCTCAAGCTCCTTCTGTATCATCTCCTTCCTCTCCTCGTTTGCTTTCTTTTTCTCCTCTGTCCATTTCTCTAATCCGTCAAGCATCGGCTTCAACGATTTCTCCATTCCGAGTACAAATCTTTTCATCGGGTGTTCCTTTACCACCGGCGCTTCTTCCCCGTAGAACTCATCAAACCCAAGTGGCAAAAACTCAGCTTTTGAAGGATCCACCTCTTCCCCTTCCTCCAGAGGAGGCTGCCAAAAGAGTCTAACGCCGTGCTTTTCATCGTCGACATAGTTTATTATCCGACCAGTTGGTGTATGTAGAATAACAGGGTCCTCCTTCTGGACAAGCTTCGAAGGATCTTCTGGATCAGGTTCGGGTTCTTTGTTGAGTAAGATAAACTCCGGTTCCACCTCCACTGAACAAGAAAAAAGAAAAAGAAAAACACTCAGAGAAAAATCCAATAGAACCTCAAATATTCAACCATGTAAGACCAAAAGCGTCAAGGGTCATTACCGTTTTCCCACCAATGTTCGAGCTCAGCGGGCATTGGTAATCTCAAAGGAGCTTTGTAAAAAGAGTTCAACCACATTTCCCTTTCTTGATCCACCTCGTCTACGTAGGTTTCCCAATACTCAGGTACCTACCAAAAGACAGATTCTTAAGTCTAAGTCCCTCGTGTGATCAGAGATCTAAACTCGAAGAGCTTTATAAGAAAATGACTCACGTCGTAAAATTGGTTAATGAAACCTGGCGCCATCCACACATCATCGTCTTCATAAAAGTAAGCATGCTGAGGATCACCATATGGGCCCCTCTCTTCTCTAACCACTACATTTACAGAAGAAAAATAAACACTTTTGAGTTCCCAACTAAACTTAACACCATACTGTCAAATGACCAGTTTTCTTCTTCTTCTTTCATAAGTCAGACATTGCTTGAAAGAAAGGCGAAATGATAGTTACTAGGCAATCTAAAAGAATCAAAGAACCTTTGGTCTAAACTTTATACAGATAACAATAACATAAGTAATGGTAAAGAGAGGGGCAATACTTCCGTCGGGTTTGTTTACAAACATTCGAGCCTTAGCTGCAGCCACCTCCGCCAAGCCAGAATGCAGCTGGAAAACGTTTTTCACATCAGTATATTTACAATTCCTTCTTCTTTACTGGTGAAAATTATATGTATCGTAAAGAGAGAGAAAATGGGTAACTACCGCACAAATATCTACTGTACAGCCATGCTCCTCCTCCAAGAGCTCCCCAAAGTAGAATCTACCCTGCATTGCCATGACGATGTGTGAACTAGTGTCACGGATACGAATATTCACAAAAGAAAGTGTTTCAGGGAGGACAAGATTATACTTTAATTCATACGAGGAATGCCAAATATAGCAGCTAGCTTAGGATCAATCATATTAGATAGAATTCTGATGTAAACAACCAATTCATCTTACTACTCACAAATGTGATGCGTTCGTTAACTTCGTAGACACCACAACCATGCATTCTACCGTGCTTCCATTGACCAGCATAGCGATACCGACCTTTCTCCCTGGTTTTAAAAACATATAATATTACAATGTGTGAATAAGTAATAGAGAAGAGATCAACTAAAATCACATGTTTTCTGCTTGTTATTTTAGTTCAAGTAATCACATCCTAGTCCAGCAGTAGAATCTCATACGGTCAATAAATCTACACATTCTTAAGATGTAAGCCATCTAGTAAGGATCTTAGCATTGAAAACTCACGGTTTTTCGCCAAACTGCCTGACCCACTCTTCGTTTTCATAGAAAGGAATTTCAAAATTCCCATCAGTAAGTGCAAGACTGTCCTCGACATCCATTTCCAACCACTTTCTGTCCTCTGGAGACATGTAATCTCTCTTGATAATCCGTCCCTCCGCACGCATCTTAGCTTCAAGCCTACACAGAAAGAAGGAACAGTATCCTACTCAAACAACTATCTTCATGGAATCCCCTGGAAAGATTATAGGAATGAAAACCGTACTTGGAACCTGGTATGGGCTCAATGTCAGGAATATCAACTTCAATAACCCCATGACCTTCCATGTCGTTCTGAAGCCATTCACCCTCATACCTAAAGATCCAAACACAGAGCCAAAACCAAAAAAAAATATCTTGAGTCATTAAGAAGAGAAACATAAAAAAACAGGTAAGGCTACGAAACAGATATATCACCTAACAAGCCCATCTTCAGCAATATAAACACCTTTGCCTTGAGCCAAGTCATCCCACACAGTGCCTTCGTACCTTTAGCCAAAAACAAAAGAGAAAGAAAATCGTGAGATACGAAGCTACTGAATCAAGATGAAAGTATCCATCACAAAGCTACCCAAACAGATGTACAGTATAAGATCTTTACAATTTGCGCTAGAAAGTTTATAAATGCCCTATCAATCAACATGCATTGTCATTCCCTTGCATTTAGGAACAAAGTCTCAAACTTTCAATTGAATTGGAGAAAAATGTTAAACGTATCAAAGCATAAACCATAAACCCAAGCAGACATCACAAGAAAAGTGCTCCAAATTGCAGAAAAGAGAAAGAGAGGGTAAATGGGGAATTACGAGCTTCCGTCGGGGAAAATGTAGCTGACCCATTGAAGAAACTCCTCAATCCTATCAAGCTCCTCAACAACACCTTTCGCATTCTCAATATCATAGTGATTATCTGGAATCGCTGGGTACGGTTTCCTGTAAGGAACATAGAAAGGTTGAATCCCAGGATCTCGACCTTCCTGAATCTCCTCGTTGACAATTTCCCAATCCTCTTCGTCGGCCAAAACTGGGTCCCAACCAGGTTTAGTCATTTCCAATGGAGCATCCGCCCAAATCTCCCTCAGATCCTCCTCCTTCCACCGTTCCGGGTCCCTGGGGAAATCGAAGAGATCCTCGTAGAACGTGTACTTCTCTTCTTCTTCCTCCTGCATACGCTTCACGCGCTTGCCATCGAGCACGCGATTGAATCGGCGGATGTTGGTCTCCGGGTTAGCGTTGGGGTCAGGAGGTAAGTCGCTTGGTCGGATGTAGTTGAGGAAGTCGGAATCGCCTTCTGCTTCGTTCTCGGACTCATCGGAGATGTAGAAATCGTCGCCGGAGGATTGGGATGATGAGTCCGAGTCAGAGCCGGAGCCAATTTCTTCATCCTCCGCATTGGGTGATTGTTGGTCTTGGGTCTGGTCCTCCTGTTGCTGCTGTGACTCGGTGAGCTCGGGTGAGTCGTCGTCGTCGTTAGCCATGAGAGGGATAAAGGAAAGAGAGGAAGTGGATGTTGAAGAGTGTTTGCAGATAAGTGTGTGAGAAGGTGAGGTTTTGGTGTTTTATGTTCAAAAGGGTTTTTATTTTATTTTTGTGTAAACGAACACTGAAACAAAACATTTGCAGATAATTCATAATTCTCCCACTATTTATTTTGTTTTTCATTTCGGCCTTGTAATTTTAACAATTTTATAAATGCGTCTACTAATTTTGTTATGGTTCTAAGAAATCCAATTCAGATGTATATGGGCCGAAGATCAAATATATTGAAGAACATGGGCTGTCTGTTTCAAGTCGATAAAGTTACATTTGCATGGATCTTAACAAAAAGGCTAGAGTTGAAACACAAGAACCAATGGATACACTCATACACGTCTTAGTATCATCACTATTGTGAAATTGGATCCCAACATTAAAGCCTCCAACTAAATTGAAAATCGATGAAGAGACATTAACTTGAGTTCAGGGAAAGATGTATAGCCATTCTCAAAACGTTTTTATATGATAGGTCATGCGTGACATAAATCAACTAAATTGTGGGTTTTAAATATTTTTGCTTGAGTTGATTGCTAATATATGTCACGCATGACCTATCATATAAAAACGTTTTGAGAATGGCTATACTTTGCACACAAAAAGAAAAGAATGGCTATATATCTTGCTCTAAACTCAAAGTAATGTCTCATCATAGATCACTTGATTTTCAATCTTCTATGTTTTAAATTTGAGAAAATATCTGAATGACCATATGGAAAATCACGTTAACTTAAAAATGTGTTTCCATTCAAATGACTATTTTAAACTTGTGTTTCCACATCACAATACCTAACACGAAAACCCCCGATTCATTATTTGTTGCGTTGGAGCGGAAGTTTTCCATATGTATAATCATTTCCAAACAACAAATATATTGGACCACAAATAGACTATTCCATAGAGTTTTGTCTTATCACTAAAAACTGCAACTTTAACCGGAATCCAATTCATAACCGAGACCGAAACCAGATGCTTAACCGATATCTAGACAAGTCGGCAGATCCTAAAGTACATGGCTCCTCCACACTCATCACCACCAACTACCACCACAGTGTGCTCCATCTCTCTTTCTCCTACCTACCACCCCACTCCACTCTTGATTTCTCTATTTGTCGTAATTAACCCCTTCTATTATATTATTAGCTAATAAGATAATTGAAGTGTTTTAATCATCTGTAATGACGAAGGATATATAAATACATGGTCAAGTTGGTTTCAAAGTACTGTATGGTTGATAAATGATGATTCAAGCTTAAAGATAAACTACCAAAAACTAATTCTAAATATAAGATGATAAGAACATAAAAGGTTAAAAAAATAACTTTTCTAAACTATCACAGAGATTAAACACATGACGAGGTTAATAAAACTTCGATTGGTTTGTTACATTTCGCTCTCTCACCAAACCCTAACGGGGAGGAGAACTGACATAATTATCTCGTACCGTCATCATATTTGTCGCACATAAAATGTAAATTAATACAATACTCTAAATATAACATGAGTGCTTATGAGTATAATAAGCCGCCATGACATGATTCACATCATCTCCATAACCATCATGGACCCACTAAATGCTCAAATCAGTTCGGGGATCGTGATTTAATGACCAAGACCAAGACTGATCTCCTTTTTAATTTTTTATTGGTTTACCTTTAGTTGTCAATATTGTCTTCTTGTAAACACGTTAAACGTCATAGAAAATTTGTAAAAAAAAAGTCTAGAAATGTGAAGATTACGAACTTAAAGGGTAAAACATAGGTGGGATTTGGGAAGTGGGAACACATTCATATAGTATAAATAATGTGAAGTCGTGTTAGATAGTTCAAACACAATATTAAGTTCAAACACAATATTAACACTTAAATTTCGTGGAAATTATATGCCTGGTTCTTTGATTGGAGACTCAAAGTCTCAAAGTTAATTTCCTGGAGATAGTTGAGAAGTTTTTTTAAATAAGCATGAAAATTCATGGAAGTTGGCATAGTACACGACCAGATGGATGGTTATACTTTTGTTTCAAAGGAAGAAACATCAAACCGAACTTATGTTCACACGTTAAGCTTGACATTTAATTTAAAACTAGTTTTATCATCTTATAATTTAATAACTTAAAAGTTTAGAATCTGAAAGTCTTTCTTGTTTTGTTGGTTAACTAGCGTTGGAGTATTAGAAGATAGCTAGCTTCGAAGACAACAATAATAGACTGATCACGGCTATATTTTTACGATGCAGAGGAAACGGCAAAGAATGTAATAGTGATTTGTGGACTAATACGAATGTAATACTCCTTTTGGGGTAAATTTGATCTACACTTGATGTATTTGCCTGTAAATTACACATAATAAAATCTTAAGTACCGTAAAATCAACATGACACATTTTGTGGTTCGAACTACTATTGCCGATTTTGTTACTATCCGGCAAACATATCATATGTTATTGAAACAAAATATAGTATTGTAGTGTCTTTGTGAAATATAAAATTTTAGAGTTAACGTGATGATGATGAATTAGGAAATTATCTTTAACGATTAAATTTTACCTTACATTATGGTATATAGTTGACAAGGAAAAGGGTATTTTAAGGAATATCTTCATTTTCTTATAACCAGAGCCAAACTACAAACCGATCTTGTTCCAAAAGTAGCAGATACACAAAATATTTGGTGATAAGTCATAGGAGAAATAAAAAGAATATTATTCTCCTACTTTCACATGCAAAACGAGCTCTACATTTATACGTTGGTCTCCATCATCTGTATAATTTAACAAATATGATATAGTTTTATCATATGTTATTACGTATTATATAATCCTTAAGACAAATAATAATACGGGTCGGGTCATACGTCTTCGCTAGGCAACGTGGACCATGGCGTCATATCCATTGGGTAACTTCCCAGCACCCTGAGGAATGACGTGTACTCCTGAACCTCCGCGAGCGCGTTTTGGGCACGCGCCTCCGCCATCGAGGCTTCGAAATCAACGTAGAATGTGTACTCGAAGTGCTTAGACGTCCCGACGCTTCCGTCGCCAACGACTCTGACCGGGCAGTTTTGGTGCGGCCGCGATTCGATTTTCGTCAGGCTGATGTTTCGAAACGCAAACGCGGAGAGCACTTTGAAGAGGACGCTGGTTCCTTTGTGTTCCTGAGCTGCGAAGACGATGCTGGTTTTGAAGGGACGATCCGTTCGAGGGATGATCGGATCACGCGCAAGCATCAGGAATCGCGTGACGTTCCCTGCGTCGTCTTGGATCCCGTCGGCGAGAATCTGGAGTCCGTAGAGCTCGGCTGCTCTTGCGCTGGCTACAGCCGCCGTGTCGTGGAGGTTGTGCGTGGCGATGTATTCTGCGGCTGCGGCGGTGTCGTGAAACGCTTCGATCGCGGCTCTGGGAGTGAGTTTGTTGAGCGATCCCTCCGCCTGAGCCAGCGCCTGGGGATGGGAAATCACGCGAGTGATGCAATCTGTACGGACTCCGGGGAGAGCAAGGAGGCAGTGGTGGACCGGGATCTGAACCTCGCCGACGATGTGGAGACGGTGACGGAGGAGGAGATCGTAATTTCTGTGAATCGAACCACCGAGAGAATTCTCAACAGGGAGGACAGCACGATCGGCGATCCAGAGCTCCACGGCCTGAAATGCAACGTCGAATTGGTCACACGGAATGGCTTCAGAATTCGGGTAAGCTTTTCCGGCGGCAGCTTCGGAATACGCGCCGGGAACTCCTTGGTAGGCCACACGGAGTGTAGATCCGTGCGACGGCGCCGGCGAGAGATCTGTAATCGTCAACGGCTGAACCAATCCCTGCTTCCCGTTTCTCGTCTCCGAAGAAGGAACGATGCTTAGATCGACGGAGCCGTTACTGTGTCCGTTAACGGCAGCGACTTGATCGGCTAAACCGCCGGTGATGGAGCTGGAATTCTCAGCCGAAGCTACTTTGCTAGCTAAGATGGCGCATGAGCTTTGCCAATCGGCTCGGCTCGAGCCAACACCGTTGGGGAAGCTAAACGAATCAGACCTGTAGCTGCAACTAACAGTCACGCGCTTTCCATTTGCGTGAGAGAAACGAGCGTTTTTAGCCGTTAGATTCGGTTGAACTACCGATTTGAGATTGCAAGAGAACGCTGGCGAAACGGCTTGCATGATTTTTGACTTGAAAGTAAATTGCTATTGCTTTTTCTTTTTTGTAAGATGAAACTGAGAACTATTATACGAAACGACTGCGTATTTAAAGTACAGTGCACAAGCTTGGAGTTCTTATTGTTTAGAGAGAACTTGCAAGCTGAGAAATAATGGTGGAGAAGGAAGAGATTATATACTGAGAGGAAAGAGAGAGTGGATGGATTTTTCCAAAAGAAAGTCTTGACGTGTCTTTGGGGGTAATTACGTCAAATCCTTCACCTACCACCTTCATTTGATTTTCCTTAGGACGATATAACTTTATTCTTTTATATTCTAAAGTTTTATATGGACATTTCCCTATTGGAGATGTGTAAATATGTGTGTTTGATTGTGTTTTAGGAAAAAGTTGTGAAGAACCGGTACGTGTTTACCAGTGGAGGCCTCCAAATATTTGTTGCTACTAACTCTGAGTAAGATCATTTATAATACTAGAATAGAATAATGCGATTAGAGATATGGATAAAGGGATGTACGTGTCCGTTTTGCACTCGTGGTTTCAGATAAATTGCCAACGTTCCTTCGAGATTTTGTTATGTTTTCAACTTTCCTTTTTAGTTTGAATCTTTGTTATCCTTAATAAGTTTACTAAAACAAAGTAAGCAACTAAGACCAGAATTCAGACGCCAATTAAGTATATGAATATGTGGATTAGTATCAAGCAAACATGTGGTGGTGATTCAGTGGTAAAGATCAGACTGGATTTATGATTGCAACACGACAGTAGAATCAAAATAGTATAACGAAGCAGCATTCAGCCTAAGTAGTTATTTTGCTATTTTATACCAAACAAACAAGAGATGTTTTTTTAAAAAAAAATATATAAATATATCTATCGTACACTCCAAAATGTTGGATTTAAGTGGATTTGTATGTCTTTATTTTTAAATTTATATATACTGATCGCTTATGTAAATGATTTGTATGTCTTTATTTTTAAATTTAGATATACTGATCGCTTATGTAAAATATTTAGTTTAAATGATGTTTCATATAGTTTCCATAAACGCTATAGAACTATAAGTTATCGATCAATGAGTCGGTATGAAAAAACAATTAGAGAAAATAGATAGAGAGTCTAGAAAACAGAAAATGGGCAGTCGCCAACCAAAAAAGGAAAACAAGATTCTAAGCCATAGGAGTATGCAACGAGTCCATATCAGAGGTGCTGGATCATATGATGTGCCTTTCAAATAAAGCTTTGGTACTAGTTAAGTTCGGTTTTCAGTTATACTTTGGCTGTTCTAGAAATATGACATTGTGTATATAAGATTATATAATTTGTCGTGGTCTCATAAAGACGGAGTTGTCGATTATCTGTACGTATGGTATATAGTTGATAGATTTATCCGTCGTGGATCTGTGTATTGTCGAAAGAATACCGTCATGGAACATTGGAACCGTTCATCATATTTGTATGCAATTATATTTGATCGATTTATTATTATTTTTTTGTATCCAATATAGGATGATAACGTAACTAGTGATAAAAGATATAATAAATTCATAAATGCATTATTTAAAAATATGAAATTGGTTTTCTTTGCAAAGTTAAAACTTAATTAATTAGCTACAGATATTTGAGCAAACCTGATCTGACCAGCACCATTCAATTAAGGAAAGCGCATGAATGAGTTAGAATACGGCCCAACTCGACCTATCATTAATCGACACAACAAAGATCATAGTACTGAGACATATTTGTTGGTCTATATCTAATTTGGTGTTTTCTCACATGAAAACGAATAGACATACAAAAAGTATAGTACCGGTGCATTTTTGTGGATGTAGATTATACTACATGAATCTTTATCTCTTAATTCTCATAGAATGTATATTGATCCATGATATTCAAAAAGTATAGTTGTGACTTGTGAGACATATTTGTGGATGTACATGATCCTAATATATAAATCTATATCTAACTCTCAGAGAATGTATATTGATCCAATGATCCACGGTACTCAAAAAGTATAGTACTGATACATATCTGTGGATGTAGAATAGCTATTTCAACAGAGAACGTGAGGCTCCCAGTTGCTATTACGTACCTTTCAACGTGAGGCTCACAGGTGAACTATACGTCTATACGTAGCTCGATTTATTACATTTCCATCGATAATAGGCGTAAAACAAATCATAACTTTTCGTTGAATTACTTAAATATACGAGAAGTTTCTCTAATTGATTGGAAGTAACATATTGGTATTCGGCAAATTTTTTGGTATACTAAACAAATACGTTAAAACATGTTTTAGACGGATTTATCTATGTGACTTGAACATGTTGAGAAGTGGTATTTTTTATGTGACATGTTTTGTTTTCTGTGAACATCCCCCAATTATCAGTTACATTTGTGTTTCCGGGATATAAGCGTTCAAGATATGGATTAATAAATTATAATTTTGTTCTTCTTTTTTCCAATATCCTTTGTCATTTCCTGATAGCAAGTTAGCAACTTAACAAACTAATTTAATTTAAACGATTTTTTTGGTTCATTTACCAACTTTTCCTCGTATTTATAGATAGAATGAGAAAATGAGGTTCTCACCAAAAGTTTCTGTAAGAAATTATTAGAATGCAGGAAATAAAAGATTAACTATCAGCTCCAATATGCCATGATTATGTAAGACTTGTGTCATACAGTATTTGTTTATAATCTTAGCTTAAGTTAAAGATAGGTGCGACCTCAGGTTTCAAAAGTGATGTCTAGCTTCCAATAAATTCTGGTTCATTTTCTTCGTTTTTTTTAGAAAGGAACACACATATTCATGATTAAAACTAATATCGTTTTATAACATAAGAAAATAACCAACAAGCGATTGTAGGCCGTAAAAATAAATCGATGGGGTTGTTGAAACCTTTTTTTTATTCATATATTTGTAAAGGTTTAATACGGCAAAGTTGGTGAAAACCCAAGTGGGACTATCTAACATTGTACCTAAGCCTGTTGAATTGATTCTTTCTACATTTCATTTCATCTCTCTTTCGAGTCTTGATTAACGTTTTAAAATCTTTTTATTTATTTTACTTTGTTTTCAAATATGATCGGTGACTTTTTACCTTTATCTCGTTCTAAATGCCACCAAATAGCGAAATGGTAGGAATGTGGGGGAAAAAACAAACAAGCAAATGAAAAACATAATTTTTCAAAATCAGCAAGTATCTTTTCACCAATTCCATGCCATATCAAAAAGATCAGAACGGCAAGTTTGTCTGAATCCACCAATCATATCTATTGTTTCTCTAAACTTTACGTGTAGTTTACTTTATTAACGTACGTTATAACATAACACGATGATCTGAGCTAGGGAACACAAAAGAGTAGGTATGTTCGAAAACAAATTAAAACAAAAACACAAAACAGTAGGTGGCAATTCACTTGAATTGAGGATAGGTCATAAAATGTGACTGAACACCGATCGATCAAATCCAAGCAATAAAATCATTTGTCTAAAGGCTTTAATTTCAATCATGATATTCTCAAACCAGCAGGTTTAGGTTCGAGTTGGTTTCAATTTTCAAACCGAACAACGAAAAGAAAATAATAATTCATTTACATACACCTACATTTTAATGTATTTATCTTCCAAGGTATATTTTATCTTCACCAGACCAAGCCAAACAGAAACACAGTAAGAAATCATAGTTAATTACTCAACTTGGTCAGATGTTTTTTTTTTCTTTATAAACCTATAAACAACTCAGGGTCGGACCGAAACCAAATCAGCGAAATGGATTATAAAAATATGTTGTACTTTTGACTTTGTTTTTTTTGTTGACAATATTGACTTCATATCAACTAGAAGAGGCACGTGTTACATGCTCCACGTTAGTAATGAAGATTTTACGTCTTTGCATAATCAGGAAAGTAACAAGTCTACCCCACTCATACATACCCCATGTTTTACTTTTGGTCTTTGTTCTTTCCGTGAATCTTCTGTTTAACTTGGCTTCCACAGTCTGACCTGGTAAGCTGTGTTTGTAATATGTGGCCGGAGCGATAGATTTTTCTAGTCATATATTATATATAGGATTAATTGCTAATGACAGGAAATTATGGTTGGTGTGTTTTAGCTCTTTGATCGATTGCTTACGGTAGATGGATCTTATAATCTCATAAACGTTAAGAATTTGAAGAATCATAGAAATAGATATTGTAAAATTACGATTGATCATAGATTAGTATCATTGCCCTTGTGTGTGATGGTCCAATCTTCATTAGGACTCCTTATGATTGATTTACTAGTTTCTTTGTTATGGTTCTGTGTAATGGAGGTTTTTTCGTTTGTTAAAGCGTTTTGTAAATCGGCTACATTGGTTCAGTCCCTTGAAGAGATCAAAGAAAATAGCTGAAATCATATGGGGAAGTCGAGAAAGCGAGATGATCTCAGATAAATTGATCTTTACTCTTTCCAAGTAAGTGTAACTTTGACTGGTACATTTAGATGTCATACTTTTTGTTTAGGTCAAAATATAAAAATTTGACAGTTTCAGGAAGGAATGGTAGAGTATATTGGAATGTTGAAGGTGACTGTTAAGAAAGGTACTAACTTAGCCATCAGAGACATGATGTCAAGTGATCCATATGTTGTGTTGAATCCAGGGAAGCAAGTAAGTGATCTCTTTTGTAATACTGTTTATTAACCCTCATCTATGGAGAAAATTTAATTGCCATGTTCGGTTTACTGTTCAGAAACTACAAACAACTTTGGTGAATACTAATTTGAACCCGGTATGGAATCAACAACTCATGCTCTCTGTTCCTGAGTGAAATGGGTAAGGCCATCTTATGCAGATCGAGTTTTCTACTACTGGTTTCTCTGTGATAGCAAGTGTATGATTATGAGACATTATTAGCTGATGACATAATAATGGGAGAAGCTGAAAATTGATATCCAACCTCTGATAACATCTGCAATGGCTTTTGGGGATCCTGAAACTGATGTATTTTTCTCAACTTTCTGCAGTTTTGATTTCATTTCATAGCAAAATGTATTGTTTGATGTTTGTATAAACCTAATCGGTTGTAATGTTATGACTGATGGTAAAAAGAAAACTTTCCACAACTCACTCCACATAATTAGCAAATAAAACACTTTCGCATCATGCAGTTTCCTCTTAAAAACATCCTCGTGAAAATTGCCTGGCACATTTCTGGTACATCTGAGCTGTTTCTCCATTAACCAACCATTTTTACAAATCCCTTATAACCACGAGACTTGAGGAAATAAAAGCTAAGCAGGAGACAAGTCTCACCACTAGCAGATAACCCAGGAAATGAGACTTGAGACCTAAGTTGGCACTTTGGACAATCTCGAAACATTCCACGACTCTAGCAAAAGGCAAAACCCATACGAACAAAAAAGCAGATATTGTACATTTACGTAGATGTAAGACGAAGATAAAGAGCAAAGACGATATATTCCAATAGAGAAATTCCATTTGACTTACAAGAAAGAAACGACAGATAATGAAGGAAACATGTTTTCATCAATTATTCATCAGGGCCCTTTTTACAAAGACCCCAAAACACAAACCACAGAAAGTATTATTAAAAGAAACGAAACAGAGGAACTTCTATTGGAAGATCATAACAGAGAACAGAAGCAAGTTTTCAGAAACCACCACGAAGACGGAGGACCAAGTGGAGAGTCGACTCTTTCTGAATGTTGTAATCAGCAAGTGTGCGACCATCCTCAAGCTGCTTACCCGCAAAGATCAACCTCTGCTGATCCGGAGGAATGCCTTCCTTGTCCTGAATCTTAGCCTTCACATTATCAATGGTGTCAGAGCTCTCCACCTCCAGTGTGATCGTCTTCCCGGTCAACGTCTTGACGAAAATCTGCATACCTCCACGGAGACGCAAGACCAAATGAAGCGTCGACTCCTTCTGGATATTGTAGTCAGCCAATGTGCGACCATCCTCAAGCTGTTTCCCAGCGAAGATGAGACGCTGCTGGTCCGGAGGAATACCTTCTTTATCCTGGATCTTCGCCTTCACATTATCAATGGTATCGGAGCTCTCAACTTCCAATGTGATTGTCTTGCCGGTCAAGGTCTTCACGAAGATCTGCATTCCACCACGGAGACGCAAGACCAAGTGAAGCGTAGACTCCTTTTGGATATTGTAATCGGCCAAGGTACGACCGTCCTCAAGCTGCTTGCCGGCGAAGATCAACCTCTGCTGATCCGGTGGGATTCCCTCCTTATCCTGGATCTTAGCCTTGACGTTGTCGATTGTGTCAGAGCTCTCCACTTCAAGCGTGATTGTTTTTCCGGTGAGAGTCTTCACGAAGATCTGCATACCACCACGGAGACGCAAGACAAGATGAAGGGTTGACTCCTTCTGGATGTTGTAGTCGGCAAGAGTGCGGCCATCCTCGAGTTGTTTTCCGGCGAAGATCAACCTCTGCTGGTCCGGTGGGATTCCCTCCTTATCTTGAATCTTAGCCTTGACGTTGTCGATGGTGTCGGAGCTCTCGACCTCGAGTGTGATCGTCTTGCCGGTGAGGGTTTTGACAAAGATCTGCATACCACCGCGGAGACGCAAGACCAAGTGAAGCGTGGATTCCTTCTGGATGTTGTAGTCGGCTAGAGTCCGGCCGTCTTCCAGCTGCTTTCCGGCGAAGATGAGCCTCTGCTGATCCGGAGGAATCCCTTCCTTGTCCTGGATCTTGGCTTTCACGTTGTCGATCGTGTCAGAGCTCTCCACCTCGAGGGTGATCGTCTTTCCGGTGAGAGTCTTAACGAAGATCTGCATCTGAAATTCAGAGAAAAAGCTCGTGGTTTATAACTCAGATCGATCGCAGAAACAATTGGCAACGATAAAGAAATCGATTCGATCCGATCGCACAAACAGAAATCAGATCCGATCAACAAACTCAGTAGCAAATCCGGAAGAGAATCACAGATCGAAGCCTAACAGCAGAGATCTAGCTAAAATATGAACCCTAATCGAAAATTCCGAGGATATCAGTCGGTGAAACTCTAACAGTTGCTTCTAACGATCGAAGAGAAGAATCAATTGCGATCAAACGAGCTAATCGAGAGAGAAACTAATAAGAAACCAGATATGTACCTTGAATCAGGGAAGTCGATAGAATGAAGAGAGATTTGAGAAGATGATTGAAGATATCAGAAACTGAATTGTGAATTGTTAAGGAGAAGAGTTCTCGAAGAGCTTAATTTAAAGAAAAGGATGAGGCCGACTCGGTCACGTAAGGCGGTGAACAAATAACCAATAAAATATGGACACGAATGTATGATGACGTGTATTGATGAACTTGCCTTTATTTTCTCAGCCTTGAGGTTTTTTTTTTTCTCTATTAATGAACTTGTCTTTATCTTTTCGGATTTTCTGGTTGAGACAGCTCATGTTACTTCTTCTAGATCTTTGAAGAATGGTCAGAATTTTTGCAACCCCAAATTCTCATAACTTTGACATATTTTCAATTCATCATTTATGGAGTTTGAAACTTCGAATCGAATATGGTTTCGGATATGAAATTTTGGACCAACCTCTAGTACCAAAACATTTCCACAGCTTTAAAAAATGGACATACATATCGAACTTCGCGCGAAAAGAAATACAGTTTTGAGGATTTTTATTAGTTCTAACATTTTTATTTTTAATAGAAAATAAAAAAATGCACTCTCTACCACACACTACACCGATTTTCCCCAACCGGTGTCTCCTCCGCTCAACAATCCGGCCAAACTCTACGCGCCGCCGCCTCTGGGCTCGATCATCAATATCGAGCTTACATGAAGAAAGCAACGAGACTAAGACGATGGCTTCGGCATCGACGACGAAGCGAGTGGTACTCGTGAGGCATGGGCAAAGCACGTGGAACGAAGAAGGAAGGATTCAAGGGAGCTCCGATTTCTCCGTTTTGACGAAGAAAGGCGAGACCCAGGCCGACATTTCTCGCCAGATGCTCATCAACGACTCCTTCGATGTCTGCTTCACCAGGTCCTGCATTTTTCTTTAGATCTATGGAATCGGTTTTGAGGATTTTGAAATATGTTTGTAGTAGTAGTGATTTGGATTTGGAATTTAGATCTCATTGAGTGAATGAGGTGTTTGGATCGACTGAAAGAAGGAAAATTTAGAGAAAAAATGTTTTGAATTTGAAGAATCAGAGAAATAGAATCTTAGTGTTCTCTATGATTGATTTACCTGTTTCTCTGAAATGGAGGTTTTTTCGTTTGTTAAAGCCTTTTTCTAAATCGGCTACATTGATTCAGTCCATTGAAGAGATCAAAGAAAACAGCTGAAATCATATGGGGAAGTCGAGAAAGTGAGATGATTCCGGACTACGAACTCAGAGAAATTGATCTTTACTCTTTTCAAGTAAGTCTACCTCTGTGATGAGTACATGTAGATGTCATACTTTTTCTCAACACTTGTTATGGTTTATGGGTTTTACTCTAGGGTCTAATTAAGAAAGAGGGGAAAGAAAAGTTCGGTGAAGCTTTCAGGCGATGGCAAGAAGATCCAGCAAACTTCAACATCGATGGCCACTACCCAGTAAGAGAGTTATGGTCACGTGCTCGAAGCTGTTGGCCTAATATTCTTGCTCACGAGAGCAAGTCTGTTCTTGTTGTTGCTCATAACGCTGTGAACCAGGCTCTTCTAGGAACTGCAATTGGTAACTTCTTCTTTTCATCTTTCAGCAAGAGACTTGGAAACTAGGCGGGCTTTTCTCGTTTTCTTCGTTAAAATTTACTGTGTGTGATTTTTGGTTGCAAAAACAGGTTTGGGAGCAGAATATTTCAGGAGTTTGTTACAGAGCAATTGCGGTGTAAGCGTTCTTGATTTCACACCAAGAGCTGACGGTGCATCTCCTCACGTATGTCTTAATCGACTTAATCAGGTAAAATGTCTGGCTTTGCAGGGACTCGTAATCACTTATTCATCTTAGTTATATGAACATATTTTTTTTGTGGCAAGATTCTCGAGGTGGGCTTAAAATGTTATAGGTAGTCAATATTCTGCTTACTGTCTTCTGTAGTACAAATGCAGACACCTAATTCGCCTCTAGCCGGTGGAAGTTCTGATGGCCGGAAAGCTATTAAGCAGATCATACTTGTCTGCCATGGAGTAACTGGTCAGGGGGATAATAAGGTACAAGAGTTGATTGAGTTGCTTACGTAAATCTCTTAGTTCATCTTCATTTGCCAGAATTAAGTAATTTCTGAGCTAAGAAAAGTTGGAGACTTTGTACCAGATTTTACTGGATTATCTTCGTTTTTCCATTATTTTACAAAACATGATTCTGCAGTTATTAACCTATTAACTTCGACCACAGGCTGCTAATGACCAACCAATGAACATGCTTGGTGTGATACAGGTAACAGACAAATATGACTTTGTGAAGGACAAATCCTAATCCTGCATTTAGTTAGTCTTTGGTCATATTTTACTTGTTGGTCACTACAGTCGCAGAAAACCGCAGAGCTTCTTCTTGATTTAAAGGTCACTTCAATAGTTTGTAGCTCTAAAGCAGCCTCCATTGAGACTGCTGGAGTGATATCCCGAGTATGTTATAAATCCCTCTTATCTACCTAACTTCAATTTCTTAACAAGCTGAAGATTTCGAGATATCTGTTTTGATCGGAATCTTTTTTGTTTCTTGGCAGGTGCAAGAAGCTGCAGGTTGTTTAGGTGTAGATAGTGTACCTCGCTATGTGAAAACGAAACAAACGAATGAGCTTGACGTTGAAGACATTATTAGCAAATCCAACAAGGCAAGATTATTTTATCACCACCATGTGATTCGTAAAGTAAACACTTTTTTGATCCTCAAACTCTGCAGGACGAAGCTGTGAGTAGTGCATCAATCCAACCTGGTTGGCTAAGTCAGTTAGACGAAGAAGCGGTTTCAGCTCTGTGGAACAGATCCGGGAAAGCCTGGGAATCACTCTTAGACGAGCTATCCGACGAGGATAAGTCGAACCAAGGAGATGCAATGGTGGTGGTTGGTCACCCAATGGCTCACATATCGCTCATTGCACAATGCCTTAGCCTCAATAAAGAAGGGCTCGGGTTCTTCCACCTAGACGCAGGCAGCATTAGCGTCATAGAGTTTCCGGATGGTCCTAGCCGAAGAGGAGTGATCCGTTGCACAAACTACACGGCTCATCTAGGAAGATGGTCCGTTCCCATCACAAGACCTGGCTGAAGAAGACTTCTAACTTGGGTAGACACACAATCACATTCTCTGTATTGATATCTTTCAGTTTTTAGGCACATTTTGAAATAAATCATCCAAAAGTTCACAATACCTTATCCTAAATAATACACATTCTTTGCATCCAAACCAAAGCACTCGAGCGCATAATCACATTCTTTGCATCTTCCAATAGTTAGTCACTTGCATAAAAAACAGTTTTGGAATCCTAAAACACTGTGGCCTAAAGCTCACATAGTCATAATATAAAAATTTAACAACAACAAAACGCAAGTCCAATCTCTAGGAAGCACCTACAAGTCTTTTATGGGGTCCAGAGACTTCGATTTGACACGTGCTAGATCTCCAAGACAATGCAAGGAGATCCCTTAAGACATCATCTTCTTTCAGCTTAGAACGTTCCCAGCTCATCACAAGTTTCTTGAGAATTACAGAGTTTTCTGCAAAGTACCTTGCCAGTTCCATCAAAACAAACTCTGCCTCGTATCTGCTTTTTATCTCCACAAACTCGAGCGATGACAACAAGCAATGAGGCACAAACGAGACTGTTATTGGAGGCGTGTCGTCCATATTATGAGTCACATCCTACAAAACACATAAGATTAATCATATTAGTACTAGATAACACATTTCTCAAGTTAAAACTCTGAAGGGTGTTGGTGCAAGTCATCACCAAGACGATCGATTTTAGACTCGGAAAGCTTTCAAGAAGCGTTGGCAGGATCTCCAGGAGTTTCACGCGTCTTAAACAAACTTTAGCTTCCAAACAGGACAGGTTGCAAAACTGCGGAAATGTTTCTAGTTCCATGTAGTGAAACATTATCTGCTTACATCAAAAGCAAAGAAGACAAGACTATCGGTGATCAAAATTTCGTTACATATATATAACATATATACATGAAGAGCTTCATAGAAAGATACCTCCATCATGTCTTGAGAGATGACCATCTCCCTAACTCTCGAGACACCGTTGAAAAAATTACGGACCATTTGTAGCTCTGATAAGTTAAAATCTTTAAAAGAGTACGTTATACGAACAATGTCTACAAAACAGACCTTAACTAAGGAACCTAAATTGCTGATGACTTTGTTCGGCGCTAGTTCTTGTTCAAAAGTCAAATACTTAAGTCTAGGGGCATCAACGAAAAGCCACAAGCTATCCCAATCAAAAACAAAAAAGCCATGATCGCCACCACGGTCAAACCCTAGCTTAAGACTGGTTATTGTCTGAGAATGCACTCTTAAAACCTTAACGTTATCATCTAACCTCCTAAAAATGCTCAAGTCTTCAAGAACAGGGCAAGACGAGATGAGTGACTCAAGACCAGTATCATTCGCATATGCATTGTTGTCTAAACACAGAGTCTTGAGACGAGGCAGTGAGACAGACTCAAAACTACCTATCAGTACCCGATTGAGTCTTAAGCTAAGGAGCGTCTCGCAGATAAATAGGCTCATAGGGACCACTTCGAAACGCTTGCGAGACACGTAACGGTACCCAACATCAAGATGCTTGACTCTACGCGTAGCTACAAAGTCTATCCAGCGCCTGACGCAAGCCTGGTCTCTCTTACGTTTCATAATCAATAGCTTGAGCTTGTGCACGCACGACTCCTCTTCTCTGGAGAAAGCTAGGAACTTGTCTATGAAACTCGCAAAGGCATTGTAGTCGGGGAACTCGAAAGAGTCCAAATCCAGCTCGGAAATCAAAAGCCAGAGACTTTTCCACCTGCTGGACAGAACACTGGTCCTAACAGCTTCCTTTGTCGGGAGATACATGAGTATCTGAGATATCAAAGCGTCGGGTAATTTGCTTATCATATCTCCTCCTGCAGGGCGTATTCCTTTCGCTTTCCTTTCCTCCATGAAATAAGAGAGCCACGAAACCTGAGTATGAGGAAGATTTCAGAAACGGATCATCGGAATCTCGATCTAGCAGCGGCACTCGATAATAATCTAACACTATAAATTTTTAAAAAGTGTTTACGAATCAGAAAGGAGCGAAGAAGTTGAAATCACCTGATGGGTTTATGGTTTTGCGGGTGTTGGAAGATCCGACGGCCAGAGATGGAGACGAGGTCGTGTGCCAATTTATCAATTGCAGTGAGAAGAGTGTTATGCCTTTTGGAACACTCGATCATAAAATTTGAAACTTCAGACTAGTTACTATCGAAAGATTGTCACTTCAGAGCGGCAATTGGTTCATCTCTCTCCTCAAGCCCCACGATTCTCGGTCTCAGGTACTCACTCACACTCTAGTCTCCGAAGGGAGAAGAATTGTGTTACTCATTGTTTAAATATTTGGGCCAAAAGGCCCATTAACTTTTCTGTCTCGATTCTTTTTATGAAAAAATAACTAAAACACAAACAAAACATTTTAGTTCAGTTTAATTATTAAACTCTGTTGTGTTAGAATTTTCATTATCAAGCTTCTAGTTTAAACTTTAAACTTTATATTTTTTGTCAATATAAAAAACTACAATCGTTATGAAATGTTATATTTTTATCAAAAACTAAAACAAAATGTTTTTTTTTTTTTTTTTTTTTTTTTTTTTTTTTTTTTTTTTTTTTTTTTGAGAAAGGCTTTCATATTTAAATGCAGAAATAAAAAAAGATTACGAACCAGAAGGCTATAGTTTGTAAAAGGAGCAGCCCAGCCCAGTTAAATTACATAGTTATAAAGATTCTAAATGAACCAGCCCAAAGCCCACTAGTGAAAAAACCGTTGAGATTCGTCATCGACATCTATCCTCCGATCACGCCGAGACATGCACTGAGGAAGGATCAGTTGAGAGCCAATGTTGCAACAGTTTCGATGCCAGATGTGTGTTGTTTTCTCGATAGCTTGCAATCCGATTTCGAACCTGTCTGTCTATGGATCGAGTGATGGAGTCCTCTGAATTGAAAATTCCACGGTGAAGCCTTCCATTCCTTTCTGACCAGATCCAATAGAGTGTAGCCTGCCAAGTGATTAGTGATAGCCGCTTCCACAGTTTTCCGTTCGTGAGCGATTGCATTTGCCCCAACGAGTCATTCCAGGACCGAGCCGGCTGGAGATTGCATCTTGTAGCCATTGAGCTCCAGATTTGCCAAGTTACCGGACAGTCGAAGAAGAGATGGTCTCTGCTTTCCAAACTTGTGTTACAAAGTAGACAGTTTGCCGGAGTGTGTAATCCCCATCCCAGGATTCTATCTCGGGTGGGGCAACGATTGAGAATGAGGAGCCATGCCAGGAAATTGTGCTTGGGGATCCCTCCGACACACCATGCCACCTTAGCCCAAGGTACTAATCCCAAGTCTCGTCTCAGTTGCTTGTACACTATGCCTGTTCCATATTTCTTAGAAACCAGGCCCTCTATCTCCCACTCATAGTGATCCTCTTGATCCGTCAGTGAAACAATGGTTAGATAGGCGTGTAAACTAACCAGATTGTCTGATCGTGCAGGTGGTAATCTCCAGCGGTTTCTCCTGTTTAAGCTTTCCAGTGTCGCCGTCCAAGGGATACCAAGTCTTGAAGATTCGTTTCCTTGGAGGAAGTTTTGAATGTTGCCGAAAGGCGACCAATTGTCTGTCCAGAATCGAGAGCTCCTTCCATTGCCAACTCTGAGTTTGATCCAAGGGTATATCTCGGCCCTATTCTTTATTAGCTTGTTTACTAACCAAGAATTCCTCCTATGTGTCTTGATTGTCCAAAAGTTGCTTAGGTTGCCTTCTAGTATCTCCGCTTTGAACCAAGCAACCCATACTGAACCCGATTGAAAGAATAGCAACCAAATCAGTTTTAGGCAGCATGCCTTGTTCCAGGTTTCCAGGTCTCTTATTCCCAAACCTCCTGTTTCTTTGGTTTGTGTTACTGTTTTCCACGAAACTCTTGCAGTGTTATGTGCTTCCACATTTCCTTGCCATAGGTACGTACTGCAGAGTGAGTTGATCCTCGTGATGCAAGCTTTGGGCAAGATGAATGACGAGCACCAGAAGGTTGAGATACCAGCTATTACCGTTTTGATAAGAACCAGTCGGCCGGCAAACGATAGCGACTTTGAACTCCACGAGGTAAGTCGTGTCTTGACTTGTTGGATAAGCACTTCGCAGTTTGTGATACTTAGTTTCTTGCTACTGAGTGGGACACCTAGGTACTTGACAGGCAAGGAACCTTGAGGCATTCCTGTAGAGAACTTTATCAAGTCGCAGTCTTCTTGGGGTACACCAGACGCAAAGAAGCTCGACTTCTGGATACTAACCGCCAGGCCGGATCTCTGTTGGAACTCATGGAGAATTTGCAGTACGTTCTGAACCGAGTCCAGTGTTCCCTCCGTGAAGATAAGAAGGTCGTCAGCAAAGCATAGATGGGTTAACTTGGACTCCGAGCATCCCTGATGATAGGAAAACTTTCCTTCCTCTGCCGCTTTGTTTAACATTAGGGATAGACTATTCATTGCTATTACGAATAGGTAGGGTGAGAGAGGGTCACCTTGCCTTAGCCCTCTTTTGCCTTTGAAGTACCCCTGAACCATTCCATTGTACCCAACTGTGAAGTTCATAGTGCATATGCAAGCTTTAAGCCACCCTCTATACTTCTCAGGTAGCTCCAGACCCTCTAGGCAGTTAAATAGGAACTCCCAAGACACACTATCAAAAGCTTTAGCTATATCAACCTTTATAGTGATTCTCCGAGTTCCATTTGCCTTATGAAAGCCATTAACCAGTTCTCCAGCAAGCACCGTATTCTCCACTAACAATCGATCTTTTACAAACGCAGTTTGATTTGGCAAGATAAGGTCTGGCAGGATTGGTTTTAGACGCCTCACCAGAAGCCGAGAGACCACTTTGTAGAGAGTGTTGAGGCAAGAAATGGGTCTGAAGTCTGTGATCAAAGAAGCGCCTGGGAACTTTGGGATGAGTGTGAGAATTGTGGAGTTTGTAGAAGCTGGCATGAACGAGCTATCGAAGAAGTAGTCTGCTATGGCTGTGGTGACCTCAGGGCCTACGATGTCCCAAGATGCTTTGTAGAATCCTGAAGTTAGTCCATCTGGTCCTGATGACTTATTTGGGTTCAGTCTGAACATAACTTTCCTGATTTCCTCCAGTGCAGGGACTTTAATAATTTCTTGTTGCTGTTCAGGGGAACACCGGAATAGAGAGAGGGACTGGATCCAAGTAGGCGGCGATTGGACTTTGTTTGGTGACAAGATTGAGGGGCCAAGTATGGATTTGAAGTGGTTAATGGCATGGTGACTCATCTCAATCAGATCTTCCAAGATGCCTCCTTCTGGAAGACGGAAGGATCGGATGGAATTATAACTCGTTCTGGTTTGAGCTATTCGTTGAAAGTAAGTGGTATTTTGATCGCCTTCCTTTAACCAGTTAATTCTCGATTTCTGCTTGAAGTAGCTCTCCTCTATATCTCTTAGGTGGGACCATTTTTCATGCAGGACTTTCTCTTGACTGAAAAGTTGCTGGTTTGGCGTCTGTAGAGCTTGTACCTGCACAACTTGTAACAAACGGTAAGCCTCACTAACTTTCTTTTGAATGTGAGAAAAATTTTCTCTGTTTAACTCTCTCAGAGGGTTCTTGATAGTCTTTTGTTTCCAACACAGGTTAGTGAGTGTGGAGGCAAAGCTTCCAGCCTGAATCCAAGTCTCTAGGACCACTTTGTGAAAGTCGGGGTGCTTAGTCAGGTAATTGAAAAATTTGAAGGGTCTAGTTCCGGCTTTGGGGAGACGGTGGGCTAGGTCTATTAGGCAAGGGCTATGGTCAGAGGTTAAGGGTGGAAGGAAGGAGGCTAAACCATTTGGGAAAGAAGCTATAAGATGGCAGTTGACAAGCGCTCGATCAAGCTTTTTGGCAATAGGGGAATCTAGCTGGCCATTCTTCCAAGTGAAAGGGGGGCCATGGAACTTGAGGTCGAACATCCCCATTTGAGTGAGACAATCTTTGAACTCCAACATTCTCGGGTCCATTGTGTTGATGTCCGGATTTGAGTGTTCCGAGGGGTGGACAATCTGGTTGAAGTCGCCTCCAATCATCCACGGAGTCGTGTGAAGAGAGAAAGCTTGTTGAATGTTCAGGAGTTCGATCCAAAGGTCAGTTCTCTCACTGCTTATATTAGAGGCGTAGACAGCAGTGTAGATCAATAATGGGGCACTTGGCAATTTGACTTGACAGGTGATTGTTTGACGTGACTGGTGGAGGATTTGTACTGACGCAGGGTGGCGCCAAATTAGTATTATCCGACCATCATCATCAGAGGCATGATTCGAGGTAAAACTCCATCCTTGGCAGAGCTTAGTCATTAGTTGGTTCAGGTTAGAATCTTTAATATGAGACTCTAATATAGATCCAAAAAGGGGCTGATGGATCGAGAGCCAATCACAAAAGGGCTTATGCTTGTCCGAATCATTTATACCTCGGACATTCCAAAAAAATAGTTTTGAATTCATCAAGAAGGGGGGGCAAGGTCTCCTGGGGTAGGAGAGCCTTCAAAAAGTGGCACTGAAGGTGAGAGCGAGTCTAAAGTGTTCTTAAGGGGGATAAAAACTGGGGTAGCAATTGGCGGTTTCGGGTTTGGGATTGTAGATGGTAAACCAAAGGGTGGGATAGTGCTTAACGAGGGGTGGGAACGAGATCTTTTTAAGGTAGTTTTTTGAGGTAGGTCTGGTGGGCTGTAGGGATAAGGGTCGCCGGATGGAGTAATGGAGGCTGGAAGGCCTATTATAACAAGGTGGTTCTTTATGGGGGTTAAGTTAAAGGGATTGAGGGGGGCTAAAGGTGGTTTTTGAAGAAAGTTTAGGGTCTGTTTTTGGGGTAGCAGAAGGGTTTTGAGGATGGATGATTTCAGTGGGATGGTTTACCAAAGGTGGACGTAAGGTAACAGGGATTTGGATCTTTGGAGTTTCAGGGGGAGAGGTTGGCTTCGACTTTGGGTGTGAGGAAATCGGGTCCTTTTCTTTGGAGGTTGATTCCTTTTTCTTATAAATCTTCTCCTGTTTCCCTTTTTCAGGAGCCGGAGGAACCTCTTTAGTCGGTATTGGCAGGAGCAGGCAATTCTTTGCAATGTGACCTAGTTCTTGACAGTGAGAGCACTTGGGAGGTAGCCATGGGTAGTCGACGAATACCTCAACCACTTCACCACTTTCCCTTTCAAACTCAACTACATCGGGAAGGTCTTTTGTCAGTCGCACTTCTACCTTGACATGTGCAATGGTAAGACTTACTAGGTTTTTAGTGAAATCATCTGTTTCCTTTGGTTCGCCAATCAAGCCTGCAATTAAACTAAGGCCGTTTTGATGCCTTAGGTCTAAAGGTACTTCAGTAAGATGGGCCCAGAGCTGCATCGTGACCGCTTGGCAATCCTCCGGTGAGTGACCTGCAGTCCATTTTGCTGTATGGAACATTGAATCGCCGACATACCAGGCTCCC